ATGTGTGCTTTATTGTGGTTCAAAATAAACGCATCACAGTAGAAGAGAAGTGTATATGTTAATACCTTAGAGTGAATAATTATTTTTATCCCTTACACGTCATGGTTATATGTTTGCACCTTATTTAAGCTTAAAGAATGGACTTTTTTCTTTTTTTTTTTGAATTACAATTTTTCTTATGTCACCGGTGTTTTTAACTGTGCACCGATAGGGATAATCAAAATGAGAGAAGAATGTACGTGCATAGCCTAAGTGGAACACACAGAGAGGGAAGTTTCACACGGTCGAGGGTGGGGCGGATAATACCCATGCGTTTATATGAATGCGTTTATAAATATTTGCACAGCGGTTCCAGCAACAGTAGTAGCATACAATAATTCACACTTTTACGTTACCCGCGCAGGCAAGTTTGCCCCTTGAAAACGTACATAAATGTAAATTAAAAACGGAAGCGATGGGTATTCGCCAAAGTTGCAAACGTTTAATCTTCAGCTTTGTCACTTGCAGGGGATGACATCTGGAAGTGCCCCATTAGCGGGAACAACTTTTTAGCTACCTGGAAAAAAAAAACATATTTTTAGCTACCTGGGAAAAAAAAACATATTTTTAGCTACCTGGAAAAAAAATATAGGTATATATATGGGTGCATTTGTAAAGAAACTTATGATCCTTAACCAGACACCATGTTTTCAGTGTTGAGCTAGCCAAAAGAACAAGTAGCCAATGTTCTAACTGTTGAAGGTAGTTGACTAAGCAAAATAAAAAAAAAAAAAAATTTAGTAATTCTTTTTTTTCCCATTTGAAAAAACATCTTTATTTAATTAATTTCATTTTGAAATAATATATTTTAAAAAAAAAGGTACTTTTTTAAAAAAGTATATTTTTTAAAATTTTATATTTTTAAAAAATATATATTTAAAACATTATATTTTTTAATTGTTTTTAAATATGTTTCTTTGAAACAATTATTTGAAAATTGTTTTGCATAACTTTATTTTTTCCTCATTTGTTTTATTCATGTTTTTGTTCATAACTGGTTTGTGTATCAATTCCTTGGTATAGTGCTCTTTAAGGGAGCCCCAGAAACAGTAAGTACGCAAAGGCGTACATATATATTTGTTTATATTTGTACTAGTAAGTAATATATGCATGCTTTGTGCATACTGACATATATATATTTTAACATACTCGTAATATTGAGTACATACATATATTCTTATTTTTCGCAAATGCTTGCGCACATAGTTAAGTACGTTTGAAGTAAAAATGCATACCGTAAACTTCTATAGTGTGCTGGTTGTGTGCCTTTTTGGCATAGTGTGCTCCTCCTGGTTTAATGAGCCAGTGGCCAGCGCTTGGGCTGCCTCCCCTGCAGTTAACAATAAGGGCATAAATTATGAAGATGACTACTACAATGTTGCGCAAACGGATTTAACGTCATCCCCCCTATCAGCTTCGGCAATTAGAAGAAGGAGATACATCTTGAATGTACGATCCTTCGGAAAAACCTGCCTCTTGGAGTATGAAAACCTTTGTGAAACGGCAGACTATTATATCCATGTGAAGAATGGAATAAGCGGCCATCTTATCAAGGCAAGCTTGATTCAAAAGGAATCAAGTGATCTTGTCTCTGTACACAATTTGATGGACACCTTCTCTAAGGATGGAAGTGTCCAATTTATCTTTAAAAGCATTCCATCCCTACACTACAGTGTCGTGTTGGAAATGTCGGATTTGATAAACAATGCGGACTACGATATTGGCAACAACTGTCACTGCCACGGATGTAGTGACAATACGAGAGTAATTGACTTGAGCGAAATGGAAAATAGGATCACACACACAGTAAGAAGTGACAAAAAAAATAAAATCACATTTCCACAAAAGACATTCGTCCATGGAAATTTTCTATTTAGCAAATTTCTATATTTTCACTCTGAACTAAATGTAAAGACAATTGAGAATTATACACAGCTATATTCTTTCTACGACGAATTAGTGTCTCCTTGTTCAGGTACTATTATGACACACTCGGTGAATTATAACATCCATTATGACATGTCTAGCGTGCATTGTTACCATATCGAGATGGTCGATAAGTTTATAAAAAAGATTCACTCCTCGATTGAAGATGAGAGGACAAGCGGGAGCTCGACGTTGAATTTTGTTAGCGGTAATAATAGCCACCCCATACTTATCAAATTGGAGGATAGAATCTCAAATGACAAGTTGGTAACCATTAGCAGAAAGGACTACAAAATTCAACTTCCGTTGAAATACAAAGATGGTGGGTCTTACTCTTCGAGAGGAATCGTCGTCGGACAGCTGGTCACAATTTACACGCGTCACGTCTTTTTCCAGAAGAAGTACATCTATAAGAATAACGTCAACAACCGAATGGAGTACGTTCACATGTTTAGAATTCTTTTTAATCTATTCAAGAAGCTGTACAATGTTTCTTATGAAGATATGTTGCTCTACACCACCGGGTTGACGATGAAAAAGGAGGGCCACACTTCCTCCTCTTCCGACGCCGATCAGGACTATAACATATATGCCGAGGAGTTATCCGTGTTGTTAAATTCCCTTGCATTTGAGTTCAGCGCGGAGGCAGTAGGTCTCAACAGAGAAGTGATCGTGATGAAAGAATCCCATTTTGTGTCAGAATACGGATCGAACCACTTCGCGCAAGTGAAGGAGCATCAACTTGTCCTTAGATCTTCCACTGAAATATGTTTAGTCGTTTTGGAATCCATCGCTCGTGAGTTAAGTGAGTTTATAAACTTACGACTAAAGGAGGAGTATAGGCACACGTGCAACACGATGAGGCAGGGGCACAGCTATGCGAACGTGTCGCCGATGTATCATACCTATGAGTTAGATTGTAACCTCTCTGTTTTGTACTTGGAGTATAACCTTGCTGAAGATGTCATGGTAAGTCGCCTCATAACGAACAAGACTCTATTTGAAGAAGTCAAATTGGAGCTCTTTTACAACGACATATTCGGCTACACAGTCTATTTGCATGTGCAGGTGGATGACAAGTTTGTGCGAAGCTTGAAGAAGCGCGTGCCGAAGTATGTAAATGGAACCACCGTGGTGACGATGACGGTGATAGGGAGAAGGGCCAACCCCAGCGACACGAGCGATTTCTCCGATGGGATGGTAATTCTCAAGGAAATCTCATTTCCCATGCAATGCACGGGGGATAGCTGCTCAAGTAAGCATCCCATACTGGTGGAAGACAACTTTGACTACATAACGGTTGGAGAGATATGTGTGCAAAATGAAGGATTGCCCAAAGTTTGCTTCCCCGCGTACAGTTCCGGGTACGTTTTTGACACGAGGTTGCTGCGAGTACACATGATCAGTATCAATCCATATCCCGAAATTTTGCTGACCTCCTCAGTGCAGAGCTCCATCGTTGAGGGCTCCTTTTGCATTCTGACCCCCACCCGTGGAGAGATCGTTCCGAACGTGTCAGTGCCCGAAGTGTACGAAGACACGGTGTGCAAGGAGTACATCAACAGATGCAGCCTCATAACGACCAGGTTTGTGCTTAACCATGCGGAGTCGCTCCAGGACAGTATAGTGGCGGAGCTGAGGAAGAACCAGTTTGCAGTGCACCTGTCAACGCACTTTGATGAGAAGCACGAGGAGATGCTGCAGGTGGTGTATCGGTTGGGTGGGGGAAGCGGCGGAGTACGCAGCGGAGTGAGCAGTGCCGAGCAGAGCTTCATCCTGACTCACTACAACGATAGCTTTTACATAAACGGGCACTCGAACAAAATTCACTGGAGGCGCGCCAAGGAGTCCTTTTCCAGGGGGGAGAAAGCCTCGCATGGGGGTAGCGGAGATGATGAAGAGGAGGACGATGATGAGGACGCGTATTACACCAAGCTGTCCTCTCAGATCGACACCAAAACGCACCGAGTTCGCGTGGTCGACAACAAAGGAGTGCTGTTAACCCACGCACAGACGCCCAAACAGGACGACCCAACGGTTTACCACCCATTTGGAGAAATCAGTATCAGCTACGAGAAGATCAAGTCGGACGTGTACATGAAATTTTTGAATGATTATGTGTACTTTTACGAGGGGAAAGAGATGTACGAGGCGGGTTCGTCCAACGGAGAGGAGATGTCGCCCCATTTTGTGAACTTGTCTCCTTACCAGTACGAGTGCCTAGGAGCGTACGCCTACTTGATGAACAAATTCAACATCCTCGTGAATGACTCGCTCAATTGTGACGCGATACAGATGATAGTGGAAGTCTTGTTGAAGGCCAAATTAGGGAAGTATTTCATCCATCATAAGAACAAGAAGATACACTTGAATTTTTTCAAAAAAGACAAGGATTCACATGACGTGTTTGACTTAGTAGACATGGAAATATACGAAGCGCATGCACCTTTGAAGCCGATAAAGACGTACAGACTGAACGTCAGCATTGATGAGAATAACTTAAACTTGTTGCACCAGCACAAGAATGTGGAATTCCCAAATAAGTACTTCTCCAACGTGTATATACTTCTGTTTAAGGCGGCTTACTTATCGAATGGGTACGACTTTTACTCGTTCTTTCACGAGTTGACGGGAATTCTCCTCATCGACAGTTTTGTGGTGGAACATTCGGACAAGTTGCTCCCCGAGGAGAGAGAAGCTGTGGAGGCCATACAGTCTGTATTGAAAGACCAGTTGGACGTATCGCTGGAGAGGCACACCACGCAGTACGACTTGCTGATAAATGAGATATCGCTTCTCGCGGCGTACATCACGGAGTTGACGTCGTCTTATAGGAAGGTCCCCAGGAGAGGCGGCGATTCAGACGAAGGGGAGAAATCTGAAGCGGCGTCTGGAGCGGTGTCCAGCGCAGTGTCCGATGAGCCCCTGCTCGGAATCAAATACTTCGTCTACGTGGACGAGTTCAAGTACAGCGGTGAGAAGGAGCTGACGGCGAATGACATGGCGTACCACCTGGCCAACTATGGCGTCCTCATTATCAAGAAGAAGTCCCTGTGCTGTTCCAACTTTGTGGATGAAGTGGAAAACTCTTTGAACTATTACATTGAACACAGATACGTTTTGGCTACCCCCAGATTTGATCAGGGTGTGGCAGAAGCGTCGATCCTGGAGGATCTGGAGGCTCTATCCTCCTCCTCAACAGGGCAAGAAGTGGTGATGGGACGAAGCATAGTACAGAGACTTCTCGGCCGAGAAGTAAGCGCCTCCGTTTTGAACGGACGCTGGAGCGAAAGCGACATGGAGTACATGGCCAACTGGATCATGGGCAAAGCGGGATACCTATCGCGCAAGGACGGAGCTGCACAGTTGCACATTCACGTGAATATGCTAGATTGCCTAGACATGGACCTGCAGAATCATGACGAAAATGTGATCACGGAGTTCACGTCCAGGTTTGACAAGCACGGAGCGGTCGTGTCGATCACGATGGAGATGGGAGAAAACATCGCCGGAGCGGAAGCAGCGGGGAAAGCGGCGTGGGAAGAAGGACAGGGAGCGGGGATAAAAGCCGCGTCCGAAGCCGCGCATACAGACCGAACGGACAGCTACGCCGTCTACTTCCTCTTCAGAAACCTGTCCGTCCCCTTCGTGGGAGAGACACACAGGAAGGAGCCGCTCGAAATGCGCAGAGTGCTGCTGCTGAAGGGTGGCGACCCACACAAAGTGACCAACCAATTGGCGGAATTCAAAGTCTACATCGACAACGTGAGCAGCAATTCCATTTTTATGCTGGAGAAGGTCATCTTCGTTTCGAAAGAGGGCAACGAGTTGGTGAAGGAGATCAACGTAGAGTACCAGACCTTCTTCGTGCCCCCCTACGGCATGATCCTAAACACGGTCATTAAGCAGACACATATAGAAGTGAACGAAGTGTATTACGACAAGATGTTGCAGTGTCACCATTACTATAACGGGCTGCAGGTGTGTAACAATTCTGAATTCGATTACGAAGGGTTTTCCCCCTACTATGTGTCTTATTTGGAAAATAACCAGCGAAAGGATATTTTGTTTAAGAGCAGGGAAGAGGTAGCCAGCATGATTAACAACGGGTACTTGACTGTTTCGAAGAGGTTCCAACTTGGCATGGGAGGAGACGTCATGACAGCAGATATTTATCGAACGGTTCGTATCATCGTGGAGGAAGTGGCTTACTCAGTAGGCATACAAAATCTAGGAGAGAAGTCTTGCGGAAAGCTGTATCTGAACCGGGGCAAACTGCACGTCCCAAACGATGGAAAGTCCCTCATTTCGAACATCTTCTACGACACGAAGTATTGTATTGATAAAGGGGCCGTCTTAAAGGAGATACTTCAGATATGTCACTTCGAGAAGAAGGATTTGGTGAAGTTGTTTGACTATCTATACAGCAATGTGCTGCCGTACCAGTTGAACCAGAGGCTTGCCGATTCGCTATCCAGGGAGGAGGTTCTCAGCCTGATTTACTACTTCTTATCGGTCCCGCCGCAAATGAATGAGCTGATTAAGAAGAATTCGATTTATCTCGAGATCGGCGAGGATAGCAGCGTGTTGGGGGAGAAGGACACCCCGAAGGTGAGTGGCGGAGAGGAAGAGGCATCCACACCAGTCGTAGTAGTGGTACCTTCCGCCGAGCCTCTCCTGGACTGGCTCCTCATAAAAAAGAGCATGCTATCCCCGAAGAGACTGAACGAGGAGTCGATCGTGCAGTTCAACGTGGCGCTGTACACGGAGCTGCTGAAGAACATGCGCCACTTTCACGCGAAGAGTGGGAAGGAGGTGGACCCGAAACACGTTTCGACAGAGGTGCAACCACAGGTAGAGGAGGACCAGAAGGAGAAGATCACCGACGAAGTGAAGAGCTACCTTCAGAACAGCCACACGTGCAGCGTGGACGGCCCAAGAGACGGCGGCGAAACCCTCTCATTGACGCCTCCCCTCTTTTCGAACGCCGGACCGCTGTTCAAGCCAGACGAGATCCTAACCTACAACATGCCGAGCTTCACTTACACGGACAGCGCCATCTACGTGAAGGACCAGGCGGACATTCATAGCGCCTTTAACAACTTGTTTCTCTTCGAGGGACAGAGTACCGCACATGGTAAGTATCTCAGCGCAATAGTGGTGCTCTCTCCGCATAAGTTTTCATTCCTCCAGCATATTAGCTATGTAGGGCTCATAGCCAACACGTTTGACGACGCACACCAGTTTGTGCTGAAGTGTTACCCTAATAGGAAGTACGACACGTCGGGATTTTCCAGCAAGTTTAACCTAGAGGACAACACGGTGTACTTAGTGTGTCGAAACGTGCACGTGAAATTTCTAAAAAATGGACTTTACGAGTTCAACAAGTATGTGGTAGAATACGACTCGCATTCGAACGGCACCGTCGGGCACCACATCTATGAGAGCCTGCCGATAAGGCCCGTATACCAAGTTGACAATGCCCCCGAGGTGGTGGTTCCCAAGGTGGAGAAGATTAACATTGAGGTGAAGCTCGTGCCGAGCAGTGGAAGCGGCGAGACCAGTACGCCGGACAAGAACGCCCAGCGCGTGGAATACCACATAGAGGTGAATGGACCGGTTGAGCTGCACACCGACCCGTATGTTGTGGTGAAGCCGCTCTTTAACTACACGTCGTATTTGTACAATACGATTATCTACACGATCGACGATTTCGTGTCTCACACGTTCCCAAGGAAGCTGAAGCTTTGGGAGTTCTGGAGGCTCCCCTTTAGCAAACGTCTCTTCAAGGACAAGACGCTTACGTTGAGAACGCTGCAGTGTAGTCCGGAGAGGGGGTTAGAGGACAAATCGAAGACGCACTGTGTATATTCCCTCGTCATGGTCAAGTCCTTCACCTTGGTGAAGGTCGTCATAAAGGACCTCTATGGAAACGAGTACGAGGTGAACTTGGACGGGGAGGAGCTGCCGAAAGGAACGGGCCCGATCGGTGCCGCGGGGAGTCCAGTAGAGGGTAGCCCAAGCGGGGAAGAAGCCGGGCAAACAGGAGAACAAACCAAGCCGGGCAAGGAAGTGACCAGCCCAAGCGGGGGAGAAGCAACCAAGCCAACCGTGGAAGAAACCAAGCCGGCCTCTACCCCTGCACCTGCCCCGACACCAGCCGCTACCGCTACCCCTGCCGCCACCCCCTCGCAGGGCAGCACGAAGTTGTGCACCTCGTTCCTACTCAGCATACAGGGCGAAAGCACCGGCGGAGACAATGATGCCACCTCCTTGGAGGAGGCCTTCTTCCTCGTGCACTCGTCGTGCATCGTGAGGGAGGGCGTCATAAAGCTCAGCGTAGCGGAGGACAGGGAGACCTACTCCACGGACGCGCAAGAGAAGCGCCTCATGAATAAGGACACATTCGACGAGATCTACAAAATGATAGGCGAGCAGATCAAGCTGCAGAAAGGAGACTACTCGGTAACCATTTCAAGGAGAGCGCAGAAGGGGGAGATCCCCGATAAGAATCTGTCGGTGCAAAGAGTGCACGAAGACGGATCGGCCTACTACAACAACAGCGGAATTTTCAACTTTTTGAAGAAGGGGTTCAACGTGAACTTGTTTGGGAAAAAGGGACAAGCGGCGCCAGTACCCCCTAAAGAGGTCGACAAGGTAGAGGCGGAGAAGGAGGAACGGGCTAAAGAAGGACGGGCTAAAGAAGAACGGGCTAAAGAAGAACGGGCTAAAGAAGAACGGGCTAAAGAAGAACGGGCTAAAGAAGAACGATCCAAGGTAGACACCACCAAAGTAGATCCCACCCAGGTGGAGTACGACAGAACAGTCGACAACCTCATAAGCATCAAGAGGATAGACGTACCGAAGGATGACAAAGAAGAGGCGTACGAACACAAGTACATGCTACTTATGGGAACGCTGAACTCTAGTGTAACTTCCGTGGTAGTGAAAGACGGAAAGGTGAGCGCAACGTGTTTAGAAGGAGACTGCGTTTTGGAGAATACTTTCATTGAGGACATGATGAACGCGAAGAATCTGAAGAACGGCACCTACGAACTGGACATAAAAAAGAGGATCCAATTGATCAAGAGCGATGAGAGCGGAAGGAGAGTCGCGCCATCGTCATCCTCATCGTCTTCCCTGAGAGGGGGAAGCACGCGCAAGGGCGATACCCTCGTGTGCATCGTGGAAAACTCGTTTAACACGCTAAGTGGAGGCATGAAATTTAGGAAGATAGTCCATGTGCAAGGCCAGGAAGTGGGAGGAATAAACGGGACGTACGACGTGTTTATAAATGAGGGGAGGTACATAATAAATAAGGGCAACAGTAGAGCAGCTGCGAAAGACTATATTATGATCCAAGTGTGCATTAACGAAGCGTGGAAGATAAACGATAACAAGGACTACAAATTAGAAGTGCAACTCATGAGCAGTCTTTCTAATGTTGCCAAAGTAGGCCCCGAGGAGAAAGAATACTACCTCTCGGTGAACAAGTTAAAACACAACGGCATGCCGCTAGATCCGAAAAATAATGTGGTGCATTTCATTGGAAAGAAGGGGTTAGACGATGGCAAGTACATTGTACAGGTGAATGGTGACAAGTACATTTCGGACGCGCTGAGCGTGACGAGTGACGATGCAGAAAGGACTGTTAGTACTACGCCTCTAGGGAGGGAAGCGGCCGATCAGGTGGAGCGTTTCTTTCAAGACGTATTCAAGATGTTACACAAGAAGCCAAGCGACGGGTCTTACTATGTAGAAATTTCAGACAGCGAAATTGCCGATGTGAACGACAAGATGTTTTTCAGAGATCAGATAGTGTTGACTGAACCGGCGGATACTTCTACTCATGGGATGAAAGATGGACGAGATGAAGAAGTGGACGAAGAAGTGGACCACGAGGACATGATCGAGAAAGCTTACTTAGTGGATATAGTGCCTGACAGCGAAGACGACCAAGGAGCTTCGCAGTACGAAGAGGTATACATCCTGCACAGGTATACCCTAAAAGCCGGGCACTTCCATATAGAATACGATAATGGCGTGTGCACACTGAAAGGTGTAATGAGAGGAGATGAAAGCGCACGTTCGAGCGACATGGAAAATGTGCTGAAGATATCAGGCAGGAAGATCAGCAATGGCAGTTACTTTGTGCACATTGGGGAGCTCTTCATGGATGAGCAGGGCGAATACTTTGACAATCCCTATGCCCCCCAATGGAAGAAGGCCCACCATACAGGAGGACACCACAGTGCAGAAGGACACCATGGTGCAGAAGAACACCAACCTGGTTTCGACGCGAAAGAGATAGAGGAGGAAGGAGAGGCCCTAACCGATGAAGCGTTTTGGAACCACGTCATGCAGAATGTGCCCGGGGGAGAGTTCCACGAGGGGATCATGCTGAAACCGATGACCACCGCACATCAGGAAAATGGAACCAAGGGAAAAGATGATCGCCCCTTTCACGCCTACGTTTATATGGATAACGACGGAAAAGGAAACAGCTGCAAGTATAGGAAGGTTCTACAGGGATGGGGCACTGGGTTGCAAAAGGGCAAGTACTATGTACAAGTCCTGAACGGGTCCTACTTCCCAACAACGGTCTCCGGTCCGTATGTGAATAATGAGTATTTGAAGATGCTCATAGAGAATGCGTGGGGTTATCCATACGGATCCATCTTGGGGTTCTATGTCGACATTCACCCGGGAGATTATGAAGAAGGGGAGCAGCAGATGAAGAGCACGCTGGAGACAGGGGAGGCCTATTACAGCGTCAGCATTAAGCAGTTGAATGGTGACCTCGATAACGGGGGAGATGCAACGAAGCAGGAGAAGCTGAAAGAGGAGCTCATCAAAATTGCCGGAAGAGAAGTACCCACCGGAGAATACTTCATAGAGGTGACTGCTAAAAACGGCATCGCTACCGGAATGGACTCGGATGGCAAAAAAATGGATCTGTCTTTTCTCAAAAATGTGGTGCTTCTTCCGTATGACATGATGAAGAGGGGAAAGTACCACGTGGTGATCACTAAGGATGTGCATGTTAGGAAGACTGAGCAGGACGCAGCGGCGATGGCGGCGGGATCGTTGATATCGCCGCGATTTTCCGGATGGGCGCAATCAGCCGGATCTGCCCCATCTGTGGGAGCGAACAGGGCCCTCCCTGTGCAGAAGAAGCTGCTGAATAAGACCCTTGCGTTGACCAAGGTGAACCTAGTGGACGATCCCCAGATCGTGCAAAAGGACGAAACGATCATCACAGCGATCAAGATACACCCGGATAGGAACATCCCAGACGGAAGTTACCGAATGGATGTGGACAACAATGGGACGATCCAAATTAGGGCAATGTACATGGGTAGGTCATTAGCCCCATCGGAAGAGAGAGAACTGAAGAGCGTGTTGCCATCCCCCTCACCAAGCGGATTGGCTAGCGGCCTCTACCTCGTGCAGGTGAAGAGCAGTGAGGAGAAAGAGGAAGGATCAAGAAGCGACTTAAGAGAGGATAGGGACACATCACGGAGGACTGCCTCCTCTTCTTTATCTGGCTCCCCCTCGTGTATAAGCACCCCCGCGGGAGAGAAGACCTCCATGACTATAAGGAACAGGGATGGCAGCATGGTGTACTATGACAACCAGCCACACGCCATGGGTCGAATAGCTATGCCATCCGTCAGGGGCGACAGAACGATGACTCAGTATCAGCGAGGAAACTGTCAGGAGGGCATAAAGCTAACCCACTGCACGTCGTCGAACCCGGGAAACTGCAGGAATGTGTTCAAGGCCCGACGGGTTGGAGAATGAACTGACGTAACAGCGCGGGGGGCAAGAGGGAAGAAGTCTGTCGGGGGGAAGGGGGGCGACCTCGTGGTGCCACCATGCAACGGTGTGCCATCACGAAGTGAGGGGGTTTATTTGCACCCCACTCAGCCTGGTCGCGTGCCCCCCCCTTGATTTTCCGTGCCTATTTGAGCGTGCGTTTCGTAGCGCCTCTGTGCGCCTGTTTGAGTGTAGCTCAACTTGACTGCCCATTTGCGCTCCTACAGTCGTGGGCGCATTTTTCTTCAACTCCAATTCACCCCATTTGTTCGTAACTCTTTAAAAAAAGAAATATCAACGAGGTTTTCACTCGGTTCATTCTGGCTGCTACTTCTGTTCACTTGGTTTAGTCTGGCTTCTACGTCTGTTCAGTGGTACGGAGGGGAAATGTAAAATGTGAAGGGACCCCATAACGCTGCCCCAACCGCGGCGGAGAAGGGTTTGTCTGTGGGGGGCAACCTGTGTATATATGCCTCTCCAACTGTGCAGGGGATAGCAGCTGAATTTTGGAAAATGTGCGCCCAGTTGAGGGGGCAGACCATGTTCGGAGCACTCCTCTTATTTTGCTGCATCGTTCGGGGAAAAACTTCCTCTGATTGTGCCCCATTTGGCGGAACTATTGAATCGACGCGTTTAGTGAGGCACACTGGGTCGGCCTTGCGCTGCGCTGCCGTCGTAGGAATTCGTTTTATTGTTGTTCCTCCCGATGGGGGGCTACTCCCCGCTGCATAGGGAACAATTCTGCCGTGGTTTTTTTTTTGTCTTTTACATTTTTCCCTCTGAACGAAGGAGTCATTCATGTGAAGCGATTACCTTTAAGGAAATTAAGAAAAAATGTTTACATGCACTTGTGTGCTATTTGGTTGGTTGCGTTTCTTATGAATTTATGTTTGTGTGGGGGTCCAGCGCGTAGGGGTTACAAGTTAGGAGCTACCAGTTAGGAGTTACGAGCGGGAAAAGGTGTTCACGTGAGGAAAATGTGTTCACGCAAGGGAAACCACATAGGCATGGTGTTAGGCGGGAAGGCGAGTTCGCGTCGTGTTCCCACTGAGTTACAACTGAGCAGGAGAAAAAAAAAAAAAAAAAAAAAAAGGCACACGTTGAGAGGGGACTGCACCCTGCTTGCAAGCTGTGCGTTTGTGCATTTCGCTTGAGGGTGGTCCCACAGGATGACTAATGGATACGATGGGGAGGAGCACGTGGCAATGTGCTGGTGGTACAGGCACCCCGCGGAGCTAACGCTGCGTTTTGTCTGCTAGGTATGTGAGTATGCCTCGATATGCATACTCTGCTACGTATTCTCCGCTACGCATCCTCTGCTCCGTCCGCTCCCTAGTTGAAGTCATTCGGCGCGATGACGTCGTCAATTTTGAGTATCATCTTGACCACCTGCGTGGCGAGGGAGAACTGGTTGTACTTGGAATTGAACGTTTCGAAAATGCCCTCCTCGATCATGTCGTCCACCTTATAGTTGAGGCTGTCGATGCCGAGGTTTTTCTTCTTCTCCTGAATGATCTTGGTCTTAATTTCGGAGATGATATCGATGCTGCTGAGTCCCATGTTATTGCATAGGTTGATTGGAATAGAGAGGAGAGCATTTCCAAAGGCTCGGATGGCATATTGTTCTATTCCTTTACATTTGTCAGCCACATTTTCAATAGCAAGAGCAGCGTAAATTTCGCTTGCGCCTCCCCCAGGGAGAATTCGATTATCCCTTATCAGATTACGGACAGAACACAAGGCATCATGTACACTTCTTTCGCATTCTTCAATCATCATTTGGTTTCCCCCTCTTAACAGGATGGTAATCGCTTTCGTATTTGAGCAGCCTTCGATAAAAACCATCGGATCGTTTACAGTCCCATGACTAATTTCTCTTATCAATTCTGCTTTTCCTAATTTCGATTCATGTATGTCTTCAAATCTGGGGATGATTTTTCCTCCTGTAGCGATGGCTATTAGTTCCATTTCGACCCCTCCTACCCATCGGATGGCTGGGATGTTTTCTTTCAAGAGAAGATAATTCGCTTCATCATCAAAACCCCACTGACAGATAACGAAATTAGCTCCTGCCTTCTTCAACGAATCGATCATATCGTAAAAGTACTTCTTCTCAATATTCTGCAGATCGCGAAATGCATCCACATTTGTTATATTTACCTTATGTTTTATTTTTGGCTTAGGTGGTTCGAATGGACACGTTAGGATAGCAATCTTTGCATTTCTCACTTCTTTGACCATCTGTGAATGGGAAAGCTCTTTATTTAAGACAATTCCTTTGATTAGGGTAGACTCTTCTAAGAGGCCTCCTGTTTTTCCTTCAATTTTGATGAGGTCAAATCGGACGTCTTTCCTTTCCATATCTGCAACGGAGAGAACAGCGTCCACGACGATGTTTGATAGAAGCTCCTTTTTACTGGACACAATTTTAGAGCTTAGGGAAGTGCTGGCCAGTTTTTTTAACATCTCATTTTTGTTCTTCTGGATGTCTACTGTTATTGCAATCTCTTCAATCGCCTTCAATGCTATGCTGCATGCATTTTCGAACCCATCGGCGATACGTAGTGGGTGGATTCCTTTATCTATGAGAGTGTATGCTTCTTCTAGGAGGACCCCCGCGATGATAACAACACCGGTGGTCCCATCGCCAATTTCGTTGTCCTGACTTTTGGACAATTCGACTAACAATTTTGCGCACTCATGCTGGACGTCAATCTTTTCGAGTATTGTCGCTCCGTCATTTGTCACCGTCACGTTGTTGTCTTCGCTGACGATGATTTTATCCATGCCCCTTGGCCCGATGGAGCTTTTCAAAATATCTGCCACCACCTTTGCTGCGAGGATGTTGCTCTTGTGCGCCTCGATTCCTTTTATCCTCTTCTTCTCCTCCTCCTTCAGAATCACGAACGGCTGCCCGTACTCGTCGATGGCGATGTTCATGGTGAGGGGGGAAGCGGTAGAGGGGGGGGTCCAGAAGGGCTTCTTCTCTTGCAATTCGCTTGGCACACTTCTTCTCGAGGCGGTCACGCTATTGCGACGCTCTTGTTGGAGAGAGATATTTCACCACTTGGAAGGTGTTACGACCGCGCGGTGAAGAGGTTCAATGGTGAAAAGGTGAATATACGACGGCACAGGAGTGTCCGCGCAGAGTTGTACGCTCGATAAACTCTCCTTTCCACTTCCAACCGTTTGGAAGCCCTCACCATGTGCGTCACGTGTACAGTTTGGGTCAGCTCCTCATGGGTACTTTTTTCGATGTACGTGAGAAAAAATGGTGGCTCTTTTTTCTGTTTAAAATTTACCTGAGCAATGCATGCTTTGTTCGCTACTCCGCTGTAGGTCATTCGTCAACGTCATTTGTTTTTATTTTTTTTATTTTTATTTTTTTTTTTTTACAAACCACAGGGAGTAATTTTTTCCCGCGCGGGTTAACATCAAGGGGGGGTGGCGCAAAATGTACTTTTTTTAATTTCACACGCGGGGCGGAGAGAAGGATGCCACCAATATGGAATCAACAATCGCGCCGGTGCGTGGAGGGGGCATACCAGCCATAGGAGTATACGTGCGGCGACGCTGCCCCGCTTGGGGGAATACACCCGAGGGGTGTCGCAGCCAAAAAGGGGAACTTTGTAAAGAAGGGGTCACCACGGGGGGGGTCATGTAGAAGGGTGACATCACCTTGGCTTCCTTTCTTTTTTTCTTTTTTGTTTTTCCATTCTTGCGGCATCGATATGCCGTGGTTACGTGGGGAAAAAGCTGTTCTCCCACAAAGGGGGTATACCTCTAAACTGGGATGCCTCCAAATTGAGGCACCCCTCCCAAGGGCGTCACTGCACCGAGGAGCTACACCCTCCTTTTGAGGCGCTCCAGTATACCGCTTCTTTTGGAGCCATACAGGGCACCCCGCCGCCCCCATCTGCACAAGAGCCAGTTGTTACGTTTTTGCCACAGCACCCCTTGCGCGCGATCAGCTGTGTAAAGAAGTGGGTATAAATATACAGGAAACTGACAGGTAAGCGACCGCACAACTGAGAGGCGACAAAATGGTGAAGGTGATCCACTTCGCCGAGGTGGAACGGCACGTAAAATAGATTGTGTAAAAAAAAAAATTGCACACGGAGGGGGCTTCACCGTGCGGCCGCTCAACCGCCTAACCGCTTCACCACCCCCGTGACGTCGTCGACGGGCCCATGGATCACGGACAAGTAGTCCGCCGGCGAGATGTTGCTGTGCAGGAGGTTCTTCAGCACAACTTCGTAGTTGGAGCAGGGCCAAAAGACGAGGCACTTGGCACTAACTTGGATTTTTTCCCTCTCGCTCATATTTTTCCGCATCATCTTTTCGCAAGTGTATCGGTACGACGTGGGGGCGAGGCAAAAGCTTAGTGTCTCTTTCCATCCAATGGGGCAGTTAAAGGAGTAATCTCTTTTACAGTCCTTAACACAGGGGTAGAACACATGGCACATTTTTTCGAAGTTTTTTTTTTCCTCCTCCATAATGTTGCCTTTGAAAATATAGTTATGTCTGCACCTACCGTTGTAATTTTCAGAGGGGGTGCATTCCTTGTCGTTAACGGGGATCCACAAATTGGGACACAAATCAGTGTAATTCTTTTCACACGAGTAAACACATGGGTAATTGAATTGGCACTTATGTTCGTATGTCTGTTTCATCACTTCATCAAGGTGCTTTAGGTAAATTTTTTTCTCACAGTTTCCGGAGTAGCTACTTGTGGCGAGGCAGTAACCATCTGCCCCTTCGATCCATCCACTTGGACACAAAACGGAGTAATCATGAGTGCATTTTTTCTTACATGGCCATCTGATATCGCACAAGTTAGAGTAAATAGCCTTCTCCTTAGTGGTCATAGTACTAAATTTTATTCTTCGTAGGCATTTTCCCGTGTAGGAGTGTGCGGCTCTGCAGTAACCATCCTGTTCTTCCTTCTCCATAACCCAATCGATTGGACACACGGAATTTTCAAAGTCTTGGATACACTTATAATCGCACTTCCAAAACAGGGAACACTTCTTTTCCATTTGCATTTTCTCCTCCGTGTTTAGATCGCTCTTTATTTGTTGTCCACATGTACCGATGTAGGACTCTGGGGCAACGCAAAGGATTTCATTCATCTCGCTTACTTTCCAGTTTAGTGGGCACTTCTCTGTGTAATCCCTTACGCAGTTTTTCACCTCCGACAGGGATTCTTTCAAGACGTCGAGTGGCACGTCCAGTTTGGTGGAGAGCCCCAGCTGGGAAATTATGTACCTCTTGCTGTCGTCCGCGCCGCTGCGATGAGGGGGCGTGTTGAGTTGCGCCGTCTCGTCTAGCTTCGATTTTGCTTCGTTTGCCTTGACTTCCTCCACTGCCGCTTTGTCCGCCTCATCCTGTTCCCGCTTCTTTGAACACAGGTTTTCCAATTGCTCCCTAATTTTTGCATCCGCCTCGCCTTTAAACTCCTTTTCGATCATACCGATGCACTTTGCGTATTCGTCCTCTGGGGAAAGCTTTTCCTTCTCCCCATTCGTTTTCGCCGTGGAAACTTCTGTCTCTGCGTCAATTTGACGATCCTCATTTTGATCACTTGACTCGGCTCTGCCTTCCTGCGTCCCTTGCTCCTTCCTTTCTATGTGCAGCTTTTTTCTCAAAGAGTCGAAGTTGTATTTGTGTATCTTTCTGTCCTCACGTTGGTGAACCGCCTCATGTTGTTCACTTTTGTGCGAAATTTTGTTTTTACCTCCCGCGCTTACTTCACCAGAGTTGCTCTGGAAGACAACACAGAGGGTGAGCCAAACAAAGGGGAACCAAACAAACGTGAGCCGTTTCGTCATGGCGATATGCAGATGACGGTTCGGTCCAGAACGTAGCGACGTGTGCACAGGGATGACAAGTGCGACTTTTTACCTGAACGGGGCAGAAAGTGGGCGGAAAAAAGAAGACAAAATGGGGTTACATACACACAGAGAGTGGGAACATGTCATGAAGAATGCGTTGCTATGTCTGTCTCTTCCTCCATGTGGACACCTGTTTGCACGGAATGGTGAACCCCTTACCGTGGTAGCGTGGATGTGCAGCGCCCCCAATTGAACATTCTCGTGCAACGTTTTTCCTGCAGTGGTTCACCTCACCGCGGGTATGTAGTTACAGAAGGGGAAAAAAAAAAAAAGAAAAAAAGTGTCGTGGCGAATCAGCCCCCTCAATGAAGACACACCAGCGCTGCAATTCGCATTGGACCTCCCTACCAGGAACGTCCAAAAAAGTGTGGAAGCCTTTTTTTTTAAAGTCTACGTGTCTGTTCCCGTGAGGCGACAGTTCTATGCTGCCGCGGACGCTCTCTTCACCATGCGGACAGGTGTGAATATACACGCATTGTCCAATTGGCAATCCGAATTGGCGATCCTAAATTGCAATCCCAATTGGCAGTCCAAATTGGCTATCCCCCTTGGCAGTCGCACCTACGCTGCCACGCGTTCTCATCACAAATTTCAAAATGATTAAACTGATATATATACACATTTGGGGGGGGAGTTAAAGTTTGGTACAGAAACATAAAAAAATAAAAAAAAAAAATTTTAAATGGATCATCAACGACAGGCAATTAAAAATAATTCTTAAAAATTATAATTAAAAAAAAAAAGAAAATTACGAAGATGAGGATTCCGTATTGGTACAGGGTGTATCTGAGGCTGAGCACTCTGGAGACCTTTTTAAACTGCGTAATGGAGGAGTGAGGACGATGAAGTGTGGGAGGGGGACGTAATGGAGATGTAGTGGAGACGTGACGAGAAGACTTTCGCTTATTTTTCCACCGAGCCACTCTCTCGTCAGACGTGGCCGTGACACAGTATGACACACGTGTGTAGGCATTCCCAAACGGAACGGCAGCTCTGGAGTACCTTCTCCGACTCGTACTTCAAGTTGAAGGCTTTCCGTCCGACATCTGAATAAGGAGAAGGGATGTAAAGGGGGGTGGTGATGGTTGGGGGACCTCTCTGCACACATGTCTGCAATTGCAAAGAGGCAGAAACAAAAAGGGGGTTGCCAACGCGAGTGCGTTGCGGCTAGTGGCCGGACCTTCCAGATTCTCTCCGCGCAGGAGGATATCGTCTATGTTCTTCTTCATTATGCTGCTGACTTCGTTCAGGCTTTCGTTAAGCTTCTTAATAGCGATGTTGGATCGGGGGTCCTTGTACTCCTGTTTGATCTTTGAAATTTTTCTGTCTTGGTATGGGGAAAGGGAGCGAAGGAGGGGCAGTGAAACGATTTTCGGTGAAACAATAGGCAGTGAAGAGGGGATGCGCGATGGGAGATACTATATGACGCCGTCCATCTTGCACCTCGGAAATGCTCTTCGCGGTTAAGAGGCAATGGCGACATACCGAACTTGATGAAGGAGTAGGGCTTCTCGATAGTCTCAATGATGGACCTGTAATCTATCGAGTGCGTCCCATACTGGATCATAAGCTCTGTGTGGAGGGAATGAAAAATTTAACATGAAGGCAAACGGACGAAGGCATAAAGGGAGAGGAGGGGGGAGGCACACAAAACAAGACAAACGACACAACAACAGGGAAGCCACACAGACTGGTGGACATATTTCAACCTTCATTGAACTGCTTGCAAATGTCGTTTAGAAATAAGAAGGCTAATTTCTTCGGGTAGGTGACGGGGAAAACTGCAATGTAGGCTATTCCATTGTCGATGAGAAAGCTGAAGGGGGGGAGTAGGGGGTTCAATGGAGGTTAAAACGTTGAATAGCGCCGTCTCATGGGGGAAGGTCAAAGCAGCTGCAGAGGAAAGCTCTTCGGCACAAGGACAACTGCAATTCGTTTGGTCCTCTTCCGTGTGAGGGGAAGCATTTGGGAGTCCAACTGGACTTGCAGTCGGCGTAATTCTTCCCATTTTTGTGCTAATCTATTTGGTCGCAATAAGTGTGATTCTATTAAGCTATATGTTGCTGGCTCGCCGCTGCCCCGTCGATGCTTGGCCGCTCCTACCCCGCCTCCTCTCCCGACGCACTTACTGGTAGTTGAACTGGTTGGACGTGATGGTAGACAAACTGGGAAAGGGCTGTAGCTTCTTACATAACTTTTTCAACTCTATTTTGTGTGCAATATTTTTGGACTCGCTGTTCGTTTCAACCAAAGTCATGCCATCGCTAACTCTACACAGTAGTACCACATCGCACATTTTTCTCCGTGCTGTTAATCAAATGGGTGTTGGTTCAGTGGGATGGTAAAGAAAAAGTATGCAACGTAGTCTCTTCAAACTCGATGATGGAGAAGGATTTCCTTATGCTTTATTTGTACACATGGTATGTTCAGAGGGGTGGGAAGAAGAAAAAAAAAAAAAAAGAGAGAGGGAGAGATACAAACATGTGTGTGTCGAGGAGTACACATTCACAGTGGAAGTCGCATGTTCTCTTTTTTGCAAATCAAATCATTATGTTTATGCAAATTTTCGAGGGATGCAACGTATCGATCAATCTGCTTCTGCACATATATGCGTCCATGCGGACGAGTTCACGTCAGCGCCGCAGAACGGGGAAACTGGGAGAAATGGGCAAATCGAAAAGGGGGAATGCATTATGCGTTGTTTTCAAGTTGGCCTGAAGCAAACGCGTCCATCTGGAGAAGGCCCTCGCCCTCTTCGTTGAAGAGACTAAGCAAAGGGAATGTTCAAACCACTTCTTTGCCCAGCGGTGAAAAGAAAAAAACGTATAAAAAGGTGAACGGGAAAGAAGAAGAAAAAAAAAAGAGTGTAGTCGCGTGGAGTATTCTTCCCTTCGTGGTATGCAAGAATGCAAGAAGATGTTTATTCCAAACGGTTGGCCTGAATTGACAGGCGCTCTTCGCAAAATTCACCAGTTCAACTCCGCACGGTTGATTTGCCAGAAAAAAATTATCACGGTACGTGTTTTATTTTCCCGCATGCGGAAAAAAGAGAAGCGGCAAAGTGGGCCTTTCTCATGTCCACTTAAAAGGGAAAGAGCGAGAATATCTATCGCTGCAGTGAGGACTGTTTGGTACAGCAGCTTTTTTTTTTTTTTTGCTCATGTTAGTCCTCCCGCTCTTTTTTACAATTACGGCCCATTCGGGTGAACCCTCAGGAGAAAAAGATATTCTTAACGGGCAAAGGGAATTTTGTCAACTTATTTTTTACCCCGCCGAAATGTATACTTTCTCTTTTCTAAGCAGTAACCGTACGATAAGACAATCTGGAAGTTCAAGCGGGCGGACAAACTGGAGAGTTCAAGGAAGCAGTGCAGCAATTCCGTAGTACCGCGGCGCCGCAATACCTCTCAGCCGTAACTCATATGTAAGCGGTCTATACAGGTGTTGTTTACCAACTTCGGCAGCCTCGTCCCTTGGGGGTGGTAGACCTCTTTCCTCTTCTCTCCAGTTGGTGAATATACGGTAAATACCCCCAATTCGAACCAGCGACTTCGCTAATCCAGGCGAGGTGCAGCATTCAACGCGTAAGACTTCCCATCACGATGCGGCAATGTGTTGACAGTTGGAGAACGTTAAAGGGAGCAGCGCAGAGAGGATACAAACACCCTCCCGCCGCTTCCCTTTCTTTGCGCAAACTGGGTTGATAATCCCCCATGTAAGGGAGACACTTAGCAAGCTATACCGATTGCAACGGTGAATAAATAGTAACCTTGTGCGACACACACGAGGAAGGGGTACTCCTTCGGGGCGTAGTTTTTGGCAAACAAATTGCACATTGGGAAATCTCGAAGAGGGCACATGTCTATTCGATATATTTAATAATCAGTGTAATGGCTGATACATTTAAAAATTTAATTATACAGGGAGGAGTGTTTTTTTTTTTTTTTTTTTTTTTTGATTTAATAAAATCGAGGGAAAAATTGCCATACGGGCAGAAGCTGCCACAAATGACGGGGGTAAATTTTTATAATTTTAAAAAATTTAAAAACATTACGCACAACTATATGTTTGGCGTTTGTTCAGCGAGGAAACACACAAGCCCCGTTCGGTGGGGGCATACGTGACACGCTGAAATGTTTTTTTTTTTCTTCCTTTTGAAAGTGTGGTCTTGTCCTCTGGCCATGGAGGTGGACGGGGTCACCCCTCCCAGTTGGCAAGGTCGCCACTTCGCTGCTTGGCCACTTCTCCATCCCACCGATGACCCCCGTCTACTCTTCCATTTCCTGAATGTGCGCAGGTTCCCCACCCGAGTCATGTTCTTCAAGCTTATACTCTTCGTCGATTTCGTCGAACGTTCCGGACTTTCTGTGTGGAGGAAGAAGGGTAAACGCGCGTATGCAGATGTACCTCCCAGCAGGTGTACACGTTGTGGGGACCGTGGCTTCTTCTCAAATGATCGCAAACACTCTTAGACGCCCGCAAATACTCTCATACATCGGCAGCGCTACCTCAACTTCTGCAGCATCTTGTACTCGTTGTAATGCTTCTTGCGCTTTTCCTTGAAGTCAATGTTGGCGAGGGCTTTGCTTTCCTGCTTTTCCACCAGCTGGTTCAGCTTGTCTATGAGGTCGTCCGCGATGTTGGTTTGCTGCGGGGAAGGGGCGAAACAAGTGAGAAGCAAAAGCGAAGTTGGCGTCAAAACGAGTAGGAAGCAAGCGCGAAGGTGAGTGGTTATTTGCCCGTTCGATCATTCACCGAGGGGTCCACTCAAACGGATCAGTCAAAAAGGTAAAAAAAAAAAAAAAAAGGCGACCATGTCAAGTCGATAATATTTCCAAACGAAGCAAAGGAGAGTGTGCCAAGGGGTCCACTTCCCCCTCTCAGTATGACGTTGGGGGCAATTCCTCACCTGAACTTCACATTGTCCCTTTGAGTCTCCGAACTTAGAAGCTTCATCTTCCGAAGCGCTATCCTGCATGAAAAATGGCAGTGTTAAGATGATGCTGTGATGAGCGAACTGACGAAATGGCAGACTCGGGTGATCGCCTCTCAAATCCACAGCGTTGCACTCTACAAAATGGTGCACACAAAATTGCTACATAAATATACACAACGGAAGTTACGTGCACTGACGGACATCAGAGCGCACGTGTCGTACCATCAAAATAAAATTGAACGGTGTGTTCGGCTCCAGGATTTTCATCCTCGAGCCTCTTTCCTTGTCTTGTTCATTAATGGTGACTTCATCCCATGATATAGTTTTTTTTCTGAACAAGTTAGGCAAAAAAAAAGAAAAGAGGGGGAGAAGTATTTTTGTGTAAAAGGGTGTGCAAAAATATAGGTGGGGTTACTCACGTCCATATACACCGCTTCACCCGTTTCATGGAAGCACGTCGAACGGGGCCACCTCTCCAGTCTACATAAGGGTGACTGCGCACTTTCCCCATAGCACTCTCCACACGGCACTCCCCAGATGGCCCTCTTCCCTTACGTAACCGTTTTATCGATTTTCTTTTTCATCCTTTGTCTTTTTTTTTCATGTTCTTTCCTGCTGGGCCGCTCTATTCAATGGTCTTAAACAGAATTAAAAGAACAGGAAAATGACATGCTCCCCTTGTACGTGCAGTTGTACATACATATGCGTGCATATCAGTAGAGCTTGCGAGGGTCACTTGTGCGTAACGTCACATGTGGATGGGGGAGAGGGCGGTTGACATATGGCTCCTCAGTCACTTCGCAAATGTCACATGGATGAGTAAGCACATGTACGTATGTATACATATAAGTGTATATGTGAGTGTACAGTTGAGGGTACAAGTGAGTCTACACGTGAGTGTATATATGCTTATGTTCCCATGTAGAGGGATGCACGTGGGGGGGGAAAAGAACGCTGGAGCGATGTTTTTCCAATTCTAATGCACAAAAAAATGTCCGCCGGGATGACGCAAACTTTTCCACTAAAGTCATGTGGGACGCATTTGTGGTATTTCACTCATATGAGGACGTAGTAAGGTGAATACATGAGGAATGCAATTTTCTTCCGGTTTGCAAAAATGGATGGAAGCGTGGCAGTGCATATTTTTATCCAGTGACTTTAGTGGAGCCCCTTTCAGGTTCATCATTTTGGCGCGTACAAGCGTATGTACGAAAAAAAAAATTAGCAAACGGGGGGAACAAGCGAATGTCACATAGATGCTGACATGTTTTTTGAATTTGTTTAAAAAGCCAACGTTTGTGCGGTTTAGCTGCGATCATTTTTGCGGTTCCTGGGTATATGGCAGCTCCTCCCCGCGGGGAGAATTTAAAGAAGAGTAATGGGCTGGGGGTTATCACCCTCCCGCCCCGCGTTTGAGTAAACATCGTCACGTATTTCGTGTGCCTCCTGTGTTGGCACCCCGCCATGCGTTCATCACGCAGTTAGTCCCCTTCGTCTGGGGGGGTACCCCTCCATACGCTGTACACAATGTAAGACCTTCCTTCCTCTCATTGCACACAGAGCAGTGACTTACAGGGGTACCGACAGATGTTTAGCCCCTCGTGAGGTAGCCCCCTGCATGAACAGACGCGTTACATGTTGGGCGTCTGTGACGTTTAGCTGTTCTCCCAAATGGGTCCTTCTGCTTTCTCCACTTTTTATGTCACTCCTTCCCATTGGGAGAAGAAGGAAAAGTAGCTTCTGTACCCCCCTTGTTTAACTTTGCCTAGCTTAGCGCAGGTTAGCTTATCTTATTTCATCTTAGCTGCCTCCCACCTCGCGCTGTTCTCACGCATTCATCGCAAGCGCAGTGGTCGTTGTACTAACGGGGGGCGTAAATTCGTTCCCCACACACAGACACACACCTGACCGCTTGTTCCAACTTGTGCTTGGCTCGAAGTTGTCGACACCACAAGGATTGTATTAGAGAGGAGCAAATTTCACAGTTGAGCTAGCCAATAAACGTGCCGAGCACCTCTGTGGATACTTCTCTTGGAGAAGTGTATACCTTTACGGAAGAGGAAAGAATTGATCACTGGGTGAATGGTGTCACCTGGAGGGAGAGGGGGGAAAAGGAAAAGGTCCTTTAGGTAGGGGAGGAGTTCGTCTCGATTTCCCTTTTTCTTTTTTTTTTTTTTTTTACATCATTGTTTTGTTTGTGAGGAGGCCTCCATTTTGACATTCCCCAATAGTGCTTGTTCCATTCCAAATGTAAAATGGGCTGAAGAGGCCGCCTCATAGGTGAAAAAGCAACCCCCGTTTGTCTGCTTACGTAGCGCTACAGTGAGATGCGCTGAAAAGGTCAAGAAGGCACTTGTCCGGTGCCGTAGCCTTGCCAACTTTCTTTCCCCCCCCCAAGGAGTTAAACCTAATAGGAAAATTCCCAAAATGGTATATGAGGTACGATTGAAAGGCACAGCTCAATGCGATTCGGCCTCCTCTTTGCAGAGCAGAATCGATTTGGGATGATCACACAAAGAAACGCTTCGCCCCTAACGGGGAAGTGACATATACACGCATGTCACAAAACTGTGGGACTAGTGTTTTCCTTAAAGAGTTGAAAAAATGGTCAGCTAGAGAGCAACTTTGGGGAGTTTCCCCTCGATGGGTTGCCAATTTGTGAGCAGCATTCCATTGCGTATGATCGATCTGGAGGTGTCTGAGAGGAGGGACATTGTCCATTGTAGTCCCATATCAACACTGTGGCGTCCCCTTTTTCCTAAACTTATGTTTGCAAGGAGAAACTTCGAAGGGCATCTTCCGTGGCCTGGCATAGGACAATCAGTTGTCCTCCCTCCTCCTCCCACCCTCTTCTGCCCCTTTCTGCGCTGAGGGGTACCGTTCGCAGCAGTGGTTCCCCGCACATGTGTATAATTTACACTTAAAGGGACGAACGATAATGCGCCAATTTTGTCTAACTTCAACGGGAGGGGCGGTCTCTTCCGTGGGGTTTACTCGGAGTTTTTTTTTTTTTTTTTTTTTTTCCCAATTGATGGGTACGAGATAATGGCGCAAAAACGCAACATCGCCTCTCGTCCTGTCAGCTCAATAGCGGGGATTCCACCCCCCTCACAAAAGAAGTTGCATCGGAGGGAAAAATGTCGCGGCAGAGTTTCCCAGCAAAGTGACGCTACGAAGGACGTCACAAAGTGACTTCACATGTCGAGAATCCGTGGGATGTAAGAAAGCCTTGCTTCGACCTGCGGAGGTGCAAGAAGAGGCCCGCTTAACGGACAAGGGGTGCAGGGCTGCGACGAGGTGAGCCGTTCGTCGCTCCGCCCCCCGAGACTCCGGCGCGGACGCAAGGAGGCACTTATTGACTTCTGCACTTATGTATGTACATGTTCACGCGCTCCCATGCAGACATCTTCGTTGCGGAATGAATAGCTACTACTTGCTCTGCTGGACACGCAAGTGAAGGAGGCACCTCCGGATGGGTACTTTTGCGCAGAGCCGAAGCGCATTTTTTTTTTTTTTTTCCCCTTATTATTCATACGTTCATTCCTCGCGCCAATCACTTTCTCCTTCAGCTCCTCTTTCCCTTCTAGCAGAATTAAATCTGCCAAGAGGATTTTACAAGCCATTGTTCTTTGTACCAAAATAAGGCAGACGCAACAAGTGAACATTTTTTTTTTCTTTTTAAAGGGAAAACATCACGTTATGTTTTTCTTTCCCGCAGAGGGGTAGCGAAACTGGGCCTGGGGAGTTGTTACCATTTCGTACAGCGTTGCCACCATCCTGTGCAAAGTTGCTACCACCACGTGTGAAGGATCTTCACCCCTTGATGAACTCACCAATGTTATATCACCTGAACAGGGCTATCAATCTTTTCGGCCTCATCACAACCAGGAAGAGAAATTTCCCCCCGTCACACACCTCCGTTGCGGCACCTGAAAGGGAGCACCACCACATGCGACGCCACCACTCCTAGAAGGACAACAAATGAACAATGGCGAACGCCGAGCTGGTGGACGCAGGATGCTTCATCACCCAGATGAATGAGTTGCTGCTAATAGACCCCCTATACATAAATTGCACTATGACGAATTACTGCAATGGATACATAAGTGGAAAGGAGCACCTGGTGCCGAGGGAAAGGCTAAATGGGATTTATTTTAAAAACGCAAAGCCGGGATTATGGTCCTGCTTTGCCATTCGTGAGACCAACCAGGCGTGTTTGAAGAACGCGACCAAGCAGGAAGCCGCAACAGACGTAGCACATGAGAGCGACCACAACTCGTACAATAATATCAGAAACGAAATGGTCCTCTCATTCATATGTCTTAATAACACAGAATACATGCGCGAGTGTTTAACGATAGAAAAAGTGGATGAGTTAAAATGGGAAAGATTGGAGCCAAATGAAAAAATTCACCCAGCACTTGACCAAACAGGCAACTGTAGCAGCACTGTACATAGCGACTGCAAAAATGAGAAAATGACGAATTCTCGTAGCGATAAAAGTGAACTTCTCCCACTGGAAAATTATTTTACAAACATTTTAACCATCGAAAGTGGACAGGGTGGCCTATTTTGCATTGAATCGATAAAGCACAGCGCTGACCTGCTTTTTCAAAAACACGGAATGAATAACATTAGCAGTAGGGAACAGCTGGATAATTTATTCAATCAAAACATGAATGATCTTTATCCTTGGTTTGATAAGATTTGCAATTTAACCATGTCATCCTCAGTCGCTGTGATCGATTTTATTGACATGCCCATTGGCTGTGTTTGTCTGTCCAGTTCGGACTGTGTTGTTAACTATTTGTGCGAAGTGGTACGTGATGAAGTCACCGACGAAGTGTGGGCCATTCGAGTTAACTTCCTGGCGCCCCTGAAATGAGAGGGGATGTCTATCCTTCGTGCACGGAGTTGGGTCTTCCTAGGGGGGTGGACCCACCGGAGCACGTGTGTTTTTGTTTGCTTCTCTGGATGTTTGCGCGTACGTCACGTAGCAGCCACGTAGAAGACATTTTTATTTTTACATTTTCTTCTATTTTTCCCATTATTTTTACGTTTATTTTTTCCTTTATTTTTCTCTTTATTTTTTCCTCCATCTTTTGCGCGGTTAAAATTCACCTGACCTGGTTAGCAAAAAGGGTGGAGGCAACACGTTGTACAGCTTTCCCGTGCGGCCTTTCGTAGGCCCTCCTTAAGGGTACGCAAAATGGGGAGTGCTGGGAGCGCCACTTAATCCGAGGTGAACGTACGTATATCGTTCATCAATCCAAGTGCAGGTCCCTAAGTTGTCACCCTTATCGCGCATACACACAGGGTTAGCAGCAGCCCCACCCCGCCCCGCATTGTTCTGTACGAGTAGCTTCCCCCTCTCCCTCACCCATCACCCCCAAGTGCTCGTTTGTACCCACGGTGTAGTTGAAATGCTCCATTTTTTCGTCCTTTGTATAGTTACATTGACTACCAACCGAATTGGAAAAGAATTATTTTGTTTCAATTTGGCCGCCGACTGGCAGACCGATTTGTTGTCCAGTTCATAAAAGTGAATATACAGACTGCCACGTGCGTGTCACAGGGGGGTCAAATGAGCATGCAAAAAAAAAAAAAAAGGAATAATGCGTATGCGGCATATATATAGCTCATCTGCGCTGCTTTAATCCGAAGAAACAAATCAGCCGCGAAGTTCCACACCCCGTCTGGCGTACACCGCGTGGGGAAGTCGCATAGAAAAAAAAAAAAAGATGCCGTTTTTTTTTTTTTTTTCCTCTAAAGGGGGTCGCAAAATATTTCCCACAACGGCTCATGTTAACCGTTAAAACGGATGTGCCTCTTTTTTTATTTGTCAGTGCCGTCTTAGGAGCTAGTTCTTTGTTCACCCTCCTAGGAGGGCAACCCAGAGCGTGCCAACTGGGCGAAGAGCGCATGATCGAAGATCGGTACTGCGCGGATAGCGGCACACAAAGGAAGCTCCTTTTGGTTACCCCTACTGGAGGGGCATTCATCCCCATGAGTCAGCCCCTCTGCGCCAGTGATGACATCCACGGATGGGTAGAGAAGCTGCTCACACTTTCCCCTGTATCTTATGCGACCCGTGAGGGTCTACTCTCACACACACACATAGACAACAGATAAACACACTACGAAGATGCTTCTCGCCGAAAGGAAGAAGCAACTCGAAATAGGCACCTACCAAAAGGGAGTCCACCAAGAACTGCTAGCGGCATATGAAGAGGGAAAATTTGCCAAATATGCGAATGAAGAAAACTTCGATACGTTTATATGTGAAGGGAAAAAAAACAATGGAGGTTGCACAATAGACGCCGGAGAGAATCATGTAAAGCCCTGGAGGGATGAAAAGACAAACTCTGGAGTTGTGTACAAAGGTATGGACGCGGTGATGTCGTTTAAACGATTTGCAGGGAAGGAGATTAACCTTCAAGGGGAAGACAGTGATGGGGAGCAATCCATTCTGGGGGTGGAAAAACTAAAACGGTTAATGGTGAAGGGGAGAAAGAAGAATGGAAGTCATGATAACAATCTCTGGGCACTACCCTCAGGGCACGCTGACGGAAAAGATGTCTTCGAAAGAATCGACCAGATAAGACACGCCATTGCGGAGGTAAGGCGCACCATTAGGAGGAAAAATGAAATGAAGAATAGGAGAAGTGACTGCTCATCTGGTGATGACATGACGGAACTTTTTTTAAACTTTGCTCAGCTCCGTGACAAATTCGGTGAAATAACAGCCTTAGCAGGAGTATCCGACCCACGATTGGGGGAGAGGGGCCAGTTGGATGCACGCCTAAAAGGGTGCGTTACGTCAGGGGGGCAAGAGCAAAACGGCCGGGGGAAAACAAACAATTATATCCTTCCATATTGTGATCTTCACCAAAGCCAAGAAGAGACGAGGCACCAGGATAGCTATGTCTCCCTTAGGCAGAGAAACATATACAGGATGTTTCATTCGTTGCAAGATAAAGTGAAGCAGTACGAATGGCTGCTGACCGAAGGGTGTTCACATCTAAAGGGGGGTGGAGACCAAGACCAAAGCGTAGGTGACATTTTGCTATCCATAGCTATGTTCCTAAACCTATGTATGAATGACAATATGGGGAAGAGAATTTTGAATTATATTTATTTACAAAAGATAGAAATAAAGAAATGCAGACAGTACTTGGTAAGTCTGAACGAGGGGAAGTCGCTGGACATATTCTGTTCGCATGTTGAATCTGTAACCAAAGGAGTCCCTCGTGAAGAAGACCCCGTCAGCTTTGTGGATAAGCTCTTTCGCATTGATCTGACTGAACACAACGAACAGGTGTTGACTTTGCAGAAGCGGCTGCTACACAGCGAACTGGGAGTCGACTTGATGTTGCGCGAGATGGAAACGGTGAATGATACGATTGAGAGGATATTCCAGAAATGGGATGGGATTGGACAGGACTAGGCCGGACTAGGCGGTGCCTGACTGGGGAGAAAATGTGACTCCTATCGTGTTCAGCCACTTTCGGATATCAAATTGGACGAACAGGAGGGCCAGTCTTACATGGAAGTTTTATTTACATTTGACAAGGGGAGCCACACGCATATATCTGCGAGTGTGTGAGTTTTTTTTTTTTTTTTTTTTTTTTTTTTTTTACAAAGATGAAGTTAGACACGAAAAAAAAAAAAACAAAATCTCTAAAACAAATAGCCACAGCGCCTTGGTGAGCGGGAAGATAAAAGTGGAGAGAGGGGTACTTCGAAACGGAAGAACACACTGCTTCGTATCAACTAACAGTGTGAGGATCGATGAACGCGACCTCTTGACGGTGCTTCCCCCAGAGCGACCCTCCTCCTCAGAGGAGCTTCTTAAACAGGAGAAGGAAAATATCGTTCGCATTCAAATTGTTGATGTCCACCTGCTCCACTTGGATCTCCCTATGGTCGAATTTCATCCGTTGGTTGATTTCTGCGGGTGAGAGAAAACGCAGTAATGGGAAAATGAGAAAATGACTAAATAAAGATAAATACAAAAAAAATATCGTATGCATGGGGGATGAGAAAAGCGCCTCCAAAAATGGCCACACACTTGACCGACGGCAGAAGGAGTACCGCGAAAGGAGTTCTCTTCCGTGCATCAACCTTCTCCATCGCGAAGCAAAACCTTACCCAGCAGGTGGAAGAAGTGCCTGTTGTCGGGGATCTTCAAAATGAAAACGAACTGATTTGAAGCAGTCATCTCGGAGTAGATCCTCTTCACTGATTTACATCTCTGCATGAATTGTTGGATATTTTTATAGGCTAGCTCACAGATGGTAAACTTAAAAAGAAGAAAAAGGGAGATGTATTTATTTCTATTCAGGTAAAGGTTGACATAGGAGGACTTGTCTATTATGAGGTTCAGAAGGACTCTGTGAAATTTGGGGACGCTGAGGTGGTTATTTTTACTCTTATTTTTATCCTTATTTTTATTCTTATTTTTATCTTTATCCTTATTTTTATTTATTTTTTCTTTCTCTTTTTTGCGGTGGGGCAGGAGGTTGTCTTTGCTTCTCTTGACTGTTTTGAAAATGCAGAGGAGGTTGTACAGGTTGAGTACACTTCTTTTGGAGTTCTGCTCGACGAAGGAGATGGCGGAGGGGAGACGATCAGAGCGGTCATCGTGGGGGCTGCGGCCGTCGTCATGGCGATCGTCAGTGTCATTGCTACGGTTGGTGATACGATTGCCGCTGCGGATGCTGCCACGCTCCGCGAGCGCCTTCATCACTCTGCAAAACCTAACCCAGGCGCGCTTATTCGTACAGAAAAAGAGCTGTATGTATTCATTTATCCTGGCATGGTTAATCCGCTTCAGCTTGACCTGAAAGGAGTAATGATTCTGGAAGCTCCTCATCATGTCCTTCGTGCAGCTGTCATACGTAATTTGGTTTTGATTAAACAGGTAAAGGTAATCATAGTAGAAGATGTCTGTGTATATATGTGTGTATATTGCAAAGTTTGTCGGGGCAAATTTTATCTTCAATATGTGGTCCTGTATAAATGCATTGATTATACCTTCGTTAACACTTTGGATGTTGGACGATATGGGGCACTCCTCCGTCTGTTGCTTTTCTTGTGTGAGGGCTAGGCGAAGTTGGCCGCTCCCGTTGCTGTTTGTTTCTGTAGAATGGCGAGTGACCCATTGGAACGTCTCTCCCCCGAGTAGGAAGTCCATCTTGTTTTCGTCCTCCCCTGCGCGATCTCCCCGCTTGTTCACGAACAGTACATTCTTCAAAATGAGGTTTATATAAATTTGCGAGCAGAAGTCTATGTTGTCATTTAGCTTGTAGAGGAAAATGATACGATCGTCTCGAAGAAGATTAATCATTAGCTCCACCTTCTTCTTCATTCCTCCACTCAGTTCGTTGCAGTTCAGGTGTACGTCGCAGCGCAGATTCACAGTGAGCATTAGAAGGTGGATAACATACATAAGGTCGAAGTTGGTCAGAGAAATGTTCTTATACGTTAAGATGACTTTCACGTGCTCATATATCGTCATGCTTGGGATGAGGACAATTTTGTAGTCGCTTTCGTCTTCCGTCTGCATCACCTCCGCGAAGGCTTCTCGGGGGGAATCCGTCAGGTCATCCGTCTGGTGATCCGTCTGGTCATTCGTCTGGTCATCCTTCCGCCCATCCGTAGGGTACCCATGGATGTGTTTTTTTCTCCCCCCTTGCCCGTTGGCGAAAAAGAACTTAAAAAAGTAGAGAACATTCAGGTCATTGTTAAATATAGAGGAGAAGGTGTATATCTTGTAGGGCTTCATTTTGACGTTGATATCTTTGAGGATGTACTTTTGGTCTGCCTCAAACCCTGCGTGGGGGCGTTCCTGGGGGGGATATTTCTTCCCCTCTGAGTTGCTTCCCTTGGTGTGGCTTCCCCCATCGGATGATCCCTCCCCCCTTGATGCTTCTTCCGCTTTGGTGTCAGCCTCGGACATTTCCTCTTTGAATTTCCTTTTCGTGTCCGTGACGACGGTTCTCTGGGGCAATCTAAATATCCTGCTCGCGCATGCCAGCAGCTTGAAGAGGCCTTTCTTCTCCGTTCGTTCGACCCGCTTGTACTCGCTGTTGGTAAGGTAGAAGTGTCTCACTGCGAAGGCATACTTCTGCGTGGAGCGGTCACTCGATTGATCATCGATGCTGCTGTCGGGGTCACGTGGCTTGTCAATTGGGTCTCCACTTGGCAACCGATTTGTAGATTCTCTTCCTGCTTCACTCCTCGCTTCTCCTGCCGCCTCGCCGCCGCCTTCCCCCTTGAGGCGGTACAGCTTATAGAACAGCACCAGCAGGTACACCGCGCAGTTAACGATGAGGAAGAGGAAATCGCCCGTGGTGTTAAAAAACGAGTTGGAGTCACTGCAGAATCCTTTCATCACGTCGGATGTTAGGACTCCACCGAATGGCTGTTCCTTCCCCGGTGGGGATAATCTATCTGGATGGCTTCCGTATGGGTAGTGGCCCCCATGTGTGTTGTCTTCGAAGTAGCTCGCGGAGGTGTCCCTGATTAGCTCTTCGTGAATCTGCTGCATGTGGCGTTTCATATTTAAGCACAAACTTCTAATATTGAGCACATGGGAAAGAGAGAAGGAATCGAGAATACGAAAAATGCAAACAAAGATGTGAGACAGATTCATCAACATTTCGTTGTTGTAGGCATAGGAGAGGATAACTAGCACATAAATGACTATGCTAATAATCCCACAGAAGATAAAATTGACGAAGACAAAGAGGATATAACTATGGAGGTATAGAGAGGAGAAAAGACAGATGGAGAGGAAGGTATTAAAACCGTAGAGCATGAGGAATAGGAAAAAGGATGGAAGAACAAACTCACGATACTGAAACACGTAGAGAATCAAAAAGAGGAGTAGGATATAAATCAGATAGTACATATATTCGAGGAGGAGGATCTGCAGATAATGCACATATTTGTGTACGTAGAATTTTTCGAATATCTTCCTGTAGTCTACTTCGTTACGCAGCTTCTCAAAGAAGACACAGAAGAAGATGACGATGGAGAGGAAGACGTACATGTTGATGTAGAAGTCTCGCAGGAAGTACTCGTGGAATTTGATCGGGAACGGCTCGTTGATCACGTCGATTTGGTTCTTCCGCGGTGGGGTTGGGGATGGAGGTGGTAACGCGTTTTGTTGGTCTTCCCATTTGGAGTGGCCGCTTCCAATCCCGTTTCGCCTCGCCTCATCCGAGCGTTGCATTCGCTTCTGAAATTCTGCCAAAACGTTGAACGCCGAATTGGTGTAGTACGCATACGAGTGTATAGAGGTGTAGTTGAAAAAGAGGTTCACGTTGACTTCCACATCTGTGCTGTAATCCGTATCTCCGTGATGGGTCTGCTTCTCGTTAATCTGAAATATATAGGTGCCCAGAGAAATGTCTTTCTCCTGAATTGACCTCTTCTCAAGATAATTATGAACGTGTTCATACATATTGTTTTCATTTATCAGTTCGTCGATGTAGTTAATCTTCTCGTTTATGCAGTACTTCTCCAACAGGGAGCTTATCGTGCTGTTGTAGTAGTTAAAAGAGGTTGTTGCCAAGGGGAGGTCGTTGTCGGTGCTGTTTCCATTTCGAAGCGGGGAGGCATTCCTTATCTGCTTCACTGGATTGACTTTTTTGTTTTTCCACTTCCTTCCCTGCCAGTGATTTGCTCCTCTGGAGGTGACCTCCACCTGGGGGGAAGAAGCAGAAGAGGAGGACTGGCTATCTGTGCCGCTTATCCGTCCCGCATCAGGGACCAACTCCGAAGTGTAAATAATGTAGTAGTTGAGTGTGCTTGTCTTCAAATGGTTCGACGAGATGGTAGAATAATCCAATTCGATGTTTTCAATTTTTCCAAAGAGGGAGACACACTTTATTATGAGCAAGCCGAAGGAAAGGAGAAAAATTGGCACCAGGAATTTGTACCAGTAGAAGCTGGTGTTGTAGAGGTCTTTCTTGAGGTTTAGGAAGAGGGTCGGCTTGACGTACGTTGAGAGGAAGTTGGCCAGACGCCTGGTCAGGTGGGACGTCTTTTTCTGCGTGGGAGCGGAAAAGTTAGTCTTCTTTGTCGGAGCCGTTGAGCTCGTCTTCTCAACCTGTTGTTCCCCCTTTCCACCTCGCCCATTTGCCCCCCTAATAAGGATATCCCTGAGGTAGCCCAGATCGGGGGGGGAAGATGCACCACCACCCCCAGGGGGATCACCCAAAATGGCTAGATTGCTATTCAACTCATTAAAGTATCTAACGTTATCGAAAAAAAGATAAAAGAGAGGATCCATTTTGATCAAATTTCGAAGATCTCTATCTTGGACGTTTTTCAAAAGACTCTTCTTCTCATGATATGTGTAAATATAGATGTACGTGTAGTAAATGTCTATGGTTTTTAGCTCATACGTAAGGATATTCCTGAAGCGTTTTAAGACGTAGAGGAGCTTCTTCATCGACTCCGTCTCGTCTATCTTGTAGGTACAGTACACGTGACTAGAGTTGAAAAAGATGAAACAGGTTTTGTTTTCTTCTCTAACGCTTTTTACGAAGTGGATAATATTTTGTTTAATCGTCTCTGGGGTGTTACTCGACGCAGTGTGGTCGATTAAGAAGTCGAAGAGGGTGCCTCCACTGGGGGTGTTCCGGACGTGGTTGCCCCCGACGTGGCTGCCTTCATTTTGGAGGGCCCCGACATGGCTGCCTCCACTTTGTATGTCCTCCAGGTCGTTGCCTGCATTTGGGCTGTGCTCCCCCCCCGGGTCCCTAAACCGAACATTCAAAACGAACTTATAATCGATAAGCTTCTGAAATTGCCTCTTCGTCCCGTTGAAGATGATCTCCCCACTCTTAATCACTGCGATGTCGTTGGCGAAATTGTTTGCCTCGTAGATATCATGGGTGCAGATAAAAATGATATTATTTTTTTTAATTTTCTCAAAGAACTTAAAAAGCTTCGTCTTGGTCTTAATGTCCAATGCAATGAAGGGCTCATCCAGAATGTACACGTCTCTCTTCACCAGAAAGCAGATGAAGATGGAGATCTTCTTCTTCACATCATCGATCAGATTCTTAATTTTATGATTAAGATACTTTGCTAGATCCAGATCGTTCATAATTTTGCGGGTTCTTTTTTTCTTCAGGAATGTTTCCACATCTTTGTTGTAGTAGAGGAGGAATATGACGATGGTTTCGTAGAAGGTGAGGTTATCGTAAAGGATTACATTCTGGCTGCAGTAGCTGATTTTTATTTCGTCCTTGCTTTGATGGGCTCTTCTTCCTATGGGTCTCCGTAGGGGGGAATTGGGCCCTTTCTGGAGTCGGTGGGGGGTCATTCCGAGGGGGCCTCCAGGGCTTCTTCCCAGGCTACTTCCCACGCTGCTTCCACCCCTCTTGACGAACTGTATTTCCCCCCCGTCCTTTGTGATCATCTCCGTTATGATGTTAATGAGGGTGGACTTCCCCGAGCCGTTTTCCCCCAGCAGAACGAATATCCGATTACTGCGCAGGGTGAGCGACACATTTTTCAGCACTTGCTTTCGGCCGTATGTCTTGTTCACATTTTTGATCACTAGGTAGCAGTGAGTGGGTGGGGCCGCGGCAGAAGAGGCAGCGGCGGAGTGTTCCTGCTGCCCCGCGGGGCGGCGGCGCCCGAATTGGGTTTTTCTCACGGCGCGGAGTGGGGCCCGCCTCTTCCGCCTCTTCTCACTGGGTTGGAGTGCTTCACTCGGTTGGAGTGCTTCACTCGTGTCACTCCGCTGTTGCTTCTCCCGCTTGTGCCCATTCTGCTTGTTCTGCTGGTCCTGCTCGGGGGCGCCGTCGGTCAGCTCCAGCATGAAGCATTCCCTGTCACTGCATCCGCTTTGTCCACTTGGTCCCCTTTGTCCACTTGGTCCGCTTTGTCCACTTCTCCCACTTAGTGCACTTCTTCCGCTTCTCCCACTTCGCCCCATTTGAAGGGAAGTTCCCCTCCTCATGTAGAGCTTGCCCTGGTGCCTGTTTCGGTAGTGTATCATGCAGGTGAGAATGCACGTCAAAAGGATGAAGGAAAAAACAGAGTAAAGCAAAAGGTGCATTAAACAAATACTCTCAAATTTAATAAACATCTCGGAGTAACTAATTTGAATGCCATTCTTAATTAGGATAAAAATGAAATCTAAGGCCAAACAGAAGGATGCATGGGGGATTAACAACACGAAGAAAGACAACACGCGTCCCACTCCTGAGTGAATAATCAAACGGAAAGAAGAAAATAAAAAAAAAATCAAAAAAGAAGCAATGTAATTTATCGCATTATTGTCGGAGAAGTGCATGCAAATAACTGTAAAAAGTAAGCTATTCACTATGAACATATACATATAGAGAAATAACATAAAAAAATTGACCATCCTTTTGTAGATGTATGCATATATGACATAGGTAAAAAGAATGTTATAAAAAAAGATGACGATGAAATAGAAGAGGAGCCAGGAGAAGTAGTAATAGTACTTATTTATCTTCAGGCAGAAGAGGAAGTTCTCCATGTTAACCTTCCTCTCCTTGTTGATATCGAAGCAGATATTCACTATAAAGAGGCAAACACACAAGAACATCACGACGCGGAAGATATTTTTTTCGAATGTTTCGAAGGCGTTTATCTTCATGCTCCTCATGGGCATCTTGAGCAGGAAGAACTCGTTCAGGTGGAGTGAGGAGGTAGATGTGGTCGTGGTAGCGGTCGGTTTGGCGGTTGATGTAGTGGTAAGTGTAGCGGTGGAGAGTGGCTGGGCGTGCCCCCCAAGCTGCCCATTATACTTCAGCATGAATAAATTAAAGTGATACTCCAGCACAATGAAGAAGCTGCTGTAGTACCACTCGTTGAAGTAGACGTTTAATGACAAATCGTCGACGGTGTTGAAATTTACGAAGTTCTGCTTCAGATTTATGTTTATGTCATTAAAGAAGTAATTCTCGCTAGACGTCAGCAGCGCGTGGTCCCCCACTCGGATTTTGTAACTGACGCTGGTGATGACGTCCCTCTCATTTTGCAGGGCTGTCCCATGGTTCGTTTGGCTAGTGGGCTTGGCCAGACCGCTATAGTTAACTACCTTTACTACGCTACTATCATTAGTATGGCTATCCATATTGACTGTGTTAGTATCACCCGTATGACTCGCCCCGTTGGCCCGCTCTTTGGCCCCCCCGGTGCGCCCGCTGGGCTTCCTCCCGAAAACGTAGGAGAAGCGCAGCCGGTTCTGTTTTCCCAGGTGACTTACATTTTCAATACCGAGCAAACCGCAAGCTCTGTTTGTCTCAATCAAGTTATTCTTCACGAAATTAAAGAAGAACAATTTCCTCCGCTCGTCCTTGAAGTAGGCATTGTGGCTGCTTTCATCTTTCAGTTTTTTTATGTCCCTAATGAAGGATCTGTATAACTCCGTCCTTTTGACCTGTCTCAGGGTCTCCTCATCAAACTGTAACTTTACCAGAACGTTATATTCCGTTTCTGGGTGCACATCTCGGTACAGCTCCTCCAAGGTTATGGACTCACCCCGTTTCAAATTATTCTTAAAAGAGTGCACTAATAGGGACAGGTTCTCGCATGGGCTCTCTCCACCGGGTCTGCGGCTCGAGCTGGCCAAATCGTTTTCTCTAAGTTGAATGGCATACTTTAAATTCTGTAGGCACTCCTCCTCGCTGCTGTACACGCGAAATATGTTCAGGTCATTCTCATTGGCGTAGGCGAGGAAGGCCCTGGAGAGGTCGTCGTCCGGCGTCAGGCAGATGTGGTTCACGTACACGTCTTCGCCAATTTCTCTGCGGAGGAAAGCGACATGGGGGTGGAAACAGCATGGTTGGTTGGGGAAGCAGCTCCCGTGTTGAAAGCAGAGTGGGTGTTAGAAGCCACCACGATGTAGCGGTCTCCTCCCATCATAGCACCCCGTTTCGACACATTTGGCATAGCTCTTTTTTCTTCTTTCTTTTCTCTTGTCTCTTTCCTCTTTTCCTTTCTCTCTTTCCGCGCGGCCTACCTGGAGCACAGCTGGTTGCTCAAAAATAACACGTACTGCCTGATGGTGTCATTCAAATCTATTTTATCATTTTCGGAGAAGTTGTTGTAAATCTCGAGGGAGTCTGCGGAGAAGCGGTGAAAGGGGTGAAGCGGTGTAAGGGGTGAAGCGGTGAAGGGGGCGAAACGGTGAAGGGGTCGACGTACTCCACGGCGCGCCGCACTTCTTTGTAAGCCTTACACTTGTAGCTGATATTCCTAAGGAACAAATGAAATGATACTAACAGGAACGGAATCAACAAAAAGAAAAGGTAAAGAATAAAATCCTTTCTCTTTTCATAGTACGTTTTTTTGACCAGGCCGTATAGCTTACGGAGCTTCATCCTAATTTGACGCACTGTCGTTATTCTCAAATGGGGTTAAAAAATAGCGAAATTGGCCAGTGGGGACAGAACAGAAGAAGAAAAACAAAGGTAGTAAAAAAAAAAGGTCAGGAAGCAGGGAGAAAGAAAACGAAACAGTCATCATATCGTGGTGCGTTCGTGTACAGGTTCAATTATAATTGCTTCACGGCAACGCAAACTTGGAGGAGAGCAGCATCTTCACCAAGGGGAGAGGTGCGCATGTGTGTGCCGATAGGTTCATATGAATACGGCTACACGGACACATTTACTCAGAAACAAACTTCTACATGCACGCATCTTAGATGCAGAAGGAACAAACGCGATTGAGGCAAAAAAACAGTCGCAAATTCATCATCATCATACGCAGCGGGAAATTTCAACACACATGTGGATGGTTAGCGAACACTCGGAGGAGTTACAAAAGAGCATGAAGTGCCAATGTTATTCCTCAACAACAGGGAGAAGGAAATTTCCACGCGCAGGTTTTATATTGACTTTGCATCTACCCCTACGTGTGCTTCTTCATATCTGCCCAACCCAGCTAACAAGCACTCATGTGAGCAGCTCGAAGAGGAGAATGGCTCTCTTTGTACTTAAAAAAAAAAAAAAAAAACTAATATAATACAGTATAGTATAATATAATACAATACGTAGTAAGTTAATCTAACGTACAGTAGGATCACCTAACCTAATATAATCTAGGCTAGGATGGATAAGCTGAAATCAAGCAAACACGGGGTCAATGATAAATAAAAGCAATGGAAGAGTCACTTGCTTTACTAACATAAAAAAAGTCACAAAGGAAAGGAGTAGAAGATTTTTTTTTTCAAATTAGGGTCATTAATTAATTTAATTAATTTTCCAAAAAAAAATTAACAAAACAGCATGCGGTGAGAAAAGAAAACAAAAAAAAAAAGAGAGAAGCGTCGTAGAAAAAGCGGTAAAACGTGAAGAGGCGCAAACGAGGGCGGGAAGAAGCTGGGAGGGTATACAGAACTGCGCGATTCGGGGAAAACGCGCCTTGGCGCAACCCCAAAACCTCCTATATGACTACGCTACGACCCAGTGCCCTCTGCTAAATTTTCTCGTCACGACGATATTTATTAATAATTTTACCGACGTTGCCACCACAGCACTGTTACTTGGTTGCTTCTCCTTTTTTTTTTTTTTTTTTCACACCTTTTTGTTCTGCGCACAATTTTTGAGGGTTCCTGTTTTACATGCAAATTGAGAAAAAAAAAAAAAAAAAAAGGAACGGTCGCGCACACGAACAGGAACTCCCAAAATGTAGTGTATACCTTTATCCATGCACAGCCATAGGATCAACTTAGGTGAAAAAATTTTCTTTTTTTACTTTCCTTTGTTGCGTGCCTTTTTTATGTACAACTACGTGTTGATTCAAAATGCATGATGCCTTTAGGTGGGCACTTGGCTGTGTAAACCTTTGGTAAGTGTGCCTCCCACCGAGGCAGCTGATGTTTTGTAGTTCAAAGTGGAAGGCGGCACTATGGAGGAAATTATATTCCTCATTCGAAACACACCAAGGTATATACTACTCAGCCCCCCGTGGGCGTGGTAAACTCCCGCGACTCTCTGCATGTAAATTTCCCTCGTTCCATTTGGACCCACTAGATTGTGGAAAAAGGGGATGGCAAATTAACTCACCGAGGTGCTTCTCTCAGGCGGTTTTCCTTATACGGAGGTGAGCAAATGCCTGGCTTTTGTGTATGTACATACATGTTTCCGCGTGTGACCTCTATTCGATGCACTTGTGCACGGGGCCCCATGCCCACTCACGCAGAGACGGGCTGCAAAATGAGTCACAACTTGTTAAAGGAAATAATCTCGGCAGACTGAACGAGACCTTCGACCTCCTCATCCAACTCTTCGTCTTCCATCAATTGTTGAAGCTCCTTTTTCTTCTTAACGTCCTCTTCACTTAGCCCCACATTCTCTATCATCTCGATCAGTTCGTCTGTATTAATCAAGTCATCCACGATGACGCAGGAAACCTGCAGGGGGGAAGGGTGGAGATGCGCATGGGGAGATGATCATGATGTGGTGATCACCATGCGGAGGTAATAGCAAATGGGACAATGTTCATATGGCCTGGTGTGTTCCACTGGGTTATGCTCACGTGGGGGGGACTGACTAGCCCAAAAGAGGAGTACAAACGGGGGCAAAAACGGGGTCACCCAATTCATCATAGAATTTCTTGGGAGAGTCCACAAATCGGGCACACCTAAACGTGTGCACTTTTTAGCGCCTATTTACCTGTAGCTTGAAGAGGCCAAATGCAAAGGGCATCTTTTTGTGCGCCTTTCCCCATGTTAGCCCCTCCATTTCGATTTGCTTGACCAGTTTTAACACTTCGTCCAGGTTGGTTTCTTCTCCGTACGGCTTTATGTCGATAATGAGGGAGGACCTGCCGAATTGTGGAGGGGCGGCGACATGACTATCGGCACATGCATATATACATATGTATGTACACATTGGGGAATGTGAGAGAGATAATCAAGCTGCGCGTGGGTGTTGCCTAACAATGCGAAGCTGGTCATAGAGGTGGTTGCTGTGTTGTCCCCCATACGTGCGACCTTTCCAATTCCATTGCTTCATTCCCAGTGTGCCCATTTTCGCCTTACTTGTTGATCACTGCTTTCTTGCCTGGTTTTTTCCCCGGCTGCTGACTAGCCGTACCCGCCTCAGTGCCTTCGTTATGTAGAAGGTAGTAGCTGAGGGGTACGTACAACTCGTCGTAGGTGTTCGCCATTTTGTTTTTCTCTTTCTCTGTTGTTTTTCTCTTTTTCTGTTGTTTTTCTCCTTTTCTGTTGTTTTTCTCCTTTTCTGTTGTTTTTCTCCTTTTCTGTTGTTTTTCTCCTTTTCTGTTATTTTTTCCGTTTTTCTGCTTTTTTTTGTTAACCTGTTCCGTTTCCCCTTTTCGTGTTTCTCCTAATTTGCTTATTATGACTAAGTGTTTTTTTATTTTTTTTCCTATACGCAGACTTTGTTAAACCAAGCGATAAAATTGGTTTACCCAGGTAGCGCTGCTTCTTTTGGTTGGGGTTACGTCGCGTGGCCCAAAAGGGAAAGTGTTATGGGTGGAATAAGCGGGGCCACGAAAAATGCTTCTTTTATTCGTAAAATTATTTTCATGTGCCTAATGCGGCCGAAGTATTTTTCTCACATAAGGGTACATTTCGCGCATAAGCATATGCCCTAATTATATCCGCACAAGGAAATACCATCAACACCAATTCTCCTCACTCTTACGTGCTCATTTATACCTTTGCTGTCTGATTCGAAGGGAACCGTCTACCTCGTAGGCTCGGGGCTGACAATCCTTTTTTTTTTTCAAGTTTATATTTTAACCTGAATAGTCATAATTTTTTCTTTTATCCCATTTGGGGAAAGTTTTCCCACTTTGGAAAGATTCTTTTTTTTTTTTCTTCTTTCTCACCATTTTGTTGTTTTGAGTCAGGGAGGGATTGATTTCCACCTCCAACTAAGCACCTTTTTGAATTCAAATCTGTTGAAAAACGGGGAAAGGCGTTACTGATCACATCGCAGAAGGGTTAGGATTAATCAGCTAGCCGTGCACGAAAAAAAAAAAAAAAAAGAAAATTGCACACAAAAAGGCGTCAAAATTTTATAAACAGGTCAGGCGATTAAAAAAAACTGTTGCGCACACATAAATAAATAGATGCAACATAGGTAATCGTGGGTACATATACATATGCTCCCTTTTGGGACTGCCAAGTGGGGGAATGGTCCTACATGTGGGGGAATTTCCCCGTCGAGCGGACAAAACACTCGTCTAGTTGCGTGCAGAGGCATACAGTTGCTTCCTCCTGTGCGCACATTTCTTCGAATTACCCCTCACCAAGGAGGTAACACCGGATCGTTCTTCTTTTCGCAAACCTTTGTTAATCCCACCGCTGCGCGATGTCTTTCCTTCTGTGCTTAATGCCGCCTTTTTCCCTTTCTACTATCACGGCGCCTGCTGCTACGGCCGCTGCTGCCGCTGCTATGTGGGCGCCGCTCACGTTTGCGAGATTTTCCCCCTTTCCTGCGATGAGACTTATGCTTGTCACGTACGTGGGTCATATCATCGTCATTTTTTCTTTCCCTCTGTTTGTACCTTTTTGGCGACACGGATTTCTCTCGATGGCGTCCCTTCCTTTTCTCTACAACGCTGTGGGATGAAGTGGACCGCCGATCTTCACTCTCTTTTTCTCCTTTGCCATCCCTTTTGTTTAACGATTTTTCAAAGTTGAGGGCCCACAATTCATCTTCATCCATCAGTTTCTTCCGTTTTTCCTGACTCTGTTTATTCCGTATTTTATCGAACGTTTTGGTCAGATTTATTTCGCTCTCGATAACGTTGTACACGCCGATTCCTTGTCCCTCTGCGCCACTTGGCTTGTATTCGTTTTCTCCCTGCAGGGGGGTTGGGGAAAAAAAAAAAAAAAAAAGAAAAATGGGGGGGGAATAGGTGTAAAATGCGCACAGAGCTAGCAGCACACCGAAGGTGTGACACTACGCATAAGCTTCTATCGACATATGCATACATATGTACACACGTGGAAATATACGTGCATGTGAATGCATGGCGGCGCTCTGGCGGGTGAAGCGTTACATCGTCGTTGGCATATTGCTGGGGGAGCCTGTAATTTAAAATATGGTCAACGACTAGAGGCCGGTCCAGAAGTTTGTATCCGTTAAAGTTATCCACCGCTAGCACTGTGCTGCGCTGGTCCTCATACGCTAGGAAGCAATACCCCTTGGATTTTCCTGCGGAGGGGGGGATGAAAGAAAATACAGCTAAGTGCTGCAACAAATGGTAATACTGCCATCACACCTGCCGATAATATGGTGGACATTCCTTGCGAGCACCTTTTTTCAGTTTGGTCGAATTACCTGTCTCCTTGTCGCGAACGAGGTTAACGTCTATCGGTTCGCCAAACTGCGAAAATACGATAACGATGTCTCCTTCGGTTAGTCTGCTGTCCAGGTTGCCTGCTCAGGGGGAGGGGAATTCGTGGCCGAGCATATGTATATAGTCTTCCTCCGACGTACGCAGAGGTGATGTGACGGGAATCCTCTCTCGCTATTGTGCCCATGGTTGCTACTTTCCTACTGGTTGCATACCTATGTAGATGTAACTGGAGTCCTTATACTGATCGTGCCACGATGTTTGATCGTTTCCAATATTCTTCAGCTCGGCTTCGTTCAATTTTTCGACGCTCCGGATTTTATCAAATATGCCCATTTTTTGCACTGCTCTTTCGGTTCTTTGCTGTTTTTCCTTTTGTTCCTCCCTGTTGCTACCCCCGCTAATGGAACAGGCGCATCTCAAGCTGTGACGCCGCTAATCCGTTAGCATTTGCCCAGCGCCGTTCCATCACAGTTGCAGATGTGTGCACGGACACTGTAACATGTATGTTATTTTTCTGTTTTTTTTTTCTTTTTTAACGGTACGGATGAACGGGGAAATAACAACGGGTGTGTGAGTACCTTCGAAATGAAGCTTCTTCACTGGTTGGAGAAAATAGAAAACATTAAAGTCGCACTCGAGACAGATGACCTTCATCCAAGCATGAACGGGTCCCTGTGCATGAAAGTGTCCATGTGGATAAACGCCTGCATTTATGTGTACCTGTAACTGTACGTACCAGGCTCATTGGGAATACACTGCTCTGGGTGGAGATTCCCCTAAAAATGTTCTCACCGGAAAAAAATATATATTCTTAAAAATGGTATATGCTCCTATTCATGTGTTATTGCAAATCGCAAAAATGTGATGCCCCTATGGCGCATCACTCTGTCGCCTTTTCTTGCAATAAGCGAATTTTTTCGCATTCAAAATGGGAAAAAAAAGAAAAGAAAAAACTAGCTTAGCTGCGTTAACTTAAAAATTATAAACGGGGTTGCAAAGCAGAGTAAATTAGTCCTCTAAATGTACATAAAAAAAGAAGAAGAGAATGTAGATGCGCTGCTAAACATTGCATATATACGCATATAAGATATATATACATGTATATATGCATATATATATGTATATACGTACGAGTCGGCGAAGGGCTGCTCTACCGGAAGGAGGGGAGACGAATTTGAAGTGCCAAAAATGAGCAGGTATATATTTTATGTGGGTACCACACTCGTGTAAAACATTAACACAAATCTGCTGAAGGGGGGTGATCCCCGCGCGATAGAGAACAAACACGCGCCAAAACGTAAAAATAGAGAGGCGGAGGGAGTAAGCTGCGCTGTTCTCTCTCCCCTTCTGCGACGTCCAACTCTATGCTGTAAAAGGTAGAAGCTGTAATGGGATCACCACTGAGAGATAACCCGAATGGGGGGGAGCAGCAGCAGCAGTCGCAGTCTAAGTAGCAGCCGCAGCAGCACTAACCACGTGATAAATAAAATTGAGAAACAATTCCCACTTCATTTTGGGAAGCCTGCTAGGTGAAGGGGGCGCTAACAGGTAGTATCTGTCCTGCAGTTTCTGTTCACTTTATCTGACAAGAAGCGGGGGATACCATAAGGGTGACCATACTCTCTGCAATATGCTTCTCCGACGTTGTGGAATGGGTCTAGCGGGGGAGGTTCCGATTAGGAAGAACGCGCCACGGCCAAAGTTGTATCCCCATGGGGTGATCAAAAGGGTAAGATTTTTCCACTATGTGGAGATGAACCCATTTGGAACGAGACGAAGTGACTTGTGTATGGGGAGAGTGATCCCTCCTCCTACCTCTGTATGGTAAAGAGAAGGGGGGTCCCCACTCGGAGCGCAGAGACAGTCCCATGCAGAGTGAAGTATGTGCCGGTCAGACGGCTACCTCACTTTCCTCTCATTTTTAAATTTTTTTTTTCTGACGGATGAAGAATTTTCTTCGTGATGTTCATGCTTTATGTTTTCCTCCACGAGGGCTAGTTTCCTCTTGTTGCTCCTAACCGCCTCATTGTTGGATATCAGCCTGCCTACCTGTGGCTCACGTTTCGCTCTCCCCAAGTTGAATACATCGCGGGTGTTCTTTGCCTCCATCGGATTAGCAAAGGTAGTAACCTCTGCTTTCTCCACCCCGTTGGCATCGTAAAAGTTGTCTCCATAACGATCTGCAAAATGGCCGGCAGAATGGAGTAGGTTATCTTCCATCGCATTCGGCTTGTTCAAAAGGCTTCCTGTCCCCTTTGAGGCGTCCTGGGGATAATCCTGCGTGGCGTCGCTACGGTGCCCCCTATTAGTGTTATCTAAAATTTGACTGTACTTTAGCCCCTCGTGGGGTTGAAGCTCGGTGAGGATGTTTTTGCCCGTCTGCTCATTTAGGACGAGACGGGGATCTGCGTGGATGCCACTCTGCAGGAATAACTGCGTCACGTCCGTTTTTATTATGGGGGCGTGGGAAGAAGTCTCCATTTTTTTGCTGATCGTTTCCATCAAAATGCTGTTTTGCATGTCGGTGAGATTGTCTTGGAAGGTCTGTAGATGTTGCTTTCTACCCGGGTGCTTCCGCTCCAATCGTTCGCCTTGGTTCGCGCCGTAAGCGGGGGTGACGCCTTCTTCCGCGGCTGTTACGGTGGGTACGTCGGAGGTGGGCACCCTCCTCGCTGTAATGGGTACGTTTGATGTAGGCAATCTCCCCGCCAAGTTGCCCCCTCCACTGTGCACTCCATTGACGCAATCCGCCGACCCCTCGAGCCCGTTCAGCTGGTCCCCCTCTATAGCCACATCTGCGGAGCGCTTCAACTCGGGGGATAACCCCCCCGCGTGGACATTTGCCCGCGCTTCCGCCCCGACGAGTCCCCTCTTCACCTGGTCGAGCAGCACCCCCCGATTGTCGTCCTCCCCAGTTAAGGCAGAGGAATTGGAACGAATAAAATGATCCAAATCTTTGTCCACAACAGAGTCAAAAATGTTAAGTAACAACACATCATCTTGGTCATCCCCCGAGGGGAGGGAATCAAATTTCTGTTTAATTTCCTCCGACTTAATTTTAATGAGCTCCTCATAGACGGAAATGTTTTGCTTCAGTCCGATGATGGGTACTTTCCCCGATGCGTTTTCCTTCCTCTGGTAACAATGGTGGACATTTCTATAGAGCTGAAAGAGGACCTTCAAATTGGCGAAGCACTCCTTGAGTCTACCATACTTATGAAGTAGCAGATCGTATTCTTTCTGGAGGAGATCATTTCGCTTAAGTATTTTCTCCACGTCGCTTTCTTTGTTGTCGTTCGTTTGGACCGTTGCACAGAGTTTGATATTCCTGGCTCGAAATGCATACTTAAGAGTATTATTAGATTCCTGAAATGATTTTCTCGAAGGGTTAATATTTGCGATCATCACCACAAGGCAGTTTCCTTCGAGTGAATTCTTTAGCAGGTGCGTCAATTTGCTATCCCTATATTTGACTCTTACCTTTGGGATGTGTTTATTAGACGCTAGAGAGTTTATACAATTGGCTAGCGCAAGAAGTGACTGGTTAATATAGGAGCCTTCTTTGAATCTTTCCCCTTTGTTAGAAGTAGCACTAGCTCTCTCAGAACCAGCTAAATCGACGAAGCATAATTTGGCCTTATAATTTATTGCATTCATATTGCTATCCATCACTTCGTTGTGGATGTATATTTGTAGAATGGCATGAGACCTACTAGACACTTTATTCGCCCTGGTAGGAGACATTTTCCTATTTTTCACTCCCTCATTGATTAGGATCATTGCTTGTTCGTAACTCTCTACATGGACTTCGCATAAATTGCTGACACGGACTTCGGCTGCATCTTCTTGTACCTCCAATGGTTTGTTCTTCTCCTTTCCGAGAAGATCCCTAATGGTTTCGTTATATACCTCTAGGAAACTCATCAGCACTTTTGCCTTCTCATACTTTTTCTCTTTAATTATGGTGAATAATTCGAGGAGAGACAACTGTACGATCCCGTTCTGATTCTTGTCATCCAGCATAGTGTACGTTTTTCCTGAACCCGTGGCCCCATATGCAAAAACGGTTCCATTGACTCCTTTAAAGACGTGAGGGATTAACGGCTTGGCGGTGTGGAGAAAGACATTCTCTTGTGTTGCATTAACGTCGAATACGACATCGAAAACGTACGTTGCTTGTTTTTTTTTCTGAGACAGTAGGTAACACTCTTTTTCATTTTCCTTCTCAATTAAGACATAGTTTTTGTTAAATATAGAGACGATATTTTCTTCCGATTCGGAAATGGGTTTTATTCTCACTGCAACTTTTACGTTTGAATACGCGTTTAGAGTATTTATTAGGTTAGAACTGTCTTCCCGTTTCAACGGACTGCTGTCTGCGTTGCTGAGGTAGGAAGGATCTGCGCAGGAGGAGGCGTTGTACGTGCACGCCGCTGCCCCCCCACCACTGGAGTTCGCACTGAAGATGTTTTTTATGTTGATCTGCGGGATGTAAATGCTGTCGTATATATTTTTGGACGTTATGGGGTACTCACTGATGTGGTCCATTACGTTTTGGTTAGCTTGGCTCTTCGTCACCGACAGTCTATTTTTGCTTCTAGGTTCCATGGTCCCGTTTTTCGTCTTGACTTGGAGCCTGGGAGCGCCAATTAGGCTGGGCAGAGTAGTCGAGTTGGCCACGCACCTTACGCTGGGTACACTGGTTGCGGCCTTCCTCTTGGGGGCCCGCTTCTTCTCATTGGGGATGGCCGCTGCCGCTCGCTCGCTGCTTCCGTTCAAGTGGGCGCCGCCACCGCCCGGCTGCGGTCGGCCGCGGCTTCGAGTTCCACCCGCGGGGTTGCTGCTACTCTTGGCGCCGTCTTCCCTCGCGTTGCAGAATATTTTTAGCGTTCGGTCATTATGGCTGATTATGCTGTTTGCCTGGCTATTGGGGCTGAACTTTTTTCTGCCGCCTGGTCTTTCCTCGCCCCGAGCACTGCGCGTGGTGCGAATGGTGCCAAGACTGTCAACAGTGCCAACGCCGCCAACACTGGCAACCGTGCCAAACCCGGTGAGCAGCGGAACGCTGGTCAGGTTCTGGCTGCTTTTTAGGAAGGCCCTCTTGATATCGCCTAGCGGGGGCTCATCGTTTAGGGATCTTTTCACGTGCAAATTGTTCCTGTGTGTAAATCTGAAGTTCCTTCTCACGTCGCTAAATTCAGGCGAAATGGTTAACACATTTATTTTTTTCTTTTCTGTTGGGTCATTGTTGGTCACACAGGAAGCGGGGGTCCGAGTGACAATTTCGCCATTGGCCCCTTCTGCTCGGGTTTCTTCTCGACTCTTTTCAAGACCCTTTTCGTGGCTCTTTTCGCTGCTTTCCTCGCTGCCTTTTTTTTTTTTTAAATTGGCTTCCTCCTCCGTATCGTTGTGCAGCAGGGTGACCCCGTTTTTCTCCTTGCTTTCGCCCGCCTCGCTCTGCGCTTCGAAGAAGATCGTGTCCCCCCTCGCGATTTCCCCGTTAGCGTAGTTAGCGGCGTTAATAGTATTAGCCGCGTTAATGGCGTTTCCGCCGTTAGTCTTCTTCTCTTCGTTTGACGCGTTCAACCCGTTCAGCTGCTTCAACTTTTTGTAATTCACGTAAATTTCCTCCAAGCTTTTACCGCCCTCTCCATCGTGACTCTTCGTAATTACATTGGAGAGCTCCCCACTCATTTTATTTTTCTCCCCCACCCCCTTTTGGTAATACACAAAAGCGTTTATTATAAACCCGTTTTGGCTAGTCAATCTGCACACAGATGTGTGTGGTGAGGGCTAGGGGGAGGAGGGGAGTGTTCCCTCGAGAGGAACGGAGAGGTTGCTGTATATTTCCACAGAGTCGGTTCAACGTATATCACCGTGCGTTGTACACGTGGACAGATGCACACATGTAAGGACACGGGGAATGTCCTTAGTAGAGCCGTCGAATTAATGCCAACGGGGGGGAGTCTCCTCCGAGATGGTATACTCCCTGGATGTCTTCAAAGGGATAACCGGCAAATTGCAGCTTAGGACACCTTTTTTTTAATAACAATTATTTGAAGCGATAAATTTCTCTGTGCGGACGGATCTGAGCAGACAGGTATCTTCGTAAGTGAGAGGTGGTGCTCTATGCTGCCTTGGGGAAAAATGGGCCTACATGTGTACATTATAGGGGCGCAAAGAAAAAAAAAATAGATATACTGGGGGATTTTCCCGTTATAGATACGCATGTGTATACATTTCCCTGCGCTCCGCAGAGTGGACTACTTTGCGTCTCCCCTTAGTGATCCCCGCCTCTCCAGCCGGTCGGCACATGAATACAAAGGTGTATGGGCATGTGGGGCGATAAGCTACTAAAACAGTGCGGAGTGGAGATCGTCCGAGGCGTCCACTATCAGGTAGGCCTATGCGCACGAAGCCCTCGCGCGGGATAGGCAAATGAACGGGGAAATAACTTCAAAAATAAACGCGTACAAAGGAAAAGTTTAAGTGTTAAAGTTTACGAAAAAAAAAGAAAAAAAAAATAGCCAAATTGGTTAACGCGGGACGCATTGGTCAAATTTACCAAAACTGAGGCCATCATCAAATCTACCAAATTTGATGTTTTTTTTTTTTTTTTTTCTTAACCTTTTGCACATATAATTCTTCAACGCACTCTATACGATGAGTCCAGGCCCCTTATGCTAGACAAGTCTTTCCCATTGCTTCGTTCGTGCTGCCTTTTTCTTTCCCCTCTCCCCTTTTGGTTTATTTTTCCCGTCATTCGGAGGTGTATATGATATGCGCACAAGCAGGAATGTCCGTATGCATGTATGTATGCTCGGGTGTAGGTATTTTTTTTTTTTTCCTCTTCAGCTATACACACAAAAACTGCCGCAGCGGGGTCAGTCAAAGGGCACAATTATCACCCTCGCAAAAAGTGAAAGCGTGTCCAGTGAACGGAAGATGTGGAGGACTTCACCTTTGGTTTTTCCTATTCGGCATTTATCCCTTCTGGTCGTCTTTGTTCTTACTTCTTTGTTCTTTCTTCTTTCTTCTCTGTTATTTCTTCTTCTCTTTTTACTCTTTTTTTTTGTTTTTTCTTTCCTTGTGTGTGCCATGGTTCCACCCGGGGAATTACTTACGCAAGTGCATCCCTCGGTCCGTTCATTTGAAGGAGTTTTTTTTCCCATGCTTTACCAATTTCGTGTTAACATTTGTAGACTGGTCATTTAGGCCTTCTCTACCAACGGCTCCTTGTTTTATTCTTATCCTTTTTATATGCAACTCTTTTTCAGGGAAAATAAATGTGCGTTCTCCATTGGGGCCTAGACATACACATACTTCATTTTGCCGGTTCGATGTGATTATGTGTCCCCCTTTTTTTTTTCTTCTTCTCGGGAATTGTTGTGCTGAACAAATGCTTCACTGGGAGTTTAATCCCGGGGACTATTCATAAGTTTTACAAAAAAAAAATAGGCAACTTTCCTGCAAGATTGATCGTCACGATGTCGTTTATCCGTAAAGTGTTTATCCTTTGGGGGGAGGGGTGCTCATCTTCTACGTTTCATCATTGGATGTGCACTGCCACTCAGGTTTCTCTGGATGGAATGAACCGTCAAATAACGGAACACATCCATGCGAAAATTGCATCATGCATTAAAAAACAGAAAGGGGGATTCTCAAATGCATTCCGCGTCTGTCTTGACAACCAACAGCATTTTCTTAACCCGGTTGGAATGGCAAAAAATTGTGTGCGTGTTTTTTAAAAGTTTTTTTTTTTTTTGCTCCATCTTGTTGTTCAGGGAATCCAAACGTACTGTATCGCAAATGGGAAGGACTTTTTGGTCACCATAAAAAGGATGTATATTCGGTGGGCAAATTGACACATTGGCTGGAAAATTAACTCTGCACTCGGATGAGAAGTCGTGCAATCCATATGCCTCAAAAAAGGAGGCGGCAGCGTGGGGGATACACCGTTCACGTGTTCATTTTAAATTTTGTATGGTAAGAGGGGCCCTCCTTGGGGAGACCATCTTCGGGGCACTTTCCCTTTAATTTTGGTATTCTTCCATTGGCAACCTACTTCGTGGGGTAACTTCGCGGGGTAACGTAGTGGGGACATGTGCCCTTCTTCTTCTCCTCCTCACATAATGCGATTCTGTCTCCTCCGTCCCATCGCTGCCTCTTCGATGCCACTTTCCTAACTAAAGCTGTTCATGTTAAATTTTGGTATTTCCCAGCTATCCTCCACACACATCTTCAAGAAAAAAAAAAAAAAAAAATGTAATTCACATGGAGTAAAAATGTCATATGCGACGAAAAAAATGATGGCGAATACGTATGTTCTGTTGCCCTCTCGTGTAGTGGCTCGCCTTACCAAGACTCTCTTATTGTACATACTCCTGTTGTTAATGAAAATCCGAGCTGCCTCCGGATTCGCGGGGGAAGACGTGTTCGGGTCATTCAGCAAAGACTGAATAGACGTCAGCAACGAAGTTATATCATAAATGGGACTCCACTGGTTTTGCAAAATGTCCAGGCAAATATTTCCATCGGTGTATATATTTGGGTGAAACAATTTTGACAGGAATTTTACTTTGGGGGGACTTACAGGGTACTCTTCTGAAAAGTTAATGATTAAGTGGAAAATTCCACATTCCCATATGGTATCTTCTGGGCCCCTAATGATTGCATGGCAACACATGATGTTGTCTGCGAATGGGGCGGCCTCAAAGCTCTTGTTCTGATCCTTGTTGATTTTGTTTAAATCTTGAATTATCCTCCGTCTGGCGAACGTTGACATGATGCCCCGGCCGTGGTAGCGAGGGGGGTAGCCGTGATGATAGTCGTGGTGATAGCCGTGATGATAACCGTTGCTGCGCGCCTTGAGACGTTATAGGGTGCTAAAATGGAATGCTTTCGCACTTCAAACATTCCAACGAGTGGCGCTTTCTCTTTTTATGTTTACATTTCTTCCCTGCCAAATGTGCCCTCGCCTTTGAGTTCCTCTTACGCTGGGTTTTTATATATACGACGACAATGTTACTGGGCTTGCTGGCAAAGTTGGTTCATCAATCTGTTCATCATTGGTCTCTTACCGTCACACGCGGAATGTTTCTATGTATTCCAGTATATACTCCATTACATGCTCCATTACGAGTTACAATTTTTCCTTCACGCTTGTTCCTCTTTTCCTACGCTTTGTCCTTTCTTAACTCATCAATTGCGCCACTTCAATGTTGTGCATATCTTTTTCTCCTCAAATGGCTAGTTGGGTCAGAAATTACCTGAACAGGCCAGTTTTTTTTTTTTTTTTTTTGAAAATCTGTTCATAATTTGTTTTTTAACAAATTAGCTTTCCAAAAAAAGGCGGGAAAGAATGAAAAAAAAAAAATAAATAAATAATGCAGCAATGGCAATTGCAATTGCGTTTTGCATCCCCTACAGGGGTTTTGAAGTATAATACAAAAAAGATCCACAAAATGGGGGGCATTTATATTTTTCAAAGGAGTTCAGCAAAGAATATTGGCGCTTTCCTCTTCCTCGATAGTGAAAAGGAATAACTCCCTTCTTTGAAGAGATGGACCCAAATCAAATGCTTGCCTCGCTTTCTATAACACACGACGCGGGGTATTTATATGTACATACGCGCAGCTAAATAATACGTAATGGGGGACAAGCAAACCGAAAAAAAATGAAGAGAGCTACAAATTAAAGAAGAAAAAAAAACACCCATTGTTGAGCAAACCTTTATAGATGAGAAGGCATAATTTACTTATGTGCCTAGCAGCATTGGCCATATCTTTACATTTGCCCTGCAGAAAACGCGTGGCGGCATGCTTATCTTGCAATGTGGCAATCGTAAAATATGTTCCAAATGCAAGGCTAACAAGAATACAAAGGCGGGAGAGAAGCGGGTATCCCGTCAAAGGAGAAATCACTGCATGTGCAGGGAAGAGAAAGTTCCCCGTCCTGTTCCTTCAGTCGAAGCGTTTTCACGGCCTTCCAAACAGATCGAAGTTGTTTTTTCGTCACCTCCAAACAAAGGGGGGAAAAGGAAGCGTCCTTTCGGGAGATTCGGGCAAGGTGCTGGGGAAGTCCATCTGGGGAGAGGTGGGCAGCACGGTTGGTACTGGCCGCGTTGGTAGACTCCCCCGTGGAAGTACCTCCATTGATAGCACCCCCATTGGCAGCACCCCTATTAATAGCACCTCCATTGAGCACCAATCGCGCAGCAGAAAGCACTTCTCGCTGCTCAAAATGTGCACCTCGGGGGGTAGTGCGCCCGTGCGCGATTCTGCGGTAGTAAACGAAACTAAGCAAAATCAAGAGACCGATGCACACTCGGACATCACCAGGAATGAAAATAAATCGCCAGTCATGTCGATGCACGCAGAAAAGAATGGCGATGTGCGCGAAGAAAACAGTTACGGTGAGCAAAGCAAAGAACCTTTCACCGTTGAGCAACTGGAAGAGATAAGAAAAAATTGCTCCTACCTCAAAATAAACGAAACGGAAAGTGACGAATATAGCATAGAGCTGTACTTCCATTGTAAGGAATTCAAATTGTTAAGGAAAAAAGATGAGACGGTAAAGTCGTTGACAAATAGGCTAATTCTAAATATGAAAAAGTCGGACAGAAAAAGGAAGAAGAACCCAAGTAATAGCTACAACCAAAGTGTGGAACAGCCCACGGGGGATGACTCTATAATAGAGAAGAAGGAGGGCCCACCAAATGACATCCAATTGTTTGATAAGGAAAATAACCTGGTGCAAGACAACTCGCTGCTGATCGATGTGGTAGACAAACTAAGTTACCTCCTCATTAATCAGTACAAAGTAGAAGTATTCAAAGGGTTATACGACCTGAAGCAAATTTATGTCTCCATGGATGTATATAGCGGGCACCCCATAATCCCCGTGAATGCACCCATGGAAGACCTTCATTCGTATGTTCACTACTGGACGTATGCGCACGATAAGAAGGTGATCTTATCGCGCGATTTGTTTTACAAGCCGAAGAAGGAAGGCACAAACAAAAGACTTCAGCTCGTTATATATAATAAGAAGAAGCCCTTCTTCTTCTATGTGACGAATGAAATAGAAGTGCAGTCTAACGAATTTGAGGAGGAACTAAACAGGAAAGGAGAAAGGTACCTCCATTTTGAGAAGGTGCTAAAGACAGATGAACCCTGCAGCGATAACATACTACGCATTTTGACCTACAACATTCTTGCACCTATATATACCAACACCAAGTACGCCCTGGAATATATGTTTAAAAATATAGACCCTTGTTATTTGAAAACGAATTACAGATCGCATTTGCTAATTCATGACATCAGTTACGATTATGATATTATTTGCCTGCAAGAGGTGAGCGAATATCTGCATTCCAACCTCTTCTCTGTATACCTACATGACGAGTTCTATTCCTCGTACAAGCCAAAGAGCAGCCATGGAAATGACGGCTGTTCCTTATTTGTTAATAAAAAAAAATTTGCCCTAATTGAGTATAAAAATTATGAATTTAATCAAGTGGTGAAACTTCCAGAGTTGAAGAACGTGTACGATCGCTTTATCAACTTGAGCAATGACCTGGAGGAAATCATAAGAGAAATTAAAACCGTTTTTCAGTTTGGCATTTACACACATAGGAGCAGCAAAGATATATTTCTCGTTGCAAACACACATTTTTATTTCCACAGTTTGGCTAGCCATATTAGAGCATTACAATCGTATAGCCTACTCTACATTTTGGAAACGCTCAAAAAATCGTATGAACAGAAATGCGGGAAAACGGTGTATGTAGTGCTAAATGGAGATTTCAATACAAATTTCGAGTCAGAAGTGTTTTCCTTCCTCGAAGGAAAGGACATTGATTCAGATTCGGACCTTTGGATAAACTGCAAATTGTTTAAAAAGGAATATGACGATTTGAATAAATACCCAACATTATTTGACTTGGGAAAAAATGGGCATAATAATGAACAAATTATTGGCCCCCATTTGGACAGGAAAAAATTCCTGCCATTATATTCCGCCTATAAAAAGGGGGACATTTCCTACACCAATTGGAACAATAACTTTATTGACGTTTTGGATTACATCTTTTTGTCACCGGGGCTTAAGGTCAGACGGGTACTGAAGGGTATCGACAAGGAATGGTTCGCGAAGTATAAAGGGGTGTTGTCTCCCATAAACCCCAGTGATCACATTAGTATAGCTGCCGAGGTGGAAATGTGACTTGGGGTGATTCGCCTTTCCGGGGGAGCTATGCCCGAGGGGGTGCTCCGTCCTCTCCGCAGCCCCACTGTCTCTGTTTTGTTGCGTCGTTTCGCTAGCCCGTGGTTTTGTTAATCCTTCGTTTTGTTAATCCATGGTTTGGTTAATCCTTCGTTTTGTTAATCCATCGTTCTGTTAATCCATCGTTTTTGTTAATCCATCGTTTTGCTTTTTTTTTTTTTTCTTCATTTTTGTTTGAACAGGTCATACTTTTTTCTAATTTTGAAAAGTTCGGCAGCATCCCATTTTTGCAAACCCGCGTTGTTGGTCAAGCTTAAAAATGACCGAGGGTGATAGGGCCGCCACGAAATTGCATTTTCCCATCTGTGCCATTCAGGCCTAGTGAGTTCATATGGGACATTTCTCGCAAATGTTTTGTCACTCTCTTTTTTTTTTTTTTTTTTTTAATTTGCATTTCCAGTACTCCATTTGGCTAGTTGAAAAATGTTCAGCACGTCTGCGGGTTGAGTAGGAAAAGTTGAGGATGAGGTTAAAGTTCTAGCGGTATCGACTTGACGAGTTTTCCTTTTCCATACACTTCACCCATCCTTTCGGGGGGCCACTTAACAGTCATGATTTTCCCCCATAGGCAAAATCACTTTGTGTACCTCTCTCCAGTGAAGTTGTGTCCATTACCTCATCCGCTGAAATGTATGACGGCCGTTTTGTAGGCGCATACTTTGACGTAAGCGGTCAATCGGCCAATTTTTCAAACGAGGTATGTTTCCCCCGATGGGGACGAAAAGCACCTGCACTCCCGCCTTCGTAGGAGTGGGGAAATATGCTTTCAAGCGGCTTTCCCGACGGAATTTAACCCTTTAAAATAATGCACACGCGGCAAGGGTAGAGTAGCAAAAAAAAAAAAAAAAAAAAACACACCAAGAAGTGTTTGCAAAAAGTTAAGCATAGATAAAGAAAAAATAAAGAAAAGATTGATGAACAGATTGTGCTTCTCTCATTCCTGTGTTTGTAAGGTGGGGGCATGAACGTGTCCCTTTCGTAAGAATGCCAAATGCGTAATTTTCGCAAAAGGAAAACGCGCCATTTGTTTTTTTTCTCCCTCCTTGCCCACTGTTAAGGGGTAACACTTCATGCTTACAGGATACACCATCGCCCTGTTGCATAAGCAAACCTCGACAGAGATCCCCTTCCCACGATCTTAGATGATTTTCAAGCGAGAGAATGGGCCCGTTCCCGACACGTTTTTTTCTTAACCCGTAAGCACTCACCGCTGAGGGGGCTTAGTAGGAGAAGCATGCTGAGTATGCTGTGTACTGTGCAGACGCTACTAACACAGTTTACACCCTTCTCTACACAACTTCCCTCTGCCGCACACACCTGCTGCACCAACGAAGAAATCAGCCAGCATGGCCAACAGCGAAGGGAAAGAAGACAATGATATTTTCAAAATTCACAAATGGTCAGGTGTCGCGGCCTGGTCTTGGGACATCAGCGTAGATAACTGTGCCATTTGCAGAAACCACATAATGGACTTATGTATCGAATGTCAAGCAAAGTTAAACGAAAATGGTGGAAACGATAAGGACAAAAAAATGGACAAGGACAGCTGCACGATAGCGTGGGGTGTGTGCAATCATGCCTTTCACCTTCACTGCATATCGAGGTGGATTAAGGCCAGACAAGTTTGTCCCCTGGATAACACGCCTTGGGAGTTCCAAAAGGCATCGAACTGAAGTGAATTTCCACGTTCCCCTGCGTTTGTCTACTTTGGTCCCGCGCATCTATACATGGCATCTTCTTAAAATTGGCCGCCATATGTCCAGGGGGCGCGCCTGGCCCGGCCCAAGCTGCGCATCTGTTAGCGCACACAGGTGTTGATATGCGCATGAATATGCACACGTATGTACATTGTTACCCTCTTTTTCCAAAACGTTCGCTTTCCGCCTGCTTCTTTTTTCTGTACACCCTAGCATGCGTTTAAAAAAAAAAAAAGAAACTTTTTCCTATACCATTAATTAAAAAAATGTGGAAGTTAAACAACCCGAGGGGTGTAAAAAGGGGCGAGGGTGCAACAGCTAACGGGGCGGAGGTGGAAGAGCTAATGGGGCGGAGGTGGAAGAGCTAATGGGGCGGAGGTGGAAGAGCTAATGGGGCGGAGGTGGAAGAGCTAATGGGGCGGCGGTGCAAGAGCTAATGGGGCGGCGGTGGAACAGCTACCCCGGCGAGGGCACTGGACCACTCACACCGCTGACGCGGCTAATCCGGCTAGCGTAACACATACTGAAACCAAACCGGGCACGTACACGCGTGGACTTATGGACGTGGGTGCATGCTACGCAGCGCCGCGAAACGGCTTAACAAACAAAAAAAAAGAAGAAGCGCGGGTTCGTCCGAAGGGGGGGGCCAAGGATGATTCGGCGCGCCCCCAGAAGGGAAGAAAAAGGAGAGGAGAAAAGGAAAGAAAGAAAAAAAAAACGAAAAAAAAAAGAAAAAAACTATTCACAATCTCCTTTTTGTTGTCTCACATGGAGTGGCTCCATTTCGCACGTCATCCATGGTTCCAAAGTGGCATACATATACGGGGCATACACGCGACATACACCTGGCACGCATGTGGCACGCGTGTGGCAGGCGGGCGAGCTTCAATTTTTCCGCCTGGGCTTGGCCGAGCTCGCCTCGTCCTTGGCGAGCGGAATCTTAATTTTGTAAATGGCCTTCTGCACGAGGCCCCAGAAGGCCTCCTTGGCCTCGACGGCGAAGGCAAATCCCTTGTGCGAAAAGACATGGGAGCTGTTCTTGCTGTCAATGTAGGCGAGCTTCTTAACTTCGTATTTCCGGAGACCTTCAAATTTGCCCAGCTTCAGTTGCTCCAGGACAATTTGCTCCATGGTGGGTTTCTTCATGAACTGGTATGTCATAAGGAGAATTAAAGGAAGGAGAGAAACATACAGGGAGACGATCAGCGACAGGTAGAAGTTGCCTGAGGAGTGCGCCTTTTCAAATGTGCCATACAATTCATCAGCCCCTATGATATCTAAAAAGAGTTTCGTGTTACTCACGATAAACCAGAAAAAGAACGTGGCGATAACTTCTATCCACAGGACAATGTGAGAAATGACGAACCATGTGTTGGTTAAAAGGACGACGACTGCATTGACTGCTATGACGTGGTGTGTGTAGAGAATCTGCGAGAATGTATGGAAATCGATGTCTACATTGTGGTGGTCCTTGATTATTGAGTCCGTCTGACCAGTGGCAAAGTGAAGCATAATGACTGTTTCCACGGAGGCTAGCCAAATGGCAAAGAGCAAATAAACGAAAAGGTAATGAGTGCCGTAGGATCTATATTTCTCCGGTTTGGATCGTTTTCCAATCCAGGACTTCATTTTATTCGTCGATTTTTGAAAAAAAGGAATCAATCTAAACGGGATGAGACAAAATTGGAAAATGTTTCTATAAACCCGCTTTATCTTGTTGGTATAAAATTCGATCTTCTTATTGGAGTAGAGGGGCCATAATGTAGATGGAGAGGTCTCGTATAGGAGGGGATTTTTCAGGAGGATTCGATGAGGGAGCTGCTTATCCAGGGCAACAAAGAAGATAACAGGGAGGGTAGTAAAAGCGATGTTTATGATTTGCTTGGTCCAGGGGTTCCACGCATCGATGGCACTGTAACCTGTCCAGAAATTCAAAACCATCGAGCAGAGACAAAAACTGACGTTTCGAAAAATGCAAAAGTAGACTAAGAAGGAATTCCTCCTGAGAGATTCCCTTCCATGAACGAAGAGTAATTTTTTTAAGTACTTAAATTCGCTTATGGTAAAGTCTGACGACCTGGCTGCTTGTAACCCCTCCTTACCAGCTATTCCGACGCCCACATTGGCCATAAGAATCATCCCCACATCATTTGCCCCATCTCCAATGGCTAATGAGGTGCCCCTGGGATTGAAGGCAGAATTCTCTTTCACCAACAGGGACTTCTGTTTTGGAGTCACTCTACAAGCAATGAGTGTAGATGCACTTCTAGCTAAGGTGTAGAATTTTATTTTTAAAATTTTGCTCTTCATGATTTCGTCCAGTGCTTCTCCCGTGATGGTTATAGAGAACTGTGAGTAGTGGACCTTCTCCCTCTCCTTCTGTTTCTCCTTATCCTGCTTCTCCTCATCCTGCTTCTTCCTCTCCTGCTTCTCCCCCCCTTTGGTCTTTTCCACATGGCTGCGATTGCTAGGAAACGATTCACTGGACTCAAGGAACGAGTTAAAGATCTTCTCCTGCTTGGCTAGTTCTGGGAAAGAATTTTCCTTCTTCAAATTGTCCATGTCCGATGACGAGATGACGCTCTTCTTGATGGATCCGTAAAAATTCGTTTTCATAAAATTTAAGATGGTTTCGGATCGTAGATCTAAGTTTAAGTTTTCCCAGTTGACGCTATTCCACCACTTGGTTCCGTGGTCAACATTGAGCAGGTTGGCTGCATTTGTGTTCTTCTCATGAATATTCATTTGTTCTAACAAGACCGTAGGATCCGTTTCGGTGAACACTGCGTTGTAAGTTTCTTTATTTAATATGTTTATTGAATGTCCGATGTTTATGGCCGTCTCTAATTTATCTCCCGTGAGTACACAGATGGTCATTCCAGCGTCTCGTAGGTCCTGTATCACCTGCGGAACGTCTTCCTGCAATTTGTCGTCAATCCCGGTGCAGCCAATAATAATCAAATTATCCTCCGCTTCGTCGTAGAACTTTCCCAAACATGCTCCATCGTCTTTTCGCATCTCCGACGTTCTTCTCGTCTCCATATGGTGCTGATACATTTTCTTAAATTCCTCCTCCGTCAGATGTTTATATCCCAACACGAGGGTTCTTAACCCAGAGGTAGCAAATGCATTCAGCTGGTACATCACGTGGTCTACTATATGCTCCTGATTCTTTGCCGCTAACTTCAACACATTGGTGTCCGCTCCCTTGACTAGCATGTAGATTTCTTTCTTCTCATTTTTTACGATTAGGGACATGCGCTTCCTCACATTGTCGAAGGCGAAGACGTCTAGTATTTCGTAGGCCAGTATGGGGACAACCACTCGGTGGGTTTTGGTCGCCTCAATATTTTTCCCCTCCCGTTTGACCTCCTTATGGCTGCCTCTGTTCGCCGAGAAAACTTTCTTGATCGGGATGGACATATGGAGGTTGCAGGCACCCTGCTCTACGTGAGTCCCCCGGTTGGCACTCCCCCCGTTTCCGCTCCCCTCCTCAGTGGCATCATTCAACTTGGTCTCTCTCCTTCTTTCCCTGGGCGAGTTAACCTCCGGGAAGAACGCATCAAAGTTGTCTTCATAGTAACCCTTCTTCTGCAGAAAATCGTTGTACGCCTTCTCCCCCAGGATGAACCTCTGCGCGAACGTGGACGTCAGCTCAATTTCGATCGTCGTCAGGTTGGGTCTATTCACGAATTCGCAGCCCAGGTAGAGCGCCGTGCTGATGAGGGCCAGCTCATCCGGCGAGCTAGCATCGTACTGCGGCTGCGGCTGCGTCAGGTACGTGTAATTCATCATGGTTTCCCGGTCGAATATTTTGGTCTTCTCCGAGTTGTCTCCCGCCGAATACGCAGCCCTTTCAGCAGCCCCTTCAGCTCCCCCTTCAGCTGCCCCTTCAGCTGCCCCTTCAGCTGCCCCTTCAGCTGCCTCGTTCGCCGGTCCCCCTACCTCGCCCATCTCGTCGATGTCCACATTCCTTATCATCGCGCTGTGGCAGAGGCTGAGCACGAGCAGGAGGAACTGCACCTGGTCCTCCACGTCCTTCCTGATGCTGTAGATTTTGTTGACGAAGAGAATTCTGTTGAAGAAAACAAACTCGTTTTCGCCTCTTTGAAAGTCTTCCTCCGTGTAGACACCCGCGGCCGCGTTCTCGCTGGTGAGGCTGTTCCTGTGCATGAGGCTCCTTTTCTCCTTGTGTAGGTTGACGGAGGTCTTGGACCACGTCATGGGGGGAAGTTGGAACGACTCCCCGCTGCCGTTCTCCGAGCTGATGCTTGGGTTGGCGCTGTCCCTGGTGGGTAGTTCCTCCCCGCCACGTCTGTCCATTCGGCTAAGTTTGTCCACTCCGCCGTCAACCGAAAAGGGGTCCGAACTGCCCTGACTGCCCGCGCCGCGCCTCCTTATGATGTTCTCCTTAATGTTGCTAAAATCGTAGAAGCCATAGATGCCTTTGCTTCCCAGCCCGATATTCTGCAGCTGCATAATGTTCTGCGTCAGCGTGCCAGTCTTGTCTGAATAAATGTGCGTGACGTTCCCCATTTCTTCAAGAAGCTGTCCCGCTTTGCTTAAGGCATGCCTCCCACTTTTGGGGCTGTACATATCTTTGTCCCAGTTTATTAAATATCCCTGTAAAAGTCGGACGACCTCCCAAATGAGCAGTAAATCCACTGGAATGAATGATCCAAAGAGAAGAATCATTGACCCAATGGTAATAAAAAACGTCTTGAGGCTATCTGCCTGATGACCTAAATTTAAGTACCATAAGTTGTAACCCTTTCTCCTCATCCATAAAACGCCAGCGATAGCGACGATGAATGAAATTAACATTTGGCATATTATCAGAACGATCACATGGTTGCCATAGACGAATTCTAGTCGAGACCATTTCTCTCTTGATTTTGTGGAGGCATTCATCATCAGCTTGGTTCTATTTCCTGTGCTGATAACAAGTCCGTAGATCCATTTGGTGTTTACAAGGGATGTTCCTCTAAGGACTACATTGTCGATGGTGACCTGGACAGCGGTGCGTTCTGTACAGAGATGATCATTATTGGTGTGACCTCCAGTGAAGGAATGAGAATCACTTCCCTCTTTGTCATTCGATCCAGGGGGGATTCCTCCCTTATTGTCTTCATCTCTATGATAGGTATAATTATTATTCTTTTTTCTCTCTGTTTTTGTGCTTCTTTCGCCTGTAGTTTGATCCTCCCCAGAAATGATCCCCCCTGTGTAGGCATCATAAAAATGTACTACTTTTCCTCCATCTTTTTTGTACTGAAGAGGAGGTAAGAGCATATGCCCTTTGTAATCAAAAATGTTGTCATTGGGACTTTCACTTATTAATTCTGCTTGGCAGTACCCAGAATGGTTATCGTCCTGGAAGTATTTTACGACATCGGGAAGACAATACTTCTGCTTCACGTTTGACTCTCCATCGACATTCTTCGTCTCAATGTTTACGATTCCTTTTTTGTTGGACGAATTGAGGATAATTAAATCAGCAGGGAAGTACTCATAGGAGAATATTTTCACCACATCTCCATCTTTCACCTCTGCCCACTTTTTCTCCTTCAAAATGCCGTCTTGGAAAACCATCGTCTTCTTACTATTTTCTTCATTGTCCGATTTATGTCTTTGTAGGTCTTCAAAAAACTCCTTTATCATGGCGACGACGATAATGAATACCAGTGGGATTAGATAAGTCGGCATTCCTTTAGAGTCTGTAATTTCGGGAATAAGTTGCAGCATGGAGATGGACAGAAAGTATAGATTTCCCAGTCGTAGGAACTGAAAAAACACGATTAGTGGCACGAAGGTATAGAGCTTATATTTTGCCGTCCTTATTTCATTCCTGTGTTTTTTCCCAAATATTAGGTCTATGTTGAGGTCTTCTTCCTTGAGGTTCTCTTGAGCTTTCTTTATGTACAGCTCATGGTTTTCCTTTCTAACTTCAAAATTGGAAATGAGATATATTCTGTTTTCGTTGCTCGTCCCCCTGATTTTGGTGGATACCCACTCCAGGAGGTTCATTACCTGCGTGTGCAACATGGTTTCCTCGGTTTTGTCCGTTCGAAGCGGGGGAGATCGTCCAACTGGGTGGTTCCAACAGGGTGGTTCCAACAGGGTGGTTCCAACAGGGTGGTTCCAACTGGGTGGTTCCTTTCAGCTGCCTCCTTCCTACAGCTCAAACGAGTGCACCCCCCTTTTTTTTTCTTTCTTCTTTCCTCAATACTGAAGATGCACAAAGGTGGAGGCGAATCGGGTGCGGGGACTCAGATTCACATAGCAGATGCCATGTACTGATTTGCGGTTGAGGATCACGGGGGAGGCACGTCCAACGTGCGCTGGTCGGGGCAGGTCTTCTAACTTGGTCGTAAAAAGAAGTTTAAAAGATGTTCAGCGGTTTAGCGGGTAAGCGAGTTAACAGTTCAGCCGTTCAGCGGTGGTGTGTTTATGCAATTACGCTGTTACGCCGTTCTTCCGCTACACCGTTACGTGGCGGGAAGGGAGCTACGGGGACCAAGTTTCCCCACGCTGCATGCGACGGAGCGTCCGTTCTCTCCTCAGCCTGTCACATCCTGTGCGAAACGAACACAAGAGGGTGTAGGCTGCACCCAGGGAGGAGGAACAAAATTGACGTGTGTCACCAGTGGGGAGTGGAAGCGGGGTGTGCTAACGTTGGGAATTCTCAAACGGCGCACGATGAGACGCGGCACGATAAGACGCGACAAAATAAAACGAGCCGCGATCAAATGGGCACTTTTCAAATGAGACGAACTAAAATGGTGTGCTTAACTGCTCCACAACAAACGTAACAAAGCGAGGCGTCCTCCGGCGGAGTAAAAAATAAGGTCAGAAAGAACAGCGCTAGAGCTGCCTCGACAATTGAAATTGGCGGGGTATGCACACAGGGGTGACGCGACGCGGAAGTTAGGATGTCCGCGTCTGGGAAGCTGAGAGCACATGCGTAAGCATGTGTGTAGTCGTGTATGCATATGTACGCACGTACGTTTGCACATGGCCCCGAGCGTGTAGAACACAGGGAGTGAAGAATGAGGCGAATAATGGGGTGACGCGCAGATGAAGTAAAAAAAAAAGGGTTAGCGACGGCTTGAATAATGGCGCGCAGGGGACTCAAAAAATGCCACAAATTGAACGGGAAAATAAAATCTGTTGAGGGGAAATTTCTCACTAGAAATGCACAAACGCTTCCAGCACATGGGGCAAGTCGGTCTAGACGTGCGTCTGCCCAAACGCATCGACTGGGCGAACTTCCAACTCGAAGAGTGCCGTGCGCACATAGACGAAGCTGCACGCTCCTCACGCTGGGATTATTGTACGAGGTAGCCTATAAACGGTGAGCGGACACCTATGCCTTGTCGTTGTGGAGGACAAAACGGGCACACAATTGCAAAGGGACATGCGCGTATACTGCTCCCCCCCCACTGGCATACATGTAACAAATGCGCAAAGAAAAAAAAAGAAAAAAAGAAATAAATAGATAAATAAATAAAAAAAAATAAAATGAAATAGTAGGATAGGGAGCAGGGGACATTTGGTTATGCTCAGCATGCAGCCCCCCTTTTCGCGGTTACGCGTGCGTGAAGAGATTTAACCGGAAAAAAAAAAAAAAAAGCTGCAATGGTATTATATACAAGTCGTGACAAACCCGTTTGGTTATCTAGCCTTACCCTTCCACCACCCCAAAAGAAAAAATTAACCATTTATGAAGAAAAATACCACCAAGTGGTTAAAGAAAAAAAGAAAAATCTTGGATCTAAAATACATGAGCGGTGAGAAGAATCCAAACTGAGCAAAGCTCCTGCAGAGTTACCCAAGGAAATATGCTCCTATTGAGGCGAAACGGAAATTAAAAAGAAGCGGCAAGCAGCGTTGTATCGTATCCCTTGGCTTCTCTTCGCATTGCGTCGCGGCAGAGTGAAGGCGTAGGGAAGGTCTCATAACCCAAACGAACCATTCCTGTTTGTACCAGTTGATAAGAAGAGAAAATCGAAACTCTGACAGGAAAGCGAGTTGGAAGTGGACTCAACACTCCCTCCCCTTCCGCCTTTATTTGTAATTCCTTCCAAACCGATTATACAAATGCGCAAATTCAGGACAGTCATTTTGTTCCTCGTTATTTACCTTTCGTTTTATCTGACCCTTTCATACAATGGTACGTGTCCCCAGGGATGAGGAGGCCCCCCGAACGAGTTTCTACCCTCGTGGGTCATAGTCTGTCTCTCCAAACGTAGAGATCGTCTTTGTAAATTTCCCTGCGTGGAGGGGTTGCTGCAGGGAGGCAGATTCCATGTTGATACTTCTCCTTCCTACGCACCCCCTCCGATCAAGTTATCCTTATGAGTTACCTCCTTCGCCTCAATATGGACGTTTCCCTCGCTGAGACAAAACCGCTTCACTGTTTTTCCGTGGTTATGCGTATAAATTGTTCCCTTTTTTTTTTTACCCTCAACCACCTGTAGACAACTTGGACGATATCGTAATTGTGGACGAGTCGGAGGAAGGCCACCGTGGAGAGGAGGACCGAATGAAAAGTGCTGGAGGTATGGACACTGAGGGGGAGTTCCTCCCTACGAGGTGCGCATCGTCTATTCTGCTTTCCGTGCTAGACCCTTCCACGTGACCCCTACATTTTGCATACCATTCTCACCTACTGTACATGCCGCTTCTCCCCTTAGGCGCAAAGGCAGAGGCGGATACGCACCAGCTGATACACTCCTGGGCAGGTGAAAACGAAAACGTGTTTTACCTCAAAATAGGGATTTTCCTCTCCCTATTAATAATAACCATCGTGAACGGAGTGGTGGGGCGAAAGACCAACCGAATGATCGCCCTCTACTGGCTTAGGTCATGCAAAGATATCTTCCTTCAGAATTTTGCCAAATTGGGAAATGAAAAATCATTTTTATTTGAAAAGTCATATGACAAGTTTGAATTTTACTGCACAGGTAGGAAAAACTGTAACTATTATTTTGCTACTTTAAATTTATGCAAAAGGCAATGTCTGTGGAGATATTTCATTTTCAATCATTTTGTGAAAGAAAACGACAGCATGAATGTAGCTATTAACTTCAACAAGCTGGACAAGGGAGTTCTGTGTATATTTAAAAAGCATCAGAAGAAGTACATCGATTGTCGCTTCCCTAGTTTAAACAAATACACAAAATTGTTAAGCAAAAAAGAATTGAAAGGAAGTTATGACATCAAGGGGGATTCCAACGAAATGATGGATCTCGTCTTAAGTGGAAAAATTTTGAACTTTTTAAATACCTATGATAGGTACATAAACTACGTTTGCATCACCGATATTGCTTTGTTTGACTCGGAGGACAGGCTGAGTGAGGAGAAGGAGGAGGAGAAGAAGAAGGGGGAGAAGCACTCCAATGACCAGAAAGATCAACCTAGCAACAAAGGAGGAAAACACAAGTTCTGCTTCCTCAACTTTGTCATCCCGAAAAACGTGGAAGACCTACGGACGCTGGTAAATTTTTCAATCTATATGATAGACGCTTGTCACTGCATCGAGTTATCGGAAAAGGTCAGGGACCACGTGAGGAAGCTTCGAAGCATTGTGGAGAAGGAAGACTTGAGGAAAAAACAGCAACTGAAGGAATTGCAGGAACGGAGGAAAGCCCAGAAATTGCAAGAGGAGAAAGAGAGAGTGGAAAAGATGTCCGCCGAGCAGCAGAGGAAGTACGAGGATAAGAAGCAGAAGAAGAGTTTGAAGAAAATGAAAAAAATTAAAATTATAAAAATGTGATTTTTTTTCGTTCACCCTGGCTCATTCAACATAATTTGGTTCCGCGCAATCTGGTGTAGCTTAGTTTAATTTATCACTTTTTTGCCGTTTATTTGCTCATTTTTGCTCTTTTTTTTCACTGTGTTTCTCTTTTTTTTCCTTTTTTTCTGTCCCTGCTATCCCATTTGTTTGTTTTGTCCCCCTTTGCGTTTGCACTTGCTGGCAAAGGTATCTGCACCCGTCGCTCTCAGCTGCGCGTAGACATTTCGTTTTTCCTACCCACGCCGCAGCGAGGACGAGTGAACGTCTTTTCGCTCGCGCGTTCCTCACACCGTGATGCGTTTTATTATTTAAGTTTTTTCCTTTTCAATTTTGGTGGCCTCGGTTCGCAGCGTTGCGAAGAGGTGCACAAAAAAGTTAATTTCGCAACGGTGGGAGGAAATTGCAGTAGGCAATGGCGATGTAGGCAACACATACAACGCAGGAAACGCGAGGCCGAACCGAGTCTGATGCGGACGCCCCCTACACGTGACGCACTTTCCCCAGGGGGGATAACCCTCCCACCCGCAGCAGCGACATCTACGCACTAGAGACGCAAGATTGGTCAACGTACTTTATGATGTCGATAAAGGTCTCGTCCAGTGAACCCTTACCTATGAGGAATCCATCAACGGGTGTCTTCTCCACGTAGTACTGCAGGGAAGAAGCACGAGTGGGGTGGACAATCGGGGAGATCAGCATAAGTAGGATGGACAAGCGGGAAGGGCAAACGGGAAGGAAAACAGAAGTCGAGTGGACAGATGGGGAGAGCAACACAAGTGCGATGGACAGGCGGGAGGGGACCAACCTTCATGTTGTGCCTAGTCACCGATCCACCGTACACGATTTTCACTGCGTCCCTCGTTTGCGTGTCCACCTCTTCTGCTATGTTCCTCTTGATGTCTGCGCGGGGGGAGGAGCAACAAAGGAACGGTAATATAGAATGGGAACAAAAGAGAGGGCTCAAAGGGGGCACCAAAATGAAGTGTACACGTGGACAGTCCTATGAACGGGTGTGGAAAAAGAAAAAAAAAACATCCGTTTGAGACCCCCTCTTGAGAGCATTCTGCCTCCGTTCCCAATTGGCTCGCCTCCTCTATCCCTTTTTTTTCTTTTTCTTTTTGGTCTTCCCATCATTTTAACTCACCCCAGTAGCAGGTATTCAAAAAGTCAGCCGACCCGGGTTTGCCTGTGCCGACGGCGAAGCTGGGCTCCAGGGCTATGATAATGTTCTGCATGTCGTCCTTTGGAATTGCCTGCTTGATGAGCTTCACAAGGAGAAGTGGTGAAATGAAGGCGTAGAAGCAGATGAGGGAAGACCAACAAATGGGGCCAGCGTGCAAATGGGGGGGGCACAACTCAACAGGGGTAGGGGCGAGGAGAGATAACCCACGCGTGGTGGTCCACGCATATTGTGTTTTTCACCCCCCCTTCTTTGTCATGTACCGCATATTCCTTTTCCCGTTTCCCCTCCCCCTATGATGGCCTTACGGAAAGCAATTTTCTTGTCTTGGATGATGTGAATGGGCGATTCTCATTTTGATAATCATCCCCGACGCATAGGATAACTTTCAGTTTGGATTGCACAGCATTGTGCACCTTCTGCGCTGTCTCTTCCAGCGTCTCCCCATCGCTGCAGAAACCTCTGCGCCTCTCACTATGTCCAATTATGGTGTATTTATTCCCAAACTGCTTTATTAAGGTGGCTGTGGTTTCTCCGGTGAAGGCCCCGAAGCCGCTTGCCAAGCTGACATCTTGGGAGCATGCAAAGATCTTCGAATTATTCTCCTCAATTTTTTGCAGAAGATACGGTATGAACAATAAGTTAGGAGATAAAATAAGGTCGATATGACTAGAGTATTTTATTTTTGTAAACGTGTCGATTAGTGTGTATGCTTCTTCTTTTGTGAGGTAGCACTTCCAGTTGCCGATGATTATTTTCTTCCCCCTCGCTTGGCCACCCCGCGGGTTAGGCGGCAGACCACATAGCGAATTACTCTGCGAAGGAGTGCGAAAATTGCCCTGGGAATCAGTCACCGCTCTCTCTTTAGCGCCCACGTCGTTGTCAACAGGGGGACACATTTCCACCACCTTATTTGGGTATTCATATTGAGAGTCTAATTTGTTTATCCTGGACGCACTGGTTCTTTGGGTGCGTCTCTTCCTTCCTTTTAGGAGGGGCCTTGCGCGGAGGTAGAAGGAATGCACCTCCTTAGCTCTGAGGGGGTCCATGGATGAACCGTCCCAAAGACAGTCATTAAGGCACAAGCATTCTTTGCCTACCCAGTATATGCATAGCGCAAGCAGCAGCTGCTTTCTCATGTTAGGTTCCTTCGCGAAGGTGAAAGGAGGGAACAACAGCGGAATGGCGAATGAATGACAAACACAGACGGGGAAGGAAAAAACAACAGGAGAGAAACACATTGGAGGGAGGCTTCCTCATCTTGGCACTGAATCAGTCAATAGTGAGAGCTCCTTGCAAGGAGCATACAACATCTGCGTTATGTAGTAGTAGAAGTGTCCGTATCTGCATGGCCGAATGCCTGACGGGGGGCCCCATTCTCATTTTCTACCTTCGCATTTCAGTAAGCAATGAGGGAGATAGCCGACGTCATACAGCGTCGCAACGGATAAACCAAAAGAGGAACATCAAAATGGGAAGAAATGCACTAGGGGAATGCATCCCAAACGGATGAGAGGGAAAATAAGACTGCTGGACCCGCACCGACGTGGCAGCTAAAAGGTGGGAACGAAATTAAAAAAAAAAAAAATAAAAATAACGTGGCAGGAAATTGGGAAGTGGAACAGCAAGCAGCGAGGAAATTCCGTTTCTCCCCTTTCTTACACTCCATCATGGAGAACGTGAAATTGGTGCGTGAACACAAATATGAGCGTGAAGGGGATCATCCCTCGCCTGCTCTACAGGCATGTAAAAAGAGTGCCAAATTATTGGCAGCACTGCCCATATCTCGTCGTGCGAGCTCTATGTAGGATTAATTAAAAATAACTTGTCGGATTGTGAGTGGAAACATCATTGTTCTCAAAGCGCTTCCATATAGGCGCTGCCCCCATCCGGTTGAATCTCCTTTATGACTTCTTCCTCCCCAAGCACACCACAACGGGGAAGGTATATGCGGAACTTCGCATCCATGCTCACTTTGCCAGTTAGAGTAAAATAAAGGACAAAGAAGTTAAGAGTGACCAAGTGGTGGGGAATAGGACATCCCATTTGGACGATCATCACTAAATTAGTTCGTTCACCTTTGTTACATGTGTTTTCATAGCTGGTTCATTTGCTCGTTTGGCGAAATGGGCCCTTTGGTGGGATCATTGAAGGGAAGACCCAACTGGGGAAACAAGAACAAAGTGGGCCTGCCGTGACCTGGGACAGCTTAGTAGAACCCCCTCTCGTCAGGGGATGCCAAAGGCACACACACAGGGGATGCCCGCGATAGTATCCATTCTTTTCTCTACGCAACACCCAAAGGGGGAGAAAAAAAAGACGATACAGTGACTTCCCTCCCAATTGTAGACCCCTCAGCATAACGAATCATAATGTACCATTGGAAGTGGGTCCTCCTCACAGTTGTCACAGTTTGGAAAAGCTTCCCTTTCAAATATGAACACTACGTGTGGTGAGGAGGAGAAGGGCGAAGAAGTACCCTTCAATTGGGGGATCATACAGACCCGTTCGCTTAAAAAGAGAAAAATCGTAACCGGTGAAGTGGCCAAATTACGAATGTTAAAAAAATCACCTGAGGGCCAAATCTTCGAATGTGTGCATAAGGGGAACAAAAAAAAAAATAAAAAAAAAAAAAATAAATAATAATAATAGATGAAAAGGACGCCACATTTGCCTGTTATGCGTCCCTTCTACATTTTTCTTTCCATTCTGAGGTGAACATTCTTTCCCGCACAGACGTTGGCAGTCACATTTCTTCAAAATGGCCAATTTTTTAATTTCGACGAGGGGTCCCTTCGGATGGGCCGCCACGTTCTCGTTGTATACGCAGGGCCACTCCTTGGTGTGTTGTATAGACACTTCGTAGGGCATGTCTTAAGGGGAAAAAAAAGGGTAACCTTTTACAGGGTGGCCCCCGGGAAATGTTCACCCAAAGTTAACCAGCAGGGTGAAGAGTCATCAATGCGAGAGCATCCTCATGGACCCATTTTTTCAAAAGTCTTTCTTCTCTCAGTCTGCTCAGGGTGAGATGTCTTCAGGGAAATTTTTTTTTTCTTTTTTTTTGCCAAACGCGGGGGTACCCCCCCCAAGGAGTATACCCCACGGAATGGCGTTGAATGGGGGGACACCAAAATGAGATGATAAACCAACTGAATTGAGCAGATTCGCAAGAAACATAGAAACTGCGCGTTGGTGGTAGGGTGACGCAAAAAAGAAAAAAAATAAGGGGCAGCCAAGTATAGCTCATTTTTTTTTTTTTTTTTTTTGTAACGGATCCCCTTAATGGTACTCCTCTCCTCAAAGCGGGAAAACTGGGCCCACCAAGAAATTTACCGCGTTGTGCTACAAAAAACAGGGAACACTTCCAAGTGTGAAAAGAAGCCCTAAGAATATATTTTCCCCTTCCTTTTGTATCCTTTTTTTTTGACGTTCCTTTTCGTTTGGAAGGATTACATTCTTCTCTCATTTTGGGGGTGGCACCCCTCGCAGGAAGTGCCCGTGTTTATCTGCAATTTCGCCAAACGGGATTGTTCACGTGGGTTGCAGGGGTCTGATGTTCTTTCGGGGAAGCTTCCAAACAGTAGTTCTTCTCTTGTTAAGGGAGGGGAACGCCTACGAGGTTGGTTCCCCTTTGGATACTTCCTCCAAGGTTGTTACTCCTCCTGTACCCCCCCAAGAGAGGCACGTCAACGCCGACTTCACGGAAAGAAAGGGCTATTATAAACCCGCTTGATGAGAGGAACAACCTCCCCAGACCTGTGGCGCCACGCTGTGAAGTGGCTACCGCTGTTGTAGGGAAAGGAAGCTCCATAAAAGCGGGACCCTCAAATTGGGGCACTCCACAAAAAGGAAGTGATGCTGTGACGCTGTGACTCGGTGACTGTGTTCCTCCCCTCCTCCCCTGCTCTGTCTCCCCCGATGCATCACTACAACCGCACCAAAATTGTGATTCGCGTGTTGGGGGCTGGGCAGACGGTGGGTCGGTCGTGCGTAATCGTGGAGCTGGAGAACCGGCGAGTGATGTTTGACTGCGGTTCACACCTCGGGTACAAAGACGAGAGGAAGTATCCCAATTTTAACATACTGGTGGGAAATGACACGGACGCAGTGGATAGAGAAAAGGGCATGGGGGAAGGAAACGTGTATGAGCACCCTCTCAACACAGAGGTGAACATAACCGTAGTGAACAGCAGCATCTCGGAAAAGGAAAAGTTAATAGAAAACTTGAAAAGAATAAATGAAATAATTGACTGTGTAATTATAAGCCATTTTCATATGGATCACATAGGAGCATTGCCCTTCTTCACCGAGATATTAAAATATAGGGGCACCATAATTATGAGTTATCCGACAAAGGCACTCAGTCCAGTATTATTGCTGGATGGATGTCGAGTAGCAGACTTAAAATGGGAAAGACAAAACTTCGAGAGACAAATGAAATTGTTAAACGAAAAATCCGATGAGCTGCTAAATTACAACGTTAGGAGCTTGAAGAAGGACCCATGGAACATCAGTGAAGAGGATATTTACTCCTGCATAGGGAAAGTCGTCGGGTTGCAAATAAATGAGACATTCGAAATGGGGAATATGTCTATTACTCCATACTATGCAGGCCATGTGCTAGGTGCGTGTATATTCAAGATAGAGGTAAACAACTTTAGCGTTATTTATACAGGGGATTATAACACCGTTCCGGATAAGCATCTTGGGAGCACCAAAATTCCGTCTCTCAATCCGGAGGTCTTCATTTCGGAATCTACGTATGCTACCTATGTGAGACCAACGAGAAAGGCCTCCGAATTGGACCTCTGCAATTTAGTACATGAGTGTGTACACAAAGGAGGGAAGGTGCTCATCCCCGTGTTTGCCATCGGAAGAGCACAAGAATTGTCCATCCTGCTGGACTCCTATTGGACAAAAATGAAAATCAGTTACCCCATTTATTTTGGATATGGATTAACAGAAAATGCCAATAAGTATTATCGGATTTATTCTTCATGGGTGAATAGTAGTTGTGTTTCCACCGATAATAAGAACCTCTTTGACTTTGCGAATATCTCCCCGTTTGTGAACACCTACTTGGGTGAGAATAGGCCGATGGTTTTGTTTGCCACTCCCGGGATGCTCCACACAGGATTATCTCTAAAGGCTTTTAAAGCATGGTCTGGGTCAAGCAGAAATTTAATAGTCCTTCCAGGCTACTGTGTTCAAGGTACAGTGGGTCACAAGTTAATTATGGGAGAAAGGAAAATATCGCTTGATGGGAATACCTATATGAATGTTGCCTGCAAGATTATTTACCTTTCCTTTTCTGCGCACGCTGATTCGAATGGAATTCAGCAACTCATAAGACACGTGCTGCCACAGAATGTTCTCTTCGTTCATGGAGAGAAAAGTGGCATGGAAAAATTGTCTAAGCATATATCTTCTCACTATTTAATTAACTCCTTGTGTCCTTCCTTGGGTCAGCATTGTGAGTTCAACTTTTCGAAGGCTAATATGAAGCATGTCTATGTGCAAGATGCTCTCTATGCCGATATTCTTCGTAACTTAAGTGAGCAGAAGGAGAAAAGATCCATACTATCCACCAACAAGGCAAGCGGTCTCTACCGGAGTGACGCCACTAAATTGGCATCGCGGGATGACACCTACTCCGTGTCCTTCTCAGCCTATGCTGTGTGCTACACCATTCGTGAGAAGCCATACCTTTTGTTCCTCCCCAGACGGGAGCTCCTGCGCGTGGTGCGGGCCAGGTGTTTCCCCGTCACTCTTCGGCGGGGGGACAGGTGCTTCAGCTCGGACAGGCTCTTCGGTCTGGGCAGTGCACAGAAGGGAGGCGAACAAAATGGAGACACTGAAGCTGGGGGCAATGTGTCCATCGGGGCTGTCGGCTCTCCGGGCGAAGGCCTGGACCCTGGGGACACCCCCACCAATGAGCACGAGGAGGGAATACCCTCCGTTGGGACTCTCACTCAGCGAGGCAAGCGGAAGTATGGCGAGATGGCAAAAATGTGGGGTGCGGAAGGAGAAGAGGCAGAAGGGGCAGAACTAGCGGAACAGGCGGAAGACGCAGAAGACTGTAGTTCTCCCCAAGGAAGTCCCCCCAACCGTGTAAGTAAAAAGCTCGCACAGATTCCCAACGAGTGGGTGGACCCAGCGAGGGGAAGTCCATGCAGAGTAGAGGTAGAAGGACAAGGATTTTCAGAAATCGGAGAAGGTCTTTTTCAGCACGACGGGGAGGAAGAACAGCAGGGGGGACGGCCTCTTAACCTCGCAGAAGGTGCATCCATTGCCGCTGCCACCACGTGCGAAGACGCGCTTAAGAAGGGCAACCAAAGCACCCCCAGAGGAACGCGCAACTACGTCAGCGATGAAGACCAAGTAACCATGCCACTAATCAACCTGCGCTTTACGGAAAGCATCACCATAAGCTACCACCGATTTTACAATTTTGTAATTTCCTTTTTCAAAGAAATTGTGGACACGAAGAATAGGAACAACATCCGTTTTTTGGGCGAAGGGGTAATTATAAAGAATGTGAAGGAGGGTGATGGGTATGTTTTCCTCCTGTCGTTTCTGTCTCTACGGGCCATTCACGATGGAGAGAGTAACCTGCTCGTCCAGTGGTCCTACGTGGACGACGCGCCCGAGTCAGCCATCCAGAAGTTCATAAACGCGATTAGGGAGTACGCCGCGGGGGAGGAAGTAGAACCCTCGTAACTGGAAGGGCAAAGAAATAATGTTTATGGAAGAAAGGGGTAAAGCATTTTGCCTCTATTATCCCACCGGTTGGCTTTAAACAGGGGGAAGGAAGAAGAAGGGAGAAGTCGATATTCTTTTCCCATCCTAATGATACTCCACCAGCCCGCTCATTATTCCATTTGCATGTTTGTCCGCTTTGCGCCTCCGTTGGGTTGGTCCCCATTGGTGAGGTGCCCCCATTTGAGATGCCCATTTGGCTTCTATCTGTTTGTGTTTGTGTTCCGTTTGCGCTTCCTTTGCGTCTTGCTCAACACTGCGAAACCGATCGCGCGTTAAGGCGTCGTTAATAATGAATTTGGTACACTTTGGGTGGGGGGAAGCCGGTTGGGAGAAGCCCATGGAAAGGCAGCACCCCCCAAATGAGAGAAACAAAAAAAAAAAAATGGAAATGGACATACAAGAGTGCATGCGCCTGTGGGCATATGGCCATCTGGTCATATGTACGTGCTTCCACGCTGGAACACTAGGGGGAGGGCTTCAAGATGGAGAGCGTGGCTAGGGCCCTAATGATCGGCAACTGCTCCGGCGTCCGCTCCTCCTGCAAAAAGGCGCAGAGCTGCTTGCTGATGGAAGAGCAAAGGGCTTCCAGTTTCGTGCAGATAGACAGCAACTGAATGAGATAGGTTTCTTCTATATGATCCTGCAGGTAGGAGTGGGGCTCCTGTTCTCCTACTCCGTCCACTTTTACATTCAAATTCTGTGCGTCCCCCGTGGTTTGAACTTCCCTCCTCATACTTTTCAAGGTCACCCGATGCAGCTTCCTACAATCCAATGAGAGCGAAACGAATTTGATAACTGACAGTGCGCATATTAAAGCGGACTCGAAAAAATCGGACAAGTGAGCAGCTTTTATTTCTTTGGAGAGAACAAACTCAGGGGGGTCTTCCTTCAGAAACTTCAGCATTTCAATCCACTGCAACAGGCTTGTCTCTATTTTTAAATTCAGCACTGTTTTGAAATTATCGACAAAATTGTACTTTTGGTTGAGCAGCTGTATTTTGGCAAATTTTCGCCTCAGGAATTGCTTCGCGTTTCGGTCCCCCGGCGTGTAGTTGAGCAGTTCGGCGGGGGGCGAAACTCCTTCTACTGAGAAGTCTTTGTCAGGGGGGTCTTTGTCAGGGGCGTGTTTATCAGGGGCGTGTTTATCAGGGGCGTTTTTATCAGGGGCGTTTTTATCAGAGGCGTCTGAACACCCTTCATCGGCACCTGCAGCTTTCCCCAATGCCGCCTTTCCCAATGCCGCTTTCCCCAATGGCTCCTCCCCCTCGTCGCTGCTCGAAACAAAATTGGCGTAGTTCTCATTGGACAGACCCTCCCCCGGGTCGAACGAGCCGCTTCTCTTATATTCCAGGGAGGGGAACTCCTTTTGGAGGGGGGTGCCGTGCCCGTCTTCCAGCAGCTCTTCCCTTTGTCCTTCATCACAAGTTGGCTCTCCGTTTGGTCCGATCGCAGAATGGTCCTTCCTATTTTCGCGGTTTGATAAGTTTTGCGTGCTGATAACCCTACCTTGCTGGGAAGGGCCCTCTTTTGGTTTTTCTCCTTTACGCACGTCCGCATCGCTGGAGGAATTCCCATTTGAGGGGGCACAATCACCTCTCTTAATCGCATGAATCGCCTGATGCCTCCAATCGCCGCGGCTGCAAATGTGAGGCTCTCTTTTGGCATCCCCATTTATTGAATCATTCCCCCGGTGGTTATATTCCGCCTCGACGCTGCCACTAACACTAAGGCTGTTGAAAAAGGCGCCGTCGTAAGAATAGTTGAAGGTCCCAGAGAGAGTGCTCAATATCGAGTCGGTCAAGACGGAGGTGATACTTTTTTGCATAGCATCATCCCTACTGGGATCCTTTTGTCTTTTATTTTTGTCTTTTTTCCTCTCACGTGTTTCTATTCTTTCTATGTTTTCTCTTCTTTCTCTTCTCCTCCGCGTGTGTACATAATTTCTTAAGTCCCCAAAGAGCACATGCTCTGCCCTCGACTTGGTGCTTCTCACTTCATACTCACTTATCATTTTTTCAATGTCGTCGTTAATTGCGATGTTCGAATTCCATATGTTTGTCCCCAAATAACTTCTGCTGCTGAGGAGGATAATATAAGCTCTGTACACACTGTTGATGTTGTTTAGGTTCATCTTCAGATTTGTAAAGAATATCTGTTGCAATCTGTCACTCTCGTTCTTTACGTTGAGCAAGCTGCTATTGTCTTCATCGTTTGAGTCTAAGTCAGCTCCGTACAAGTAGCTATTCAATTCGGTGAAGAGATTCCTCTTGAGAGACACCTTCGTGTCGGTGCATATAATAAGGGGGATGCAAATCTCCACAAGAAGTTTGTAGTAATGCGGGTTGATCTTTTCTTTCTTCATCTCAGAAGAACTGTACGCTTGGCTCATATGGCTCTCTTCATCCGATTTGTTGGCGGCACTGTTGACGGCACTGTTAACTGAGTTTCTTTTGTTCTTCTTCCCCTCCTTGCGCCGCTCCCCAGTGGTGTCCCTGCTATGAGGGGTCACCTTCGGTGAATGCGCATTCTCCACATCGTTAATGTGCCCACCCGTAGGCCCACCTGGAGGCACGCCGCTTAACATACCGATGTTTATTTCTCCCTTTGAGCCGCTTTTCTCCTCCAAAGCGAACCCCTTAGCGAAGTAGTTGTAGTCGGCCCCCTCCGCTGTCACCTTTTCCCATTCATCTCCACTCGCACGTTTGAAGTACTCCCTCTGTATGTTGATTCGACTGACTGTGTCCACTTCGGACCTGTTGGGGAGGAACAGCTTTCGGTCAAAATATAACAACGTGTCATTCACGTGGTGAGAGAACTTCCACCTGAGGAGCTCCTTCAAAGTTGTCCACACGTTGGCCGAGACGTTTTTCCTTTTGTCCACCAGGTGAATCATCAGGTAGGTGGCGATTTCGTACAAGTGCTTCTTCGGCAGATTGGCTGTTTGTGTGTTTGACCAGGAGGACTGTTCTTTAGGAGTCCTTTCTCCCTGAGTTGGTGCTCCAGACTCGCCTCTCATGTGTAGCCTCTCCCAACGGAGGGTCTTAAAAATCTCGCGCAGAATCCCACACATGAGTATCTTCTCCGTCCCCTCACTACTATTCAAGTAAGGAAGAACAACTGAGGGGGTGGTTAAAATTTTGACGTAGGAACCACAGAGCGGAGACGGCCACTGCGCACGAGCATACTTGCATGCCTCCTTGAAAGCCTTCAACGTGACCTTAACTAGGTTTCGGTCACTATTGTCTAGGTTTACAAAAAGAGAGTTAAGTATGTTTATGGTGTATTCCTCTTTGATTAGCAGAGGGATGGGTTGTTCAGAACCCATTTCGAATTGATACTTCTTGATAGCTTTAAAAAGGATGAACAGGTTCGTGAAACACAGATGTAGGTACTTTGTCACCACGTCGTTTTTGTGTGCACAGTTCACATGGTAAAGGACGTTAATTATGGGGTCTACTAATTTCAAGTTTTCTGGTTCTATGCGCATGCAGAGGAGCAGCTGCGAAAGAGCGACTAGAGAGATAATGACGTAATTTAGGTTTTTGCTTTTGAGGAAGATCTCCAAGAAGTTGAACACCTTCCGGCAGTAGCCACGTTCGAAGGGGGGGTAGGTCATGCTGCGCTTCTCGTTGGTGGCTGCTCTCACGCCGCTCTCCCCGAGACTGCTCAAAAAAATGTGCATCAAATGGATTAGCCCGTTCTCGAACGAGTGCTTGTAGTATAGGAGCTTCTCCACCTTCCCTTCCTCGATGCGCTTAAGGATCCTCTTCCTCCTATTTAGCTTTAGCAGCTCCTTTATAATGCTCAAACAGTTCACGGTGTTATTCACGCTTATGATGCAGGTGTAGTTTTGGTAAATTTTTCTGTTGAACTCTCTTTTGGAGACCTTCTTCACGTCCCTACTGCGAAGTATGCTGTTCCTTCTAACAAAAAATGGGGACCCGTTGATCATGTTTTGAAAGGTGTCATCGTTGTCTACGCGTGGGGGGGTGGCGTCCTGCCTATTTCCTTCGTGGGGCAGTGTGCTGTGGATGGGCGCCCCTTTCTCGTCGCTTTTTCCCGGAACTTCCCTCCTTTCCTGGAATATCCCAGAAACTGGCACATTTGGATCCTCTCTCTGGTGAGTTTGATGTAAGTGCTCCGTCAGTTCCGGGGCACTGACCCCCGTTGCCTCTTCTGTCTTGTCCGCTTGGCCCCGATCGGTGAGGTGGCACCCCCGTTGCGCTTCCCCTTCCAGAAGCTGCTTCCTATCGAGTAATCGACCTGCGGCAAATGCCTTATCTGCCCTGCCCGAGCTCGCATGAGGAGAGCTCACCACAACCCCACTCATATGACCCAGCTGCTTCACTCCAAGGACATAAAACATAATTATAAATAACTCGATAAAGTACCTCCTTGTGTAGTCCCTTATGTAGCCATTTCGAAACTTGAGGAAGTGGAATACCAACGAAAGGATGTTGCTCAAATTTTTCGTCAGCTTAAGTGTGTCTAGGTTGTTCATTAAATAGAACAAGTAATCCATCGTTTTATGTAGCAACGTCTCGTTGTTGCAAATCATATAGATAAAGTAGACGTGCTCGTAACTGTACTTGGACTTGAGTGTGCACAGTTTGTTCACCACTACGTAGGGGTGTGTTTTGCACAGAAGTAGGATTATGCGTAGGGTCCTCTCCAGGATGTTTGGGTTATTAATTCGGTTATCAGTTCGGTTATCAGTTCGTTCGTTTCTTCGGTCATGAAGATGATCGTTGCTTCTGTCCTTACTTGGGCCCTTAAGCCTCTGCTGCGCCTTGGACATATTACGGTATGCCTCTAACGTGTTGTTCGGCTCGTCCATGCCCCGGGGGGTCGGCGTCTTGCTGAAAGATCCACTTGGGAGGCTTTGCCCTAGCCCGTTCAAAACATTCACCTTTGTGTAGTAGTGCACCTCATTAAGCACCCTATTCATTATTATATCAATATCCTGATGGCTGATTCGTTCGGTCCATGTGTGGTACATGAGAAGGTTGAGTCCACTAATCGCCACCTGCCTGTTCTTGTTATGAATACAACTAATGAGGCAGTTGATATAGGATTTCTTCTCCTCACTGGAAATCATCTCCCTAATCACATCACTTATAACTTTGTACAGGTTTATTTCTTTCCTTGTCTTGGTCATAAGATGGCCCAATTTTTTAATAAAACGGGTCTCGTAACTTCCCGAGTTGATTTCCCTTATCCTCATTCCCACCTTGACGTGAAACTTGTTGTGCAATTCTACAGTGCGGATGTTCCTCCTGATATTTCTGTAACTCAGACATGGGGTGACTGGGGGGCCACGCCGACGATGAGGTTCGCGGGGATGATGTTCGTCGGGATGATATTCTAGCGCATGGCGACCATTTAGATCCTGCTTCTTAACTTTTGACCCTTCGCAGGTCATTTCTCCTACTTCATCTTCCCCACCGCTGCCGCCTCCAACACTGCCGCATGTCTTGTCGTTTATTCCCTCTCCTTCATCTTTGAACGTTTCTTCGATCGGGTGCTCATCGCAATTTGCAGCGCATCTGTTCCGTTGGTTGGTGGGGTCCTCTTCCCGGATGTTCCTAATTTCCCCAAGAAGTTGCCCCTCCCCGGTGTTGCTTTTGCATCCATAAGTTTGCCCCCCCCCGTTGGCCCTTTCCCTTTGCACCCCTCTGTTCGCCTTTCTGCCTCTCTGGCGATTCGTCATGGGGCTGGACAGAACATCCAAAATAACTTCTATTGGATTGAAAAAAAAGTAAACGAAGTGCGAGTTCGACAGCATTCTGCCCCTTTGCACCTTGGCGAGCAGCGCGCAGACGGAGCACACGGTCAAGTAGCTAATGATTCTTTCGGGGTCTTTAACGTAAGGGATGAGCATCCCTATGCACTCGCACACGTAATTGCGTTCGCACTTCGATTCATTCTTCGCTTCGTTCTTCGCTTCGTTCTTCGCATTGTTCCTCCCTTCGTTCTTCTCTTCGTTCTTCGCTTCGTTCCGTGCCTCACTGTTTTTTCCTTGGAGGGATTCCTCTTCATCCATTCGTGGGACATGGTCGACCCCTCCCCCTGACAGACTTCTCCCTCGCGTCTTTCCTTTTGGTGGATCCAGACAGGGAGGACTGTCCCCATGAGAGGGGTCACACATGATGCTGAATTCGTCCCCCTTGTCGCTACCCGTGTTGTCGTTTAAGTTTCCTTCCTCACCGCGTTCGTCACGTAGAGTTGTCCCTGCCCTGTGCAGGTGATTTCCCCCTACTCCTCCATTTGTTGTCTCTTTTATCGCGTTACTCTCTGCGTTGCTGGCCCTGTCAAGGTAGTGTTCGTTTGAGTGTTTCCGTACATCTGCCCATCCCCGTCCGGTACTTCTCCCTCCATCTCCACTTTTTTCGCTGTTTTTACCGCTCCCGTAGTTTCCCTCATTTCGATTTGGCGTCCCCCCGCGCTCATCATTCGCATCGAAAAAATTTCCATAAGATATGTTCCCACTGGAGGAAAGAATCAAATTGAAATACTTCTCAAAGTTTGAGGAGTTACATGGTAAGAGATTCTTCCCATCGTGGTCGTTTCCATTTTTTCTGCCTCCTGCATGGGTTTCTTCAACCTCATTTCCATTTTCTTTGGACTTGTCCCCTTTTATTGCATCTTCATGGTGGTGCCTTTTTTCACTTGACCTACATACTTTCAGGTGTCCCGTTTGAGCAGCCTCCGCGCGAGGAGCTCCATAGAGAGGCACTAACCTACTCTTTCCGTTGTGGCTCCTCACCCTGGCAGCATTAATAACTATCTCAGATAAGATCCGGAACGATAGGAACTTAACTTCTGCTATGTCTGTCGCCACGCAGGTGTCGTGTAGGTACTTCATTAGCTTAAACTGCAGGGGGAAGCAATCCAAATGTAGGGCCGCTTTGACGATGATGGACGTGATGAGGTTCAGACAGGACAAGGCAGCGCCTTGGTACTTCCTTAGGTTGCAGAACGTTTTGTTGTTCGTGTGAAGCATTTTGCTTTCCCGTTGGTTCGCTCTGGGGGGAACATTTGTGTGCCCTTTATTGTGTCCCTTTTCGGTCTTCTTTGCGTTTTTTCTTTTCTTTTTTTCCTTCGTCAACCCGGTGAAAAGTTCATCCGGTATGATGCTGTTACAAGGCGCGTCTTCATCCGCGCCACTTTGACTCTTTCCCCCTCCGTCCCATTTGGCCCTTCCATCTTTTGTCCCATGATGAACAGACTGTGAAGAAGTGGCACCACCATGATGCTCCATCTGTTCCTCACCATTTGGCATCCCTCCGATGCGCTTGTTGGCCCGCTTTGTCCCATTCCTATTGTTCGTCCCTTCTTGACGTTTTTTCTCTTTCTCCAACTTCCCCTTGGGTATGGTTTCTTTTCTCTTTGAAATGTTGGCACTATTCTTTTTTTGCTTTTCCTTGGGATGGTCACTCCGCATATGAGATGTGTTCAACTTGACAGATGAGTCTTTCACGGCCACGTCTTCATTTCTCGCCAATTCATCTGCATTGTGCGAAGCCACATCTGCATTTTGCCCTGCCGTATGTGCATTCTGCCCTGCCACTTCTATACCCTCGTGCCACTTGCGATAAATCTGCTTCCTCTCATTTAACACAACTTTCAAGAGCAAGTTTGTTAAGACATGTACGATGATAAATGCTGACTGGAACTGCATGGGTTCTTGGACAAAAAGGCAGTAATGTATGCTCTTCAGTGCATTCTTCAAATTTGTGTAGGTATCACTGTGTATGTCTAGATGAGGCTCACTCGGGGTTGAGTACCCCGGTGGGTACCCCAGGGTTGAGTACGCCGGGGTTGTCTCCCCCTGTCTGGAGTCCTTCCTTGTGCCCCTTTCCTTCACCAGGTCGGAAAAATAGTCATTATAAATTACCCTATCTGATGTTTTGTGACTTTTTCTGTCCTTCCAGTCCATCATTTTCCCCCACTTGTCAATTTCGTCAATGATGTGCTGTTCTTTCTCCAGATGCATCTCCTCCGAGTTGTACTTGTTCGTCTCTTCATTTGATTCGTTTGTTTTTAAATCCTCCCTAAGTTGCTGCTCGCTTTGATTCATAATTATACTCTCCGCTTGTTTAAAGTAGAGGGCAAACTTTTCCACCCCGGTAAAGGTTATATTGCTGATGGGCAGCTTCTGGTCGTCAAAGTTGTCTAGGTAATATAAAGCCCAGTGCATAATTATGTATTTGTATATATAGAGGCAGGAGTAAAATGGGACGTCATTCAGATTTTCTCTCAAGTAGTGGTTACACACATCTTCGATGGAGCACCATTCGGTTGGCATGTCTACCGTGTTGGTGACTGCGTATGGGGGGAGACTTGCAGCAATTACGTCGCCTCCATTAGCGGAGGGATCCCACTTCATCCTATTCCTCTGTGTTGCCTCCCCACCAGGTACCCTAATGCACTTTAGCTTTTTCGATACCATTTTCACCGCTCTGAGCAAGCTCGCCTGTAGAGTCGTTTCCTTTTCCTCGTAGAGGGAGCAGATAATTGGGTCGACTAGAAGCTGGAATACGAGTAGGTTGATTTTTTCATTGGGAAGGCGCTTCCACAGGTCTGCTGCGTCCCTCGCCGGGTGCGCCCTGTCGCGGTTAGCGGTGGTGTTAGCGGTGGCGTCGGTGTTGGAGGTCCCGCTGCCCTTGGCGGTAGGTGTCCCCCCCAGCGTCGCCACGTTACCACACATGGTGGGAGATAATCCATACGGGGAAGACGACCCGCTTTCCTTCTTTTCGAACTCGGAGAGGAGGTCCCTCCTAATGAGCGCGTTCATTTTTATCTCTTCCTTGTATCGTAGATCCACGTACCTCTGCTTGTTGGAAAGAACCTCCCTGACAATATGTTCCTCATTCAAGACGGAGTCGTCCTTCCCGTATATTGCATTGCCCAAAGAGGTGGTATATCTAACTAGAGGAACATACACATGTTTAATATAAATGATAAATATTTTTTCGTTCAGGTAGACGTCTCGAATTATGGATAGGTCTCGAACCTTTGAGGAGGGAACCTTCCTCAGACACTTTCCCATTGTTAATACCAACGTGCTTCTTATATTCTCTGCATTTATCACATTGCTTGATTTTCCAAAGATTGAAAAGGCGCTAGTTTTTCTATTTGCTACATCTGAGTGGTATATATTGTTTAGTAGGAAGAGGACGAGGAAGAGGTTGTCTTTGTGCAGTATGCTCTGTATGTAGTAGGCAGTGACATCCTGCTGGAAGGGTTTGCTTATGGGGAAGCTGATGTCGTTTTGGAGGAGGTAAGATCCTAGTTTATCTTCCAGTAGCTGGTAGGATTTTTTCACCACTTCGTTACTTTGATAGAGACGTTTTTTTAAATCATCTTGGTGATTCACTTGTAGCGTAGTTGACTGTACTCCGCTATTTTGTACCCCATCGTGGGGTTTTTCTCCTCTGGATGGGTTCCTCTTTAGATCAATTTCCCCCCTTTCCGCTTTCCCATGGTGGTCTCTCCCCTCGGAGCACACTCCAAACTGTAGCAGTCTTGCTCTGTAAACAGCCTGGTATTCATTGAGGTAGTGCAAAAAACGGCCCACGTTTTTCTCCCTAGACATATCAGTACTGTACTTATTCGATAACAACATGAAGTTGTTTAAATCTAGTTGGTTCTCAGTGCTGCTCCTCTCGTAGGACAAAGAGTCCGCTCTCATTAGCTGAATGCACTCAATGCAATTCTTCATATATACAGTGGTACATTTCTCTCTGTATAAATTAAAAAAGTGGCTTCTATATATAGTAGAAAAATTCATATAGAGCGTTAGGAACAAGTTTTCCTCCTCGTTCACAGCTACTTCTTCGTTGAGCTTAAAAAAAATGGTAATCATTTTGTTTGCATATTTGTCACTGAACTGTCTGATGATTACGCACAGTAGGTTGACGACACTTAGGTACATAAGTGTGTTCTCAAATTCGGGATTGCCTTTGACGAGCCGAATCAACTCCACGAGTGCGTAAAAGAAGGTGACCACGTAACTTTGGTAGTTGTATATCCTGTCTATTTCCACTTTGACGTAGCTTCGAAAGAAGGTCTGCATTAGTCGTAGGATTCGAGTGAAGTGGCAGCTCATTGACTCCAGGGCGGCGTGGAATGTGGTCGCCTCGCCGTCTCCGTCGGCGTTCGTGCCCATTAGCCCCCCCATGTCCAGGCTGAACGGGACGCTCATGTTTACGGGGATCACGTTGGCGTATGTCACGTTGGCGGATGTAACATTGGCAGATCTAACAGTGGCGGCCATCCCGTCTGGGCTCGCGGCAAGTGCCCCCAAATCCACGTTAAAGTAGTGTCTGGCAATGGCGCGGACTTTCCGCCGCCAACTCTTGCGGCGACCGCCGCAGTTGACATTCAAACAAACGTTCAGCACTCTCTTGCTAATCCGTTTCGCTATCTCCCTGTAGGTCATTTTAATTATAGAGCGGTAGTATCTCGCCCGCGTCGCCGCTGCAACTTGTCTTATAGACCTTTTCTTCCCCCCTCTGGTAAGTGCAATTATACGTTTGAGAATTTTCTTACTGCATAGACTATCCCCAGTGAGAGGAGCGGTCCCCCCCTTGCGATCCACAAACTGATCCACAGCCTCATTCGCAGCCTCATTCACAGCCCCATTCACACCCTCATTGCTTAGTCTGACAGAACTGAGAAGCAACTCAAAGTAGGCGAAGCTCTGCACAGAGGTGATGCTCTTCCCTTGAGTGAAGCTCCTCAAGATAGAAATGAGTTGCAGACTGAGGAAGGAAACAACAAAGTCGGAGTGGGTGCAGTACATAAACAGAACCGAAATGATATTGCTCATATTTGGCAACACTAAGTAATTATAATGTAATCTGGAGTGAAGTCTCAAATGTTTCTTCACCATGTGATTGTGTAGAAGTATACACATAATGTTGAGTGTCTTCAAAATGGATACTACGATTCTGAGGCTCCTTTTTACATCCACCAATAATTCGAACAAGAGAGGGTACAGCACTCTAGGAGAGTAAAAACAGAAATGCTTCTCCAACGCTAGCGAGATTAGGTTCTTTATGTAAGGAACTGAAGGGTACATGAATATGAAAAAGTTCCAGTGTATATCAAAAAACATCCTGTTGTGATTAAATCCGTTTTTTAAAACCTCATTGGAGCTTCTGTTTATGTCTATGATGGTGCCATTGTCGTCAACCGAATATCCATATTTTTTATTTTGCTTTTTAAATTTTGATTCTTCACTCAGCAGGATGTTAATTAGGAAGTGCATTATTTTGATTACGTGTCTGTTTGGAATGAGTAACCACGTTTTAATTTCCTGGTCGTGGTGCCCCATGGTGTTTATGCGCTCGTCTGGTTGGTCGCCCTTGGCGGGAAGCGAGGAAGCCTCCCCAAGTGGAGAGACGCTTCCCTCATTCACACATTTTCCACTTCTTCTACTTCTCCCGTTTTTTCCACTTCTCCTCCCCCTACCACCGGGTCCCTCGCACACCATGTACAAGTCGCAGAGGGGGCTGCTAACCCGAGGGAGTAGCCCCAGAATGACACTCGGGTTGAATGAGAAGGAATCAAAATGATGGTGATACGACAAAATTAGGTCAATCTCTAGAAGCATATAAATGATACTCAAATCGTTGCTAAACCTATCGGATAAATTTGCCACCATTTGTATGACCAATTCGACGTTACTGGTGTTAGTCCTATTCGTGTCAGTGATGAAGCTATTTAATCGTTTGAAGCACTTCTTGTAAGAACCCCGTTTTGTCCTAATGTTCTGATTTGAAAGGTGGACTATATTACCACTGCCTATATCCCCTGATATGAGCAAAAGGTACTGTCTCAATAGAGTCAGTGAAACGATGACTTCTACCTTTATGTTTGACTTCATTTTCTCCCTGATCAAATTAAAAACAAAATTATTTGTATAGGCACAAGTTATGAAGATATTGAATATCTCCATCGTTTCAATAAAAGTGGAAACATACACATTGGAAGTTATGTAGTCTACTACCCCCTTGGCGTTATTCATAGTGTAGTTTTGATTAATCATGATAAATAGAATGGCATAGGCCACCTTCAGAATGTGGTTAGCGAAACCGACGATGAGATGTATCTTCGGCAGACATCCCTGAAGAACGATTCGGAAGCTATTAATTATATTGTACTGTGGCACCCCCTTTACATTGCTGTAGTTTATGTGAACCTCTAAGTCTTTGTTGTAGATCCCCGAGAGGTCACTAATAGCAGCGTTGTTAATGGTGGAGTGGAAGAAAAGGAGGAAGTAATGGATGTATACTTCAACCACCTGCTTCATCATTTCGTCATTGCTTACATAGAGAACCAACTTCGATATGATGTAAAGAACCTTGTTATAATTTTCGCTGCATTGCTTCAAGGTCGGAAGGATGCTAAGGTATAGGGCTAACATTTTTGTGCACACCGATTTAATTTCTTCCGTCTTTTTTCGTTCCTTCTCACCGATGCGTTGGGCGGGAAAGGGGGACGAGGCAAATGCGGACGAGGCAAAAGACGACGAGGAGAGGACTCCTTTCTCACCGGGAAGATCAGCCCTTCCTTTGCGACTCCCCCTATTTCGCTTTGGCACCTGGCAGACCGCCTCTTCCCTCCAGTTCTTAACCGTGTAGTACTTTTCTGACCCTTCCGATTCGTTTCGAAATTTTTCGGAAGCATGCTGGGTTGGTTTTGCCCCTCCATGGACGGCCTTCACCAGGTCGTGTTTACCTTTGGAGGCATCCTTGCTCAACTGGGTCCTGCTATCACTGCCTCTCTCTTGGGAGCATTCTTCCCCAAGGGGAATATCCCACCCATCTCGCCCCAATTCGCCATTGTGCGCGTCATAGAATACGTCACGTGGGGATTCATTCTTCGATGTGTGTTCAGAGGAGTGGTCCATATAGGAAGTGAATTTACTTTTCTTTGCCCCCTCCCTGAGTCTGTGCAGGTTGGCCAGTCTAATGTTGTCACGGAGAATACCCGGATCGTTATTCTTCCCTGGGTGGTTATCCTTCACCGAGTGGTTATTCCTCCTGAGGAAGTTCGAATTTAGGGACGACTCCCTGGTATACGTTGTGCATGTGTCATCGCTGGTGTTCTCCAGAGACAAATGAATTATGTCGTTTTCAAGGTACACATTGGTGTGGTGCTCATTTGGGATGATAAAGTTCTTCCTCTTATATTTCGTGTTCATGCTAATGATTGTATACAGAACTGAGGGGAATTGAATGTCTTGAAATATTTCGGTCATAATTTTGTAAGTTAGATCTGCATGCCTGGTGCTCTGACCCAGAGAAAGGATCGCGTTGAAGAATTCGTTCAGGACGTTTTTGGTCAGGTGCGGTACCTGCGTGAAGAGGTCGATGTAGAGCTCCAGGTAGGCGCACAGCTTGGGGTTGCCCCCCCTCCCGGGAAAGTCCTCCCTGGGTTTGGGGTTCCTCAGTTTATCATTGCTCACTATGTCGCCACACACTTTTTCGTTCCTCACGTTGTCATTCCTGACTTTTTCGTCACACACTTTATCGTTAGTCGTTTTTCCTTCCCCCTCGTGGGAGTCCCTCACAGGGACGACAGCCCCCCCCACGCGCAGACATCCGTTCAGCTTCTCCACGAGCTTTTTCTTCAAATAAGCGTCCTCCCTCACGACGCAAAGAATGAGCAGCTTGGTCATGATCCCGTGTCGCTCGTCGTCCCTCTTAATGAACAGAATTTCGTTCAGCAGGAAGTCAATTATATTTCTGATGATGTTATTTATTTCGGAAGTTTCCTTGCCATTCTGTGTGTGATTACCTCCGCTCCAGTGGTGGACACTTCTCTGTAGAGATGTGCCCTGATTTGATTTCTGGGGGGCATTCGTTTTGCCTATCACAGCTGTTTTGTATTCCTCCTTTTTGAGGCATAGGAGCTTTGCGATTTTATCCTGATGGAAGATGCTCTCCTTTTGCTTTTTTATTCTTCTTATAATTCTCTCCATGTGGTTCCCATCAGTTGCAAAGTTTAGGCTTTCCTTTGGGGAAGAAGCGGTTCCATTGTTTTCTTGCTGGAGAGGTCCCCTCTCATCCGCGTCACCTTGCAGTGGAAGTGCGTCTGGAGGAAATCTCCCCTCGGGGAGATCCTGAAACACAAAACAATACTCATCTCCATCAAAGAAGGAGTACTTTAAAATGTTGTCAAAGATGTGTACGTCCTTAAATTTGTGAGTCCTCCCCTTTTGTGTGGACACCCTTTTCTCCTTTTCTGTTTCATTCCTTCTCACCTCGTCCAGGTACTCATCAACAGTGTTGCTAAAGCGATTATGAATGCAATAGTGAACAAAGTCGTGAACCAAGCAGAGTAGCAACTTTTGATTTTCGTGACTAACTTTCTGAATTTGCAAAAAGGAAAACACGTAGTTGAGGATTTGTCCCTTGTGGTACAAGAGATATATTTTAAGTGTGTTGATAATTTCTCGGTTTCTTTTTTTTTCTTCGTCCAGACAGTTCAGCAATATGAAAACGATTTCCTCCAACTCGACGTTTGTGATGCTCGCCCGTTTTTTCATCTTGTCGGGGGATCAGTAGGGGAGAGCAAACTAGTAAGGCGGTGAAGCGAAGGATGAAAAGAAGTGACTTGCTTCAATGGCGCAAAGGAAGATTCCCCATTACGTTAACCTTTTTGGAGCGTTTCCACAAAGGTATGCACATGTAGACGCACCCACTACACTTTTACAACTAGCGGGTATGCACGTATGTGTGCGCGCCCCCAGGAGAAATCCCAGCCTGTGCCTTTGTTACAGCTATCAAAAAAAGTAAGGGCGGCAGGAAAAGAAAAAAAAAAAAAAAAAAAAAAAAAATAAAATACAGCACAAGTGAGGGATGTGGAGGGGGATATCATTCTGTATTCACAGCTGTTCATCATGTATGTGGATTTACGCTGTGCGGTGGGGAGGAAAAAATGCGCAACGCTTTTTTGCAAGTCATTTGTAACCGTATGGGAACGTCGCTACCCTCGAACGCTTGAGAATGCTGTGTAGACCTTTCGTGAAAGGACTGGGCGGCAATCGCTCATAGCGTGCCATGTGGGCTGCAGAATTCAACCCAAGCTGGGAAAAAGAAAAAAAAAAAAGGAATAAGAGGCTTGAGTCGTTTTTCCACCTGGGATCGACGCCACAGCAGTGTGTACATAATTTCGCATACGCAGGTGTGCAAATTGCTTCGTAAACAAATCCATCGAAGGGGAAAAATGCGGCAAAATGACGCAAAAAATTTTGCAGTAATTTTCGAGGCAATTTTCGCAGCATTTTTCACCTCATGTTCCTCTGCATTTTTGGCCGAAAATTTCCACCTCATGCAATGCAGACAAAGTCGGCCGCCATGACGTCATCAATTTTTACAAAATTTACCTCACGTCAACATGGCGCAATTAAAAGATGTCACCTCGATTTGTCCATTGGGTGTGGTGCTGAACTGAGCTATCGATGGTCCACATGCGTATGTTTTGTTTCGCGCAGCATGTTGCGAGGTGTGCGCGAGTAGTTGACCAACGCTGTGCTGCCGCTGCGATGCCACTTTGCGGGCGATTTACAAAGGGTATCTCCCCCGCCCCCCACTTTGTGCAAAAAAAAAGAAAACATAAGAGTGCCATTTTTGTGGAGTCCTCAAAGAAACCCTGTTGAAAAGTTGTGGGCCAAAATTGCTCCAACAATTTGTCATCAAATTTGGGGCAGCCCAGCGAAATGTGGAGACGCACAAGGGGGAAGCGGCGTGTGGAGCCTGTACGAATGGTCACGCGAAGTTTGCAGCGGTTGCGCGTTCCAAAAGAAATAGGCGAACAGGAGAAGAAGCGAACAGGCAGGTCAGTGGATGGGCTGCACGTGAGTTGCTGTTGCTTCGGCAGAAGGACGCGCCCCTGCGAAACGATCACCTCAAGTTTGCGAAGCATACGTATGTGCAAAGCATGTCTACACAGATGTAGGTATTTTCCTCCCCCCCCATTTGGGATGCCACACTTGGCATGGGACTGACTGCCACCTTTGCATTGCATACGGGGATAAAAGAACGGGCAACTTCGCCGCGGTTCTTTCTCTCCCCGCATTAACGCTCTCATAAAAAAAAACGTTTAAAGCAGCATCGTTTAAATGAGGAACACACCTTTGCAGCATTTTTTTTCGGGACATAATAAAACAGACCTGCTCGTTTCTAAGCCCGTCGAATTGGCAAACATAGGTGTGTCCAATGCATTACTTATGGGGAAGCGAAATTGGTTATCTTTTTTTTTTTTTTTTTCTCCTTACTTGGGCTTCAGCCCATTGGTCATGTGATAAAAGGGTTAACATAGTGTCAGCTTGCGCCCAGACAAGATAATTGCAAGACGTTTTTTTGCACGACAAAAGAGGTTTAAAAAAATGTCAATAGAATAATACCTTTTAAATTAATTGAAGCATTTCCTGCGTTCTTCTTTTTCGTCATTTCAATTTAATAGAGTAAGAAGAGGACGTTCCCATTTGTCTCGTCATTTCATACCGATTAGTGGCCCGTCCATTCAAGGTAGATACAAAAAAAAAAAAAAAAAATACCTCTACGTGCCCGCAAGAATACACATGTGTAAGAATCATCTAAAAGGATCTACTTTTCTGTCTGTCCACACGATTTTGTCTTTCTCTTTTAAACAAATCAGATGGCATAAATTCGCATTCACCGTTTTGTTCATATGAACAAGTGAGGCATGTTTCTCCCCCTACCACTGAGTAAAGGCGTTTTCATGTACATATCTTTACACAAAAGACTTCATGCATTAGCGTACCGATTGAAAGTCCTCCTTTTTTTTTTTTTAATTACGAACAGGTCTCTTTCAAGGAGAGTCTACAAAGCTTTTGCGAAGCATAAGTGGTTACATTGCCTTCTTCCGGGGTGATAAATGAACCACAGTGATACATGCACCCTTTTTGGTAAAGTGACTATTTCTCCCCCTTTTTTGCAAAAAAAAAAAAAATACCACAGCATAGCATAAGGAGAAGACCAAACGTGGTAGTAGTAACTCCTGTGTATACTCTCCCTGTATGGTTATGCCTCATCGGGTATACCATCTTTCCCTGTTGCATATATCATCTTGTTGGGGGATCAGGAAATAGAAATGGTAACGAAACATGAATAATAACGAAGTATAAATCATAACGAAGTATGAATCATAACGAATCATGAAGGGTAACTATGATTCCTTTAGTAAAGACAATTCCGACGGAGAAAAATGGAAGCATAAAACTCCCAGTGAGAAAAAGAAGATGATGATTAAATACATGAGCACAGTCGAGGCAGGCATGAAGGAGGAAGAAGTTAATTCGTTACATGAAGTAAAATCGGATGATGACATTTCTGATGGGGCTGGGGATGAAGTAGAAGACGGAAGTTATGTAGACAGTGAGGATCAGATCATTTTAATGGACGAAGATGTGGCGATTTCGGGCGACACAGGAGGCGATTCCTCCAACAATGAATCACCATGCGATAAGAATGACGATTATTCGATGGAAGAAACTGGCCCGGGGAGTGCAGGCAGGAATCACCTTAGTTCAGGGCCCGTAAGAAATGAGCACACCGCTGGGAACAACCGCCTAGAGGGCATTTCCCGTGGGGGGGGCGGAGGTTTTTAAGTTCCCCCGACTGTTTGCACTTCGCCCGTTATGTTGCCTTCTCGCCTTCCTTTCGAGCTTTTACGAAGACCTGCACAATTTCTCCTCGCACGGTAGGCTTCGCTGAGCGGTGTAGAGCCGAGGGAGGAGGGGGAAGAAGAAGAAAAGAAAAAGGAAGAAGAACAGCAAAATGCACTACCTCATGGCCGCAGTGATACAGATGTTGACCACTCGAGTGGAGATCACGGGGATGTGCTTCAAGAAGGGAGAAGCGCTGATGGTAGCAAAGGTAGACATGGCCGCAAAAATAAGCGAACACGCACAAGAATACGTGTATGTATGCTTATACACACCAAAACTTGGCCAATTTGTAATAACACGTACTTCTCTAACGCAGAGGGGAAGGGAAGGACAACCGGGGGCACCTACCTCAACTTAGACAGAGATAACCCACACAAGTCAGGTGAAGAGGGTGACGAGGCCCCCGTTGACACAAAGGACAATGTTACTAACATAGAACAAATGCACATGAACGAAAAGAAAAATGCCCTCTTCGATGTCGAAATTAAGAGTGAGTGGAACGAGTCACTGGAGAGATAACTCCACAACACGTAATTTGTGATGGTTGTCCCGAGTGGAACGCGCAAAAAAAATAAAATAAAAAAAAAAAAGACAAATTGAAAATGAAAAAAGGACGGAAAGTTATGAGCTTATACAAAAAATTCTTCCTTGATGGTACCCATTTGGTGTAAATATGAGAGATAATTCACCTGTACAGGTGCATAATTTCCCCTTATCCTTCCCCTTTTTTTTTTTTTTTTTTTTATCCCTTCCCTGCTGCTAGATATAAATGATTGGAAGTCCAAATATAGACACTTGACATCATCGTACGTTGAAAAGTTACGCATGGAGTTGGGCGTGTCCGGCTTCTGCGTTTCATCGTGTCTCCCGTTTTCTGATTCTTCTGCTTCTCTGCTTGGGTTCTTCCACCCCCCCTGCCGAGGCTGCTGCACCGAAGATGTGGCAACAAAACACCCCTTTTACCCACCGAGCAGCTTCCGTAAATTGGAGAAGGAAATGAATAGAACCATCAACAGTGAACACATGGAGCAAATAACGGTTATATGAGCAATAAAAGAAGGAAAAAAAAAGAAAAAAAAAAATCCCACATGGGAAATGTATATAAAATTGAACATGTCCTACTCTCCATGCGCAGAGACGAAGCATTAAGCAGCACAAGGATTTCCTAGACAACGAGTATAAGGAGGTGTGAAAAAAAAGAGTCCTTCTTTTTTTTTGCCTCCCCCTTTGAGGAAATCATTAGCGCTCCCTTCGCTTCACCTGTGCATATCCAAATATGGGCACATGGGTGTATCCACTTTTGCCTTCAAATCAGTGGCTGTCCGTTTTGCTGAAGACCGTTTCGGAGTTCAAAAAAAATATTGGGGCTCATGGTATGTTTGTAAAGCAAAAAAAAAGGGGGGGTGGGGCTCACCGTGATGGGCTACGCGGGGCCTGTCTACACATCCATTCATTTGGTGATCCCATTTGGTGATCCCATTTGGTGATCCCATTTGCCGCTCTCATTTGCGACGATCGCAGTTTCCGAGCTGAACGAAAAGGAGTACCTAATATTGTCCAAAAATATCTTCGAAGATTTCCGGGAGAAATACTTGGAAGAGGTGACCGGCGGGCTTTGAGGCGGATCTGCGCCTGACTAGTTTGCTCCACCACGCGACGCTATGCTATATCATGCATTACGATGTTCTTCCACGCGCTGCCCTGTTTCACCCATTTTGATGTGTCTGCTTGCCCTTTTCACTTTCTCTCCCCTTCGAAGATCCAACTAAACATGGTCCTCTATTTGACCGTGACCAAGCACGATATACCAGTTGACGAGCATGTTGGGAAGTACCTCCACGCGTGTTACGAATCGGTGAACACGGGTAGGCAAAAAGAAGAAAAAAAAAGGAAAGCCTTTCTGAGAGACCCCCCAAGGGGACTCGTGCTTGTTCATATTTTATGCGTTTAACCCATTTGTATTTGCCCCCTTTTGAAGACAAGACGCTGCACAGCACCATACAGAAGTTGCTGGAAGTGAATGCGCAGATTAGGGACATAGGCGGGAGAACGGTACATCGCCATATGGGGAGAGAGAAGAGGAAACCTCCTTAACTACCCCATCTGCATAGACAGAGGCTCGCAAAGATCTACTTTTCCTGTATGCTTGTCCAAAGACATACACATGAACACATGCGCGTTAACGGCGCGCAGGGCACCTGGGATGACGACGAGCACAACTACTTTATGAAGGTTTACGAGAGCAACGCGAATTTGGGAGATAAGGTAGTCCACAGAGAGGGCAGCTAAACAGATAGGGCAGCTCCACGTTGTGCTCCTTTCGTTCAGCACGGAAATGGAAAAGGGGCACCCGCAGATAAGTGCATGTGCCAATCCTAACACACAACGCTTCCCCCGATGCCAAGGTTGTCTTTGGCATGCTGAAAAGCTGCATGAACAGATCGGAGGAAGAAATTATTCAGCACGTGTCTTGGTACAAGCAGTTTATCCAGTACAACAACTTAAGGAACAGGTGTCTGAACAGCATCAGCATCGTCAATGTGAATGTAAGAGCTGGGAGGAAAGAAGAGAAAAGGAGAAACTGACTCCCCATGGGGGATCACCTTTTAGCTTATTCTCGCATTGCATTGCACTGCTTTGCTTTCTTTTATTTCTTTCACCACTATAGGGAGCTCCTTTTTCATGGGGTTCCTCTACCTCACGGTTTCCACTTACGCACATTGTCTCTCCTCGGTGCTTCACCACAGGAGCAGCGCAAGAACGACTCCAAAGTTGAGGAGAAAAAGTACATGATACAGAAATGGAAGGAGAAAAAACGTGAGTACAAAAGGGGGGGCACCGGCGAGGAGATCATTCGGAGGGCCGCTACGCGGTTGCTACAGATAACTGACGGATTTGGCTCCTGCATCACGTGCGACGGCTTGTCTCACTCTGAACCCCACCCGTTGCACCGCAGAGCAAGAGTGGGCGATCAAGATGAAGGAACTGCAACAGATGAAAAAGGAGGAAATGAAGATAAACAAAATAATTCGCGAGAAGTAAACACCTACCAGGGGGAGCACCGATCCCGAGCACTTGTCACATAGGATTGTGCCATAACCGCTACGGGGCTATTTTCCCTACGCTGTCCAAATCTTCCACATTTCTCCCCTCCCCTGCACACAACCAACCTTGTCATACCCACCGCGCAGCATCAAAAAGAAAAAGCAAATGATACAGGAGCAGCTGAACAGCAAGAAGGAGGGAATGAAGAAAAACGTAAAGCACAAAAACGGGAAAAAAGAGGGCGAAAGAAAAGGGAAAAAAAAACGAAAGCAAGGGAACCAGTGGTGGGCTGCTCCATCACGAAGAGGACATACACGATCGCTCGTGATGCACTAAAAATTGGTGCCTGCTTTTTCCCTAAGCAGAAAATGGAAAAGCAGCAGAGGAGCGTCCTGTCTGAGGAATCGTTGCAGAGGATTAATGAGCGGAATGAACGGTGGGGCGGAAAAGGGGCAACTCCGCGAAAAAAATAGGAAAAAATAGGAAAGAAAAAGGGATTTCACTTCGTTTTTTTTCTTTCCACTTTTTGAGCATCCCGCGCGAGCTACAACGAAGCCCAGTTGCAGCACTTTCTTTTTTATGGCGCCTTTCACATGACCCTTTTTTTTCCTCTCCTGCTGGCTTTTGTCTTCTTTTCCCAGCATTTTACAAAAGAAGGTGCAATCGAATTTGACCCTTAACGAGGAGACCAACGAGCGGGAAAAGAAAACAACCAAGCAGAAGTATATGCACATCCAGAGCAAGCTACTGAGCAACACAGGTAGCGCTGGGACGGCCATAGCCCTGATCGAGTTACGGGTGTGTGTGTGCCGCTCGTCCTTCTGCCAACTAGGTGAACCGTGCCTCTTTCTAGCAGTCAACCCACCTTTTCAATTCTCCTGTACTCCGCCCCTGCGCAGTTATTTTATTCTCCACCTGTTTGGTCTATTATGCCTCGTTATTTTCCCGTTATGCATTTTTGTGACTCTACCCGGGCCCCTTGAACAATTTTGATTATTTTTCTTCGCTCGTAGAAGCGAGAAGCTGCATAAGGCACCAATCTTCCCCATGCAAGCTTCATTTTACCGTTTGCAATGCACTGAGGGAAGCAGCCAAGCCGCAAATTCGTTTGCGTATGGCTAGTTGTTTCTTCCATTCGTTTTCGCTATGTCTGTGTTTGCTATGTTCGTGTTTACTATGTTTGTGTTTGCTATGTTTGTGTTTGTTATGTTTGTGTTTGCTATGTTTGTGTTTGCTATGTTTGTGTTTGCTATGTTCGTGTTTGCTATGTTCGTGTTTTCTATGTTTGTGTTCGCTCCATTTTGCATGCGCGTATTCGTTGCCTGGAATTTTCCGAGGGGAGCATTTCTGCGTATTGTCTTGTGAGCCTCGACTGGCCATCTTCTCCCCTTCCAACCTTTACATTCATGATTAAGGGAAAAAAAAATATCTCGTATATACATATAGTTGCATACCTTTTTAGATTGTTACATGCATACCAGAGTGCGTAGTAATCGGGAAAAAAAAACGCTTCTTCCCCCCTGCGGCATACCTTTTGTTTTGTTTCCCCTCTCCACGATTGGCTACGCAAGGCCATAGGTGACCGGATTGGCAATTGACACATCCCAATTTCTTTGCCTCGTTCCCCAATTTTGCAGATAACCTTTTGAGGAGAATTGAGTCCAGCGTAGAAACGATAAAGAACATTTTGTAGTTTGCGCAGTCCTGTTTCTCTGACTGATTTGCGGTACTTGGTTTTTTCCGCTTTTCATGAATCATTTTTTTTCTCTCTCGTTTTTTCTTCTTTGTTTTTCTTTTTTTTTTTTTTTTTTTTTTTTTTCCTCGCTTTTTGCCACGTAGCCACCGCGTGTGGGCCTAAACTATGGTGAACTTATGCCGACTTGGCCTCGAAATCACACGCTACAATCTTTTTTACCAACACGATCCTTGTTAACTATGCCATTTCGCATTAATGAATCGCTTCGTGAGGCGAGAAAAAAGAGAGGAAATCTACTCACGGCTAAATTACATCGAAAGAGAAGAAAAAGAAAAAAGTAAATAGCGCGTTGTAGCGGTTATGCAGCTGCAACCGTATTGAGGACGAAGTTTTCTTTTACTCTCTGCTTGTGAGAAGCGGTAGCTTTAGGGGGCACAACGACGTGCAGATACCAACAGGATGAATTTCAGACGGCTAATTGGAAAGCTATTTGTGTGCTGGCTGGTACAGATATACGTGGAGAGGAAGCCCCCGCATTGTTACGGCAGCAGTAAGGGATGAGAGACAACCAGAAGAAGGGGAAGGTTAACAGATGTGATAAGCCCTCCCCGAGTGGTACTCAATCGATGGTGTCTTTCTATGAAGGACACGTCTAAGTGGACCCCCCTCTCCCCCTTTTCCTTTTAATTCCTCCATGTGGGTGACTTTTTCACTTTTTTTTTTTTTCTCTTTTTTCCTCTACAGATACGAAGGCTCCGAAGCCGCCGCTCCCGAAGGAGGATCAAAATGGAGATACGTCTGGACTGACGAACAGTGTGGACTCGCTGGTGGAGAACATCATAGAAGTAGTGCACTACCTGGAAAACATGAACAATTACATCATCGATTTTAAGAAAGAACTGCAAAGCAAATTCGAGCACCTGGTTCAGCACGACGCCAATCTGTATGAGTCCTACGAATACAATGAAAATATCTTGACCCATATTTACAGCTACAATGAGAACAAGCTACACAGGTATTCAAAATATTTGGAGAATTTGAAGAGTGTCAAGTTAGAGATGTTTAATGATACGATTAATAACATCCAGAGAGACAATATATACTACGTCAACTTCGTGTACAAGAACCTCCTCTCGAAGATTGACTTGCTGAGCGACCTCAACAAGAAGGTACGTTGGCGGGGAGTATACGCCTGAAATCAGGGGTGGGGCGACCAGCGAGTGTATTGTTCGGCTCCACGGTTGTGATTTTTTACTTTTCCGGATCTTCCCCCGTTTCGTATATTCCCGTTTTTCTTCCTGTTCCCCTTCGCGGCAGAATTTGGACAAGGAGAGTCGAAAAAACCTGCAGGAGCTGAACAAGTACCTGGATGCTCTGAAGGACAAGATGATGAGCATGGAGCAAAAGTTCAGCCAAGTGATAAAGGACAAGTCGGAAAGTATACGGAACTCGCATCAAGAGAACATGAACAAGTTCGAAACGTCTGCGAGGGACTACCTCAACGGGAATAGCAACTTTGACACTTTCTCCAGTTACGTAATAAATGACTTCCTCCTAAATGGAAAAAGAATAAATGTCCTAAATTATGAAAATAATTCCTTCTTCAAGAGTAACTTCCTCTACTTCAATTTTCTGCACAATTATATTAAGGGGAAAAAAAATGAAAAAGTTATGAATATCTATATTTATTTGAAGGACCCGCTGATAAAGGAATATGAGCTGTCCTACTTCAATTACTACGTCATCGTGGATCTACACATCGTGGATGTCATCGTAAAAAATGTAGAGATGTTAGCCAAAGCGAAGGGCAGAAGCAAAAGCGATTTTAACGACGTGCTTATCTGTGTGGATAATTACACAGTCAAGTACAACGTACTATCCAGCAACATTTATTTGGACATGAAGCCAGACATTAGGAAATTTTTCTCAAACAATATAGCAAACAAAATTGACGACAAGAAGATCCAAGCAATATTGGCTCATCTCAGGAAAAAAAACAAAGCGAATTATGAGAATACCATTTTTAATGATGAATACCATATGAAGATGGAGAGTGGGGAGGAGGCGACCGATGGAGCCTCTGCTAAGAAGGAGAACAACCTGACCAGTGGCAGCGGCCAATCCAACCTCTACATCATGAAGAAGAACATCTTCTTCGACTCGAAGAAGGAGTACTACAAAAAGTTCCTGTCCTTCTACACATACGAAGAAATATTTCGCATCCTCTGTAATGACAACAGCCGCTGCAGTGTGAACATCCTCAATTCGTTGGACGACGTGAACAAGAACACATTCATCTTGAGGAGCCACCTGACTATTAAGAACGAGCTGAAGAAGTTTTTCCAGGTCCACCAGAGCGAGCTGCTTAGCAGAAGGCGTCAGGGGAAGTCAGGCGAACTAGGTGTGTCCAGCCAACCAGGTGTTTCGAGCCAAGCGGCCACCCGCCTCGCCCAAAGCATATGCCCCGTACAGAAGCAAAACATATTCTCCACAAGCAACACGTGCCCGAGGCAGGGAGGGAACAACCCCCAACCCGTCCCGTGCAGCCAGGACAACCTTATCAAAATGAACAATGTGGATGATTACCTGAATACGTATTACGTGTCGTATCACGATTCGTTTAAGGTGGTGAAGCGGGAGCAATACTACTCCATCCTTTCGCACATATTTGAGAGCTACTTGAACAAGGCTGACTCACCCGAAATGGCTGGTCAGTTTCCACACCAGAGGAGCCGACACAGCATCTCCATAAACTACTTGGGGATGCTGCCCGAAATTGTGAAGGCGTACAAGACGTTCAAGTACTGCAATTCTTTGTACGCGCTGGGGAACACATACATCCGAAAGGGGGCCGAGGGGGACACGGGACCGGAAGCAGAGGAGGAGCAAGAGGCAGAGACAGAGGGGGAGGAAGGGACACAGGAAGAGACAGAGTCAGACGGGGAGGACGACTCGGAAGAGGAAGATGAAGAGGAGGAGACCAACGGAGAGCCTGCCAACGCCGAGAAGGGGAAGCCGGGTGAAGCAGGACCAATACAGCCGCACAAAGAAATAACGAACGAAATCGCCTTCCTAAAAAGGCACAACCACAAATACATGAAGCTATTCCAGCAGCACGTAGAGGAGGAGATTAAATTCATAAACTTCTTTGAAGTGCTCATAAAAAAAAAAGTAGCAGTTATCCTGGAGAAGAACGAGTTTTTGAAGCTATACATTTTCTATGGGAAAAAGAAGCTTCCCACTCTGCCCTACACGAACTTGTTCTTTAACTGTAGGACTATAATAAAGATTGAGGTGCTCAGAGATGTGAACACAAAACAGATAATCTACTCCAGTAGATCCTTCTTCTTGGAGACCTTGATAACATTGAAGGAGTATAAAATAAGAAACGAGAGCGCCTACATCATCATTGAAACGTCCGATGAAACGAGCTCCATTAAGAAAAGACTCAAGATGGAAATGCTCTACAGAATATCTCCCATGTCCCATATAAATGCCTACATAATTTCGAACAATGGGAGGGAGACTGTTTACCACAAGGGCAACTTGTACCAGCGGTCTGCCAATGACATCAAGGATGTGATCAGTGACATTCGCAATGATTTTCTCAACATCATTCTCCCTCAGTACAATTTGTTCGACCTGTTCGACAGCCACATATACATCATCATTTGTTTGAAGAACGAGAACTGCTAATGAGCGGCAGCAGCGTTGGACGTGGTTAGGAAGGCTAAGCGGTGAAGCTTTTCGGGGGCACAACCGCCAGCTTTGTGATGACTGCCACATGAGTGGTGATAACGAAGGAAGAACCTTTTTTTCAGCACGCACCCACTCAGCACTGGTGACGACTGGTTATTTTTTATACCCCTTGCTAATCAACCCTTTGGCCCTTTTTTGCAACACTCACATTTTTGTCACGCCTCCGAATGTGTATGTACCTTTATGGTAACCACTCCGAGTGTACATGTACCGTTATGTAACCTCTCCTTACTCGCAGCAGCATTCCCACTAGACCTTATCTGCGTGTAGGGACAAATATTTTTTGTTTGATTTTTTTTTTTTTTTTGGCTCCTTGCTCCTCTTGGGCAAGACAACACAAACGTCTGCATAACCTTCTTGTGGGCCTACAGCGGCGCACGTCTTTTAATTTTTCCGTCCGACTGGAGTTGCGCAGAGGGGTGGCCTACAAAGTCATACAAAGCAGGGAGGAGTCGCGCAAACTGCGCACAAACAATGAGGGGGAATATGGCCCAGTGGCATCTCTTCCCCGTGCGGTTTACATAGAAGTGGGACCCGTTCGGGCGACCCCAAATATGTCGCCACGCCGCTACAAAATTTAATTACTACGCCCACGCCAGGAGTCCCCTTACAATGCTCGTGTTACACATTTGAGGAACAAAAAAAAAAAAAAAAAAAGGGGGTGTTAATGCCCACGGGAGGGGGCACACTCGGTGGCGGGGCGCGTGAACGTGTGCCCACTGTGCTGCTGGAGCGACTAACAGCCATGCCTCCGATAACATTTCTGGCGAGACGGTCATGCCTCCGATGACGCCGCGGCTGCCGCCCCGGGTATCACTGCTCCATTTCGTCCTCCTCCATGTTGTAGGGCATCGGTGAGAAGGGGTCGTCGTTCTGCGCCTCGTCGGCATTGGCTTGCTGGATGGGCGAAAAGATGCTGACGTCCTGGATGTGCTGCTTCACCTGCACCGGTGACTGCAGAATGTACGCCGGGGAGAGGGCGTGCTGGCTCTTATTCCTGGCGTTGCTGCTTCGGTCATACACAGGGGAGGAGATGGAGTATGCAGGGGAAGTGGGCGAAAATTTAGGAGACGCTATAGCATAGGGCGAGTAGTGAGGACTATTGGGGTTGTTCGGAACAGGCGACGTGGGAGAGTACTGCGGAGAGGTGGGGGAATACTTCGGGGAGGTAGGCGAGTACTTAGGAGAGGTAGGCGAATACTTAGGAGACGTTGGCGAATATTTGGGAGAGGTGGGCAAATATTTCGGCGAAGTTGGAGAATACTTGGGTGACGTAGGCGAGTATTTCGGAGAGGTAACTGAGTAGACGGGGGAAACGACGCTGTGGTACTTCATCATATTGGGGTTCATGTCGTCCACCTGATTTGTTGGAGACGTTGGCGAGTAGAAAGCCTTTGTGCCATTCAGACCGGAGGAGCCACCAGCATTGGCATTGTTAGACAAGTGGTAAGTGGGGGAGGTGGGCGAGTAGGAAGGGGAGTAAATATTGTTCTGTGTCTGCTGCTTGGGGGAAAATATATCTAAGGCGCGATTAGGAGAGTACAGCATGGCAGGCGATTGTATGCTATTCAAATTTGCCTTGGGGGAGAAGATATTATAATTCATCATGCTCATGCTGTTACTACTGCCGCTGATGCCTCCGCTGTTGTTATTCTTTGGCGAGAATAACATGCTGGGATCGAGTGCTTGCTGGTTATGATTATCAAAAGGGGAGAAGGGGGAATGGATCACTGATGTTGGTGACCTGGGTGATTGAGTAGGTGAGAATTTGCCCCCTAATTTTAGCGTGTCTAAATTGTTGAAGTCATTTTTGGATGGGGACATAATATTCTCACCGCCACTACCACCCATACCACCACTATTCGCATCGCCATAATCCTGCAGACACTGGGGGGATAAAATCCCGTTGACACTGCCGAGAGGAGCTGTGGGGGACAACAGATTAACGTTATACGTTGGAGAGAAGGGAAGGGGAGAATTTAGCGTGTTGATTGCTACCGGAGATTGCAATCCATCTGGAGTGATTCCATGGTGACTATCTGGAGTAGTAAACCCAGCACTGGTAATATCCATCATGGTCTCTAAATTCTGATTTGCATCACTCAACTTTTGGTTGTCTATAATGATATCAAAAACGCCTGTTCCTATTTTGCATAACTGACCCAGCATGATATTCTCCGTTATTCCTTTGAGGTTATCTACCTGTGCAAAGGCAGCTGCTTCTAGGAGTATTTCCACCGTTTCTTCAAAGCTACACTTGACTAGTGGTCCTCTATCGACTCGATTGATACCATGTCTCGTTATGGACATGAGATACCCTCTCTGAGTCATGACGTCACAGAGGATGGACAAATGCCTGTAGTTAACATATGAGCTATCAAATGAAATGACCGTCCTCAATTCTTTTAGAAGAGCTCTTCTCACGGCCTCGATTCCTAACACTTCGAATATTTCCACTATGTCATTTGAAACGGTCTTTTTATAATCCACATGGGAAGCACAGAAGATATGCTCCAGGTTACATCCATCTGTGTCTAACACCCAATGAGAACTCCTCACAAACTTGCCATTGTTGGAATCGTACGTTATTTTCGACTCTTCTCTCATGTACACTTTGGTAATATTTTCTATTCCTCTTAACTTCAGTGTCGACAGACATTGTTCCATCAGCTTTTTTAAAAATGTATCTTCTGTGTCCTCCTTCATATAAATCGGGTTGCTCAAATTATTTACGTTCCGCATGCTGTTCCTATCTACACTGCTTGTATTATTTGCATTGGGAGCGTTTCCGCTCGTGATACCCCCCCCACCCACGTTGGGGCCACTGATGTTGTTTCTCCCCTTCGTGGTGTGTGCATCTTCTTCTGCGTGTTTTGAGTTGGCCTTCCCGAACATGTCCTCCGCTGTGCCGGAGCTCTTTCCACTTCCAAGGCCGTTTACCAGACCACTTCCAATTCCACTTCCAACCCCACTTCTGCCTTCCCCTTTGGCGAACAAGTCCGTTTCTTCGTATCCCTCAACATAGTTGCTATCCGTTCGGTTGGCACTTTCCTCCTTCAGTTTTTTCATTTTCGCCGCGCTTTTGTCCTTACTCGTTTTATCTTTCCCCACTGCTTCGTCCCGATTGTGGTTCCCCATTCCATCACCATCGTCCATGTGGGTGCCGCTCGCGCTTCCAGTCGCGCTGCCAAATCGGTTTTCACTGTTTACGCTGTTCTGCCTCGAGCGACTGCTGCTGACGCTTTGGTTGTCGTCTTTATCATTTTTCCTGTTCTGCGTCGCCTGATTGTCATCCGCATCGACGTTCTTCTTCGTCTTGAAGGTCTTTCCAATGTTGTTGTAGTTTTCTTCTTCCTCCTCCTCCTCTTCCTCCTCTTCGTACTCATCCTCCTGGGCCTGCTCCGCATCGTCATTGAGAAAGTTGTACTCCCCATTTAGGTATTTAACCCTAATTCTTAGAATAAGGTCTTCCGAGTTATCATCCGTGTAGATGATGTCTAACTCGTCACTGGAGAAGACTGAATAAATGATGTAGACAATTTCCTTCATGGTGAGCTTCTTCTCATTCACGTGAATATTGGTTAGCTGAATCCGTAGAACCCATTCTCCTAGAGTATACTGTGTATCATCCTCATCTGGGAATTCATAAAACTCGTCTACCCACATTTTGTCTTCTTCTAGGATGGTAGTCGTGGTATTCGGGTCGTAAATAATCTGTGCATGCGATGTTAGTTGCTTCAGGGTTGTGTATTCTAGTTTGGTTAATATATCTTTGGCTTTCTGCTGATCATTGGATACGACATCGTCCAGATAGATGGTCGTGGAGGGAGTCTTGACATTCTTCACAATATTAATTAACTCCTTCAATCTTGGCACACCTAAGGTTACGTTTTTGGATCCCACTCCGGCGAAGTGAAATGTATTCAGCGTCATCTGCGTTGCGGGCTCTCCAATCGACTGCGCTGCCAAGGCGCCTACGCATTCTCCAGGGTGGCATAACGATTTGTAGAAGTTCTTTTCAATTTCTTGCAGAAGCCAGTCGATTCCCTTCATACTGATCTTATGGGTCTGAATCAAGAGCTTCGAATTTAAGTAGGTTCGCAAGTGGGCTTTCAGCAGCACCGTGGCGTTGTTCTGGGCCTCCAGCGAGAGAGTGTCGTTGCTGTTGATCTGTTTGATAATGACTAGCTTTTCTAGAAAGCGGTTGACTTTGTGCACGATGTCTACGGGGTTGACGAAGGATCGGTCCTCGCCGTGGCTTTCGCCGTCGCTCTCCACACCACTGTCGCTGTGGCTAGCTTCCTCCTCATCTTCGTCAGCGCTTCCCTCGTCGCTGCCGTCGCGACGCGTCCCTTCCGCGAGATCTTCGTCGAAGGGCTCGAAGCCACTGTACGTTCCTTGCCCCTTCATGGCGCTGGCGAGATCGTTCGTCTCGTACTCCTTCTTAATCTCCGACATGAATTCGCTGTTCCGCAGTTCTTCGTTCGGGTCTTCCAACGCCACGTCAGCAGTGGCTTTCCTCTCAGCCCGTGGACGGGCCTTCTTCCCCTTCTTGCGCCTCCTCTGGGTGCTGCTCATCTTAGGCCTCATCCTATTAGCACTAATGGGATCCTTCACTTTGCTACCAACAACAGGAACAAACGGGAACTGCGATTTGGCGAATTCGATAAGTCGATTCATGTTGATGGGTAAGTGCTGCCTTACATCCCCATCGGGGAATATTTCCTTGCAAATGTTATTTTTACACCTTAGAAGCTCTTGAAATTCCTGATTCAGTACATTCTGCTTGTTATAGTCAATGTAGGAGTTTTTCCTGTTTTGTCCCCTGTCTAGGTAGAAGTCCTTCCCGTAACGGTCGTCATGATTGTCATCTTCATCGTCGTCAAAGTTGTATTTGTACAATTTTTTCACTTCCTTATTGTCTAGCTTCATCAGATCGATAATTTGATCTTCTATATACTCTCCAGCCATTCCATCCTCCCCATAGAGAAACTGAATAATATCTCCATAGGAGTTCCTAACGGTTCGATCGTACTGCACCATAACATCTTCCATCGCTTTGATTAGTCTCCTTTGTATGTAACCCGTTTCGGACGTCTTGCAGGCCGTATCGATGATACCTTCTCTTCCTCCCATGGCATGAAAGAAGACTTCCTGTGGGGTGAGTCCACTTAAGTAAGAGTTCGACACAAAACCTCTACTTTCTGGACCGTAATCAAATTTAATAAAATGGGGTAAGGATCTGTGGTTAAATCCAAAGGGAATTCTCTTCCCCTCGACATTTTGTTGACCCACACAAGATATGATTTGAGAAATATTGATGATGGATCCCTTGGATCCACTAGCCACCATGCTGAAGATGTTGTTTCTTTCATCTAAGCTTTCTGAGGCCACTTTTCCTGCCATTTCACGTGCACAGTTTAGTTCGTTATTTACTCTGGTTTCGAAAGATTCGTAGAGGGATTTTCCCGGTTGGCATTCCAATTCTCCTCTCTGCGCCTTCTTCACAATTTTGGATACCTCCTTTTTCGACTTACTTAGAATATCTTTTACCTTATCGAGGACCTTATTACTAGCTATGATGTCTGAGCAGCTCACGGTGAATCCGACGTATTCTAACCAGTTGTTGGTGACCTTCTGCAGGGCCGAAATGAAATCTTTGGTTTTATCTGGACCCATTTCATGCCACAGAATGTGAATCAACGATCCGCTAGAAGAACCCACTGTACGTTTGCATATGATTCCACACAAGAGCTCGTTATTCTTTATGATCACTTTTCCATCGTTGATGGAGCAGTACGGATTGTCATCCTTACACGAGGTGGAGGAATCCCTCATCAGGTTGATTTTTACATTCCTCCTCCATCCGCTTACTCCTTTGAATATGCCATCTGGGCCATTCGTGCCAGTCACTTCGTTTCCAATGAATTGATTTTTTACGTTACTGTTTAGTGTGTCTCCAATGGCTAAGGGGCTATGGGGGTGTAGGTGTGCACCACTAGTGTTGTTTGCTCGGCCCATTTCGTCTTCTATTCTGAACCCGCTACCGTGGGTAGCCCCTCCCCCTCCTCCTATCATCATGTTGGCATTGCCTAACGGGTCATTGAGCCTTTCTAAATCTTCAAACTGGAGAAGCATAGAGAAAATTTGCTTTCCTGTCCACAGGGCCTTCGGCTTCATAATGGCAGGAGTAGGTATCACATGGTTCCAGTAGGGGATCCAAATGAGCAAAGACATCACTTCTTCCTTTGTGAGAAAGTTATCTCGCCTGGTAAATTTTCTTATGGCCAAGAGGGAATCCTGCACAATTCCCATAACGGGTTTGTTTCCCTGCGGAGATACGATCTGCTTCTGCACAATCATGAGGTGCTTAATTTCGGATCTAGTCTCATGCGACTGCGCAAGGTGCAGATTCATTTCATCCCCATCAAAATCGGCATTGTACGGAGAAGTAACAGCTAAGTTTAGCCTGAACGTCGAGTAGGGCAATATTTTTGCCTTATGTCCCATGATACTCATTTTGTGAAGAGAAGGTTGTCGATTGAAGAGGATATAATCTTCGTCCGTCATATGTCGCTCCACTTTGTAACCATATTCTAATTCTCTTTCTGAATTTTTTCTTACATGTCTGAGATCATACTTGGTTCCGTTGTCCCTGATGATATATTTCGCTCCTGGCCATTCGTATGGACCTCTTTCGACGAGCTTTTTCAAATCATCGTAATTGAGTGGAGTCACCGTTTCGCAGAATGTTAACGTCATGGCGACTGATTTTGGCACTCCTATGTAGTCAATGTTTAAATTGGGATCTCCTGTAATTACTGTTCTGGCTGAAAAGTCTACACGTTTTCCCATTAAATTTCCTCGGAGCCTTCCTTCCTTCCCCTTCAACCTCGTCCGTATGGCTTTAATTGGCTTCTTCGAACGTGTCGTCGCTATGGGCATCCCCGGAATGTCATTATCGAACAAGGTGGTAATGTGAAACTGTAAGAGGGCACACAAATCCTGGAGCACGTGTGATTTAGCCCCCCTATCCGTTTGTCTCTTCAACTGAATGTTCGTTTTTACAATGTCTAGAAGTTTCAATGTCAGGTCGTCTTCACTCCTCTGATTACCATATTGTACGTAGGGCCTCGCACAAGGAGGAGGGATGGGAATAAATGTCAAAATTAACGACGCGGGGATGCATCTATCCGAATTGAATCCAAGAATGGGCATTTCTTCCTTCCTAATTTTCTTCAAAATTTCTAGGGCTTCTTCTGCACTTAATTTTCGCTTACTCTCATCTATGTCTTCATCACTGGAGTGTAAAAACTGAATGAACATATTTGGTCCTTCCCTTGAGTACTTGGGCTGCACACAGCCACAGTCGACGTCTTCTTTATTTACCATTTCGAAGATGTTACTGTAACTGTTAGGGTTTAAAAGCATTTGCTGATTCACGTTTAAGTTACTCAAATTGTTATTGTAAAAATTATCCACTGCGTTTTCATTCAGGTGTAGAGTATCTTCTTCTTGTGGTGAGGAATGATCACATACTTTGATTGTTTGGCACACCTCTGACAATCTCTTCAGTCGCAAACTATTCACTTTGATTTTTTCGATATATTTTACCTTCGAATTGCTCGTATTACACAATAATCTGCCACAGTGGTAGCAGACGCATCTTAATACATTCAAGACGACATTCATAAAGCCGTAATGATACATTGGTTTCGCCAGTTCGATGTAGCCAAAGTGGCCGGGGCAATATTTCACGTTCATGTTACACGTCCCACATAATGTCTTGTAGTCTATGGTCCCCATGCGAATGTCGTTTAGACCTCCTTCCCTTGGCAGCCCATCTTTGTATAGGTCTATATTTACAATTTCGCACACGCCTATTTTTTTGATAATTTCTGGATCCAGCACACCCAACTCGAGGCGTTTGACCCTCTTCAGCTCGCACGCCGAGTAGGGCACGTTCAGGTCGACCGTCATTTTGGGGTGTGTGGGCGAGAACTGGGAGATCACTGCGCTGCCACTTTGCGACCACTGTGCGGCCAGGGTTCAGCTCAGGTTCCACTTCTTATTGCCTTCATAAAGAAAAGAAAAAAAAATTGCCACTGCTCCCCCTTGGCGAAGGAACAAATGTTCCCGCAAACGCGTGAGGGGAGTTTCACCAAGGGGGGACCTCCCCAAATGGCATACGCTCTACCAACGTCACGCGCTCTCCACTCGGCTTTGGCGAGACCAACTCAGTCACGCAGGGAGATCGCACGTTTAACTAATTATTCATACATGCGAACAGCTGTGGGCAGATACGCATTGGAGGGCGGAGATGATGACCAGATGAATACACGCGACGGAACTCTTCCATTCATGGAAATGCTCCCGCGCAGCTAGATGTTTTCCCAACGCGAGGAAAAAGAAAGTGGGTACGTTAAAATGGGGACACAAAAATGCACGTCATTTGGTGGGAACGGCTTCTAAGCCTTTCTCTGTTAACTGTTCTGTTTATTTGGCTACAAACGGCGTTTTTTTTTCGGGTGTTTTTTTTGTGCTAACTGTTTATAGGTCGCTTGCGCCTCGGAGGGTTCCTCCTGGGTGAATGTCGCTCCGCTGGGGGGGGGGTTTACGTGGAGGCCGCGAGGGGATGTACAAACGCCTGGAAACAAGAATGCGAGGATGCACAAAATTACAAACGTAAGTACTCACGCCCCGTGCAGCGGCCACCGCAGTTGTGTTTCAAAGCAGTTTCACCTTCCTCCTCGGCATGGGAACATACGCCTCACATGCGTACCTGCGTACATAGGCACATTCATATAAACGTACATATATGTACATATACGCATAAACGAAACATGACACAAAAAAAAAAAATAAAAGGAAAAAAAGAAAAAAAAAAAGGCGAACGCGAATGCGAAAGGACTATCCGCATACTAACCAAACGTGAAAGTACGCATTTAAAGCTCACTCGAATTGAAAGAATAAAAAAAGAACCCGCAGCTGTGCGCAGCTTTTTTTCTTAAGTGGTAACGGACGTTCTCCGTGACCATAAATTAACGCGTAAGTACATAAAGGCAATGCATACCATACGCACAGTTCGCACGGAGGGTCGTATACATATATGCGGTGGATCTTAACTGCAGCCACAGCACATCGTTACTGGTACGCTCCTGCGCAGGTATTATTTTGCCTACTCGGTTTGGCAGCTCCCAATTCGGATACTATACCAAGTTGGTGGTACTAAGTTGTTGCTACAACTTGGTGCTACAACTTGGTGCTACTATCCTTTGCACTGTTGATGGTAGCCCTCTATGGGAACTTCCCTCCCCGTGGGGCGTTTCTTTTAAATGTTAGAAGAACGGTGGGGAGGCTTACGCGGGATGGCACTTATATTGGGGCATGCCAAAATAACGCCAACGATACGATTTCGCACAATTGGTGATTTCACTCCATACGCATGTGTATACGCGTAGGATACCCCAAGCGTTAATAAAAAAGTGGCCATGAAAAAAAAAAGGAGGGTCCAAAAAACACAACAAAAAAAAGCGGCTAAAGGCTGAAACAAAAAGCCGCCTTTATTTTAACCTTTGGATAGCGCTTACATATACATGCATACTTAAGGGGGGAAACGCCAATGCGCATATGTAGCATAATATTACACGTCCGACTCTCCTCCAAGCGGATGACACAGTTATCAGGCTTATGCCCCATCGGGCTTGAAAAAGAAAGAAAAAATTAAAGCGAAAAAGCGACGAGTTGCCTAAGGAGGCGAGGGCTTCATCGGGCAAGGGTCGCCCACACGAAGGAAAAAAAAAATCCAGCACACGTTACAACGGCACGTTACGATGACACGTTACGATAACATTGCGCATTGCATACACCTGTTGTGCCCGCGGCGTACGAGAAAAAAAAAAGAAAAAAAAAAAACGTATATAATACCACTCCTTTTGGACGATCGTTCCTGTTCATTTTGTGTGGCCATACAACTTTTCCACATGGCGAAGTTACGAAATGAGAGAAATGAATAAACATGGCACACTGCTGGGAAGTATTCAAATGTGCTTACGTATCAGATTGCACTTTTTTTTTTTTGCTTCCCCCATGTTGCTACCATTTCGTGTCCATTGTGACGTCCGATCTCCGCATTTACGATTTACAAAATACAATTTATAAGTTGTACGGGGGGGGAAATAAAATACGCCGAGTGGTCCGGACAAGTCTACTCTTCTTTAAATTGCGACTAAAAAAAGATACAGCTAAGCTGGCATGGGGTGTCCTTGCCACGGAGTTGGGCAAAACGCAGAATAATATTATGTACGTGTATTTATGCAGCAAAAGGAAAAGATGCACCAGATAAACGAAAGGGAAGGGTCAGCACTTTTCTCGATTCGCCCCTCCGTAGAAGTAATTCTTTTTAGTCTACATTTATAACGCTCTACAATCATGCTGCCCACTTTTTGAAGCGTTTTTTTTTTCTTTTTTTTGCACACAATGGGCATATAATAAAAAAATGACACATAAGGGTAACCTTCACTTGGGAGGTACTTAAAGGTACTCTTCGGAAGGGGAGATCGTCACTAAAGGGAATAAGTTTATTGCCCCGCGGTGGGCGTGAAATTGCCCCTCAAACGGATAGAGATGCCTCTTCTTCGGGAGAAAAAAAGGAAGGTATAAATTTTGATTGTGCGTTTTCCTTCCCCCTGTCAACCTACTTGGACGTCTCCGGCCGGTATGGAATCCTTCCAGATGGAGGAAACTTAGGCCACAGGCAAAATAAATGCAACTCCCCCGTACGCAATTAAAAAAACGATCAATGGGTGCTGCGCTCAAGTGAGTACCACTCAATATGTACACACCATCTGTAATTCTACCCGTGCGCACAAGACCGTTCTGCGTAGCCCGCGTTGGTCATGTCTTCACCCAGAAAAAAACTGCTAATGATGCAAAAAAAAAAAAAAATAGCAAACCAGCTGCAAAAGCAACAGCACAGCCATTTACAAAAACGAAGTCGTCTTGTAACCCAAATGTGAAGAGGGCTATTTTGATTTAGAAAAATTGTCCGATTTTAAAAATGGAGAAAAAAACACAAATGGAAAAATTCTGTCAAAAAAAAAAAAAAAAACGAGTGGTTTGGAGAAAAATGTTCCAAAAAAGGGGGATGGAAAAGACTGGAGAGGAGATAGGCCGTTCCCTTATATCACGTCACCCCCCCAAGTGCGATAGCATCCAAGGCGGTGCCTCAACAGATGCTCGCAAGAAGAACTGAGTAATCTGTTCTGACGGGACTACGCCAATTAAAGTCCTATTCCCGCTTATCAGGCAGACTTTGCTGTAACGAACCCCCCCTGGTGAGCATACCGTAGAGGGGAGTGAATAACAATTGGTTAAAAAAAAGGAAAAGCGGGTTGGCCCAGTGGACTGGCAAAGCAAATTAGAAAATCGAATTGGCAACGCGAATTGGCAGAGTGGACTAGCAAAGTGGACTGGCAACGTGGAGTGGCAACCTGGACCGACGCAACGTCAGATAGGGGGGAAGTGCGCACACGTGATCGCCCCCCAGTTGGTTATTATCACCCGTTGCACATAGATGAAGATGCCCTGCGGGGTCCCTTCCTACGGGTCACTCCTTCATTTCAGAACGCAGCAGGTCAGGACTGGGGAGGGACTGAATCTGTGGAGGAGCACCCCCGCGCTTGGCATTCTGTATGTTATTATATATAGACAAGGATTGCGAAATTAAGCTGCTAATGTTGTTCAAATCAGCCGGAATGATAACCGTGTTGTTGTTTTTGCAGATGTTGGCGAAAACGTCAATGTACTGCTCAGCTATGAGAAGAGAAATTGCACTGTTAGAATCTAGCTTTTTAATTTTATTTGAAATAATTTCGATAGCTTCCGCGGTAGCATCTGCTTTGGCTTTGATTGCGAAAGATTGTCCCTCTGCAATAAGGATGGACTTTTTTTTCTTTCCAATGGCAATATTAATTTCGCTCTCTCTTTCTCCTTCACTTTGTAAAATCTCTGCCCGCTTCCTCCGTTCCGCTTCGGCTTGTTTCTCCATTGCATTCTTAATGTTGACTGGCAAGATTATGTCCCTAATTTCATACCGCATACACTTAATGCCCCAGTTTTTTGCCGACTCATTAATAGCTTTAACAATTTTTTCGTTTAAATTATCTCTCTCTAGAAAGGTCGCGTCTAGGGTAAGTTTCCCTAACTCCGATCTCATGGTAACTTGGGCTAACTGTGTCACGGCGAAAACAGCGTCTTCAATGCCGTACGAAGAGTTATACGGGTTGTCGCATTTTATGTAAAGAACCCCGTCAATGTTTAGAGTCACGTTGTCCTTAGTAATAGCCGTTTGGTTAGGAATAGTTATCGTTTCCTCCTTTAGCGAAAACACGTAAGCTATTTTGTCTATAAAGGGGATGATAAAATGGATACCTGCCAGTAACGTCTTTTTGTACTTCCCAAGACGCTCAATTATGTAGGCTGTTTGTTGTGGTATAATAACAATCCCTAAATTGCTCCACATTTTTTTGTTGTACTTTTTTCCATCGCTGCTGGTGTAGTAGGTACATCTGTGTTGATTGTGCAGCGCCCTTGCATGTGTTGTTGCGATTGCTCCATTTGGTACGCCTCTTCCACTGGCGTGCATGGTAGCAACTATCCGCTGCGTGTAGAAGCTTCTTGCCACACTCAGCTTCCTTTGGTTATCCCTCCCCCACGGGTACCTTCGCAGGAGGGCCTTTCCCCAGCCCCCTCCATTTGGTCCCATCATCTTGTTCGCCAAGTCAGCTCGCCCCAGGTTAGCTGACCCACGGGCATAGATTCACAAAAAAAAGAAAAAAAAAGAAGGCTCTTCGCTGAAACTACTCAGCTACTAATTTGCGCTATCTCGCAGCTTACATCCGATCTGTTTGACATTTCACATGGCAGAGATCAGCTCGTTTGTTCGCTGGCTCATTAGTTGGATTTTTTTTTTTTTTTTTTTCGGTCGATTGCATCCTAGTGCCCGCGGAGGGGATAACCTGTGTGGTATAGAAAACGGTTTGAAGCTTGCATAAGTTTATCCATTTAGGATGCTGGGCATGGCGGTTCCATCGGCGAAGGGGGAAGTGTACTTTTCTTCCCAAGTGCACGGGTGTAGAAGCGGTAAAGCGTATGCGGTGAACGGTATACACTACACGGTATGGGATACACAGCACGCGGAACGTGGATGCAGATCCGCATGCGCATGCGCGTATTCATGTGGACATATGCGTGGTGATGGCCCCCTCACAGTTTAGCAATCCATTTTTCCCGCCAAAGGAGCAACGGCACAACGAGCGTGCCTTTGGATCGGGAGTAAGCAGTGAAAAAAGGGTCTCCCCCTTGGGGGTGCAACAACGTCGCATTGGCAGGATAAATCGTGCAGAAGGATGAGTCACCTGTTCAGTCAGTTTAGAAGAAAAGGTCATTCTCACAGGGGTGCCTAAAACATTGGACTCTGAATCGTATGGTGGGAGCTGAACGAAAGGAAGTGAATTCGACACAGGTGTGAGTTCTACACAGGTGAGAATCCTACACAGGGGCGACGTTGCCCATTTAGGAATTCACTTGGACTATTTCGTCTAAGAAGCCCAAAAGGAGGGAAGTAAAAAAAAATGGAAGATATTCATCGGAGGGGAAAGGAGGCCTCCGAATTGTTCCACCTTAGCAGAATCAAAATCGAGTAGACATAAACTCAGCATCCAAAGGGGGGTTGCAGTGGTTGTAAATTCTCTGCTCGAGTGGAGAACCCCCTTTTATGTGCCATCACAAGCGAAAAATGGATAGGGTGAAGATAAAGCGGCGAAATGTGTTCTCTGAGCCATCTCCCCTGCATTTACTTCCCCTCCTTTGGCAGTGCTCATTTGAGAAGGCGTTTTTCTCAACCAAACGTGACTTCCCCATCTGAGTCGCCCTTTGAATGATCGTTGTGCTGGGGGGACACAATACAGAGAGATGTACCCCCTTTTTTACACGCAGGTAATTTAATATTCATCTTTTGGATGTGCCCCGTTTGGGAGAGAGTGACAAAAAAAAAAAAATAAAAAAAAAAGAGAAGTTCGCCATCCATTGGGTGGAAAATTATATAGAATATCACACGGGCGTCACGTGAACAAAAGTTAAGAGCTCAAAAATACAATTCGTCCAATAAGAGGATGTCGTTTTATTCGTGCGCGTCCATTTTAGGAGCACCAGGTTTGGTATGTATCCCGGTTTGTGCATCCGAAGGGGTGTTCCTTCCATGATGCGCGTTGTGCTTTATGTGAGGGGGGCGAGGAGAAGTGAGTGCAAAGCTGCTCGTAGGTATTAACAGTGCCATCCACCAGAAGGGGTGCTACCTTCCACCTGAAAGAGGGTTGCATTACATGTAGCAGTGTCCCTACCCCCCGGTTCGATCGGTGTCAGAGAGCCAACTGGAGGAAGTAATCAGGGTCAATGAAAGAGTTTCCCCGACCACTTATTTCTGTCATCTCTTTTGTATGCTTCATTCCTGTGGAAGGAGTTATGGTAGTGGGATGGACGCCATGCCTTTTGACGCTCTTAAAGTAACGTTCGTCGTTGTTTTCCTCGTCTTGGTTGAACCTCTCTTTGCTGAGCATTCTCCATTTGGCAAGCAACATATTAATGTCATGAAGGTCCACTTCCTCCACGGGGATGCTAAGAGCGACACTTATAATTTCCCTCATATGGCTGTACAGCTGCTCCACAGTGGATTTTTCCTTTTCGTAACTTTTTTGGAAACTCTTGAATGCATTGGTTCGAGCGAGGAATTTCAATCTGTTTATTTTTTGCACATCCGTGTTGTCCACCATTTTGTTTTTTATTTTGTCCGGCAGGTCGTCATAGAGGACGGGGGGGTCCTCCCTTTTCAGAGGTACGCTGAGTACCTCCTGCATGATGTAATAGTTATCCTCCTCCTCGGAGTTGGAAGCCCGTTTTAAATGCGCCTGGCTTGTTAATGTCTTTTTCGAGGGGGGGTGGCTGAACATGTGGGCCGTGGTGGATACGGCCATCCAGAAGCAGGCGAGAAGGCAGAGTAGCAAGGTGGTCATGTTGATTTGAGACGTTTAGGACGCTTTGGCGCAGAGGGGAGGAAAGACGCTTCACTTACGCACAAAAAAAAGAGGGAGAGGTACAAACGCGCTCAGGTGCAACTCCTAGGCGCTCGAAGGGACCTCCTGCTGGCGGCCACGGGGGTGAGTCTACATCCACCCGAAATGCCTTTACGGAAAAAATAAAAACAAAATAAACTGCAACAAATTAAGGGGAAATAAAATAAAGTAAAATAAAACGACGCTGCAAAGGATGAACGGCATGTGTGAGCACAAAGGGGAGACACAAATGTGTTAGCGTTAACGCTGGGGGAAAGTTAACCGACTGATCTTCGCCAAAAAAAAAAAAAAAAAAAAGGGGAAAATTGCACACTCGCGGAAAAAGGAAGCCTCTCTCCCCGCCACACCCGCTGGCATCCTCCACATATAGGTAGCCTACATAGGTTCCCCACATGGGGGCCCCACATAGCTGTCCCACTTCGGTGGGCGAACTGCTCACATGGGACGACCTACGTGTCAGCCAGTGCCCTATGGAGGGGATACTCCTGCTCAAATCTCTTGTTAGCAAAACGGATGGTACCCTTCCTATATCTGTGTGTGCTTTTTTTTTCCTGGATGGGCACCTCACCGTCCAGTGTTAATTCATTAAAGCCAAAAAAAGGAACACTGTTGTGATACTTGACCAAGGAAATCTTGTATGTGTCCTTCAATCCAGTTGTGTTTAAAATGGCCTTACAAAATTGGTGGTAGTCGATAATATGAAACAGATCATGTTGCTTAATGACATTCCTTGCAAGAGCGTTTGCGATCCTGTCATCCTCGAAATTGAATTTTCTCTTGGCATGGTTCAGCGCTCTGGCAGCTCTGTTAAAGTCACATGGCTCGAAGTACTTAATATTCCCGTGCATATGTTTGCACATAATTTGAAAAGAATCCTGATCCAGCAATTCATGAAACGAGAGAATCTCCAACAACCTAGGAACATCATACATCATTTTGGAATATCTATTTTCTGCCTTCTTGACAACGTCGTTTACTCGAAATAGGAACTCCTTTTTGGTGCTCCTATTTGTCGTCCCTTTATGTACAAAGGAAGAGAACTTGGTTAAGGTATCCATGTTTAAAATGGATGCATTTTGATATATGTGTGGCATCATTTTTTTGTAAATCCTGTTGATTGCTCCGTAGTGTTGTGGTAGTGTGGACGAGAAGAGATACCCGAGTGTGCAAAGAACTCCGGGAGGGTAATCATACGTGTATATCGCTACATGTCTGAGAATGTGCTCAAATAGGATTACGTCGTTTATTTTTAATTTACAAAATGAGGTGGCAATTTTCTCTAGGAGGTAGGGATTCAGGACGTTCCTGTGTGGATCTTTCAGCATGTACATGGTGAGTCTGCTGACGTAGTCAAAGAAGAGGTAGTTTTGGAATTTGAGGCTTGCGAAGGAGACCGCTATGTCGACTAGGCTCTCCATTTGGGGGTAGTAGCAGAATTGCCCCCGCTTGTGCTGCACGAGGCTGTTGTCCGCGGCGAGGCCGCGCACTAGAGGGGCTTCTTCCCCGACAGCAGCAGTGTCTGCTACGAATGATTCTATCGCCGATTCTGCCCACGATTCTTCCCCCGCATTGTACTCGCCGAGTCGGCCTCCGCTCCGCTCGTTGCACAGCTTAATCCTAAGCATAACCTCATCCGCCACTACACTGAGGAACAGAAAGTCGTGAATCATGCAGGACGCATAGCTCTGCGCGATTACAGACAATTGCGAAAATGAGAGTGTGCGCACGTGGGGTTTCAGCTGGTCCCTAATTCTGCAGAACAGTTCCTTGTCTTGCAGCTCACAAAGGGCAAAACTTCGCAAAATTAAAATCAACTGATGAGGAAGATAGCAATTTAATCGATGGCTTATCATTTTAGTCATACCTTCTAACTGAGCTGTGGCTTTTAATCTTCCATAATAGTAGCATATTCTAGGGAGATTCAGAAAGGTATTAATTTTGTTCTGTACTCTGGAGGTGATTAATTTGAATCTCCAATCGTTGGTGGAACAGGTCCCCACGTCGACTAACCTCTTCAGAACCTTTAAATAATGATACGATTTTTTTCTCTTGTGTCGATAGTACACCCAGACATTTAAAACCTCGTCTGATGTTGTGGCTTGCGCGATTTTTTTGGGGAGCAGCCACTGCCAGCTGCAGGACGCTTTTTTTTCTGAATACGTGGGCTCATAGTTGAAAATGAGTCTCTGTGTGTTTTCGATACTCCTTGGGGGTTTGAACCTTTCGACGTACTTGCTCCATGATCCCTTGCCCACTCGCTTGTGGAACCGGTAGTAAGCGAATCGCTGTACAGGGGGGAGGGGAAGCGGGGATGTCATCAGGGGGGGTTCTCTTAACGATAGGACGTGATAGACGTGCTCTTGTCAAACCACACGCGCTACCTACTCTCTACGCGGAGCGCTCACATCTCGGCGCTCCCACATGTGTACACGCGTTAGTATAACTCGCAAAGAGAACCTTCTGGGTGTGGAATAGGGGCCTTCTCCTGACGCTGGTGATGGAGGGAATGAGATCTCCGAACATTTTCCTTTCTTCGGGGAGATGGCGGGGGGGTGGGGTCTAGAAGAAACTTTTCCGGGGGGTGTTCCTGCAGAAGCTCCACTACCAGGCCTTTGAATTATCAATTTGTGCATAGGCCCCTATGTATGTACGTACGTATGTATGTAATGAGAGCATCTATATATATTTGCAGTGGTGCGATGGCATCGCCATTTTTTTTCTTGTTTCTGGTCCAGGTGGATCGGAACGGGTTGACGATTTTCTCCTTTCACGTTTGGTTCTCTTTCTGTTATTTGCACAGCGGGGACTGAGCGCATGAATTTTTTTTTTTTTCTTTTTTTTTCCATCACATTCGAAGCGCTTAAAACAGATGAGCCATACACCTTTGCGAACGAGTGGTACCCCGTATGGTTAGTGTTTTTTTTTTTTCTTCTTTACCCGTGCGAGACCTAATTCGCAGCGTAGTTTGGCGAGGTCTCGAGCAGGCATATACGGACAGCGTCCGAGGGTGAATGCGTCTGTTTGTTGGCTTCCCCAATTGGTGAACGCGTTGCATCGCATCCCGCGCCAGCAGTGTTGCCACCCTGCGCAAAATGAACCTGGAGGAGTTCAACGCGCTGGTGAAGGAGAGAGACGAAATTGAGCAGGAGATTAAGGAGAATGTGGAATTCCTGGAGGCCCCCGAAAACAAAAGCGTGGGCATGAAGGGCAAGCTGATAGATGAAGAAGGGTTCCCCAGAAACGACATTGACATATATAGCATCCGAGTTGCAAGGAACAAGGTGATCTGCTTAAAAAACGATTACTTAAATGTGAACAAAAGAATCGAAGAATACCTCCACAAGGTTCACACATCCCACCCCATCATACGAGTACAGAGGAGTAAGGGAAAAGACGAACAAGGAAATGACCCGAATGAATCTTCTCCAGAAAGTCACGTAGAAGATTATGATGAGTCAGCACCAGATTATGAAGCCCTAATCGAAGAAGCCAAAAGAAGTACCTTTGCCATGATCGATGATATGGTGGAGAATTCCCCTTCACATAAGGCAGGGCTACGCATAAATGATTATGTAATTCAGTTCGGTGATATACGAAAAAAAAAAAGTGATGAGAATGAGAATGGGAATGGGAATGAAAAGGACAATGCAGACATCTTCAAAAGAATTGCAGCTTACATGAGTAACAATCCCACCAGAATTAAAGTCAAAATTTTGAGAGAGCGGAAGATTCTGTTTTATTTTGTTTTTCCCAATAAGACAGCCAATGGGTTATACATTGGCTGTCACCTGACGCCAACCAGGGGGGTAGTAGTGTAAGGGGATTCCCATCAGGTGAGAAGATGCCACAAGATGAGATGATGTACAAAAGGGGGATCGATAAAAAGGGAAGACGTCACAAGACAAAGTGGTCGCTTCTTCGTTGTCGCTACATCATGATGATGGCGACATCAGATTCGGGGAAAGGAGAAAAGGGTGTCTGTGAGGGGGAAGACAAAACAGCTTCGAATTGACTCGTCAGGAGAAAGTAACGTTACGTTGTTCATGCGTGCCTTGACTGAGTGATGGTCTAATCGTTCATTTCGCATGGCACTATTCAAGTGCACATACTATTTATATCTGTGCGCACCTGTTGGAAGTGTTCCTCATCGAAACGCTATCTCCCGTGTTGGGGGAGGGGCGCAAAAGTTCGTCCGGAGGATCTCACAAAAGGCCGCACAGATTCTCTATGTCAAGAATGAAGTGTTCAAAGCTCCCGAGCTTGCAATTCAACTTTTTGGCGATCCTGCGATGAGGGCAAGTGGCGCGGTGTGAAGTATGCGCGGGAGCAACCGATAAAGTAGCGCGTAGCTCATGCACTAGGTGGATGTGCTGCACCGGGAGGATCTGCTCCTCATGTTACACTTCGCTTCGACGCCGCTTCGCCTCCGCGTTAGCACCGCGTGAAGGCCCCTCCTCACGTTCGCACTTACCATTTGGCGTAAATGTACGTCTTCAGCTGCCGCTCGAAGGGAAGGTAAAAGAACATCTTAAAGAGTTCCCCGTCCACTACACCTTTGCAGTTTTTGGAGGCCAAGCTGACTTTATACTCTCGGTATGAGCTGTGGCTCAAATTCCCGAGGGACGATATGTTGTCGTTTATGGCAATTTCGATGCACAAGGCCCTCTTAAACTGTAGGAAGTTGGAAAACGGAATGAGGCCGCTGATCGAGCCTTCGCTGGAGGCACACAGGATGCTTCGCTCCTTCTGCACAATTTCGTTTCGGCGCTCTTCACTGAATGGGAGAAGACGGAAGACGATGAAGCGTGGCAGGGGTAAAACGAGGAAAAGGTGAAACTCGGAAAGGGTGAATTCTCTTTCGTGACTTTGCACCAAGTGAGTACATCGTGTAGAGTTGCCTTTTTTGTCCATTTCTACTTCTATTTTTTTTTCTCTTTTTTTTTTTCTTTTTTTTTTGCTTCTCCCGATTCGTACTCGTCGACCAGGTTCCTCAAGGAGGTGGATAACATTTTGTTGACGACGCTCCCGTGGTTGAATTGTGAAACCAACTGCAGTTTGGGGGAGAGAGCGGCGGAATGGATGCAGTGACACGGGGGCACACGTATGTGATGTGCACATGAGGAAGCACTGCTATGTGTATATACGAACGCATGTGCACATAGGCACTCGCCTCTTTACCGATAGCTTGAAAGACTCTTCGTCGTTGAACTTAATGTTTGACCTGCGTAAAAAAAAACGTTTCCCAGTGGAATTACGGGTCCATTGAGCGCGTGGCGAGTTCTGCCCCCGGTGAGTGTTTGATAAGTGAGCCGGTTTCCTCGACCAATTCGAGACGTGCTTCTTCCGCTTGGTGCTCTTTTTTTCTCTTTTTTTTTTTTTTACTTTTGCAAGACGAGGAAGTTGGACTCCATGTCTGAGACCAGAAAGTGGTTCTCCGACAGGGCACTGACGGATCTGTGGAAACGCGGTGCGGGAAAGGAAGGAAGCGAATTGGGGTGTAGCATGATGGGTGTAGCATGATTGGGGTAGCATGTTGGGGTAGCTGGAGGCGCGAAGGTTTATCAGGGTGCACGGGGGCGACGTGCCTACTTTGGCTAGCTAATCCACTTACGTGCACCAAATGTTCGCGTAGTCCCTGCACACTTCATCGAGAATGGCCTACAAATGGGGGGCACAAAGAAGAAATGCGTCACATCAGATGCGCACCTCTGCGAATGTTCCTTTTTTGGGGGGAGAGGTCCTTCGAACGGCGAAACTGATCCGCCAGGCTAAGAGTTTTTTTTTTTTTTTTTCCTACATTTTCGAAATCGTAAGACAAGAGGGTCACTGACGTCATGATGTCCCCGACGAGGACGTAGTTTTTTCTGCAGGGGGGTGGAAACATTAACAGGGGTTGTCCCAATTGGCAGTACACCACAGCACGCATGTACCACCCGCTGAGTTCCTTACACAACGTCCAGACTCATAATCCAGGAGCTCGGCGTAAAGGAGGCCACCTCCAGGAAGGCATCGTTGCTTTCTATTTTCTGCGCCGGGGAGGGGGGGGAAGAAAGGTGATGAGAACAGGACGAAATTGGGGTCAGAATGATGTGAACGTTAAGCAGAATGGCGTGAACTTTGGCCAACTTGGCGCGTGGGCGAGATGAGTGCCCGAGAGGCGTCCCTTACGATGGCTTTGCTGGAGTTGTAGATGTATCTGCCTAAGTTGGTCAGAAAGTTTCCGATGTCGAGGATGACGACCTGGTGGAAATAAATGGGCGTAAATAAAGCGACGCAAATAAAGCAGCGTAAATAAAGCGGCGGAGAAGAGGCAGGGGCAAGTCCCATGTGTCTGGTACGCCTTCCTGGTCTGCCACGTGTGCAGCGCGGTAACCCCTTACCGTGTTGTTCACCGCCGCGACGATCTTGTCGCGGAACTGCTTCAAGTGGGTAATCCCGCCGCAGTTCACATTGTACGTGTAAATGTGCTTGATTTCGAACTGGTTGGTCTTCTTCTTGGCCACGAAGACGTATATGTGGCCGGAGCAGGGCTCCGTGATGCGCTCGTTGTTATTGGCGGTGCCCACGCAGATCAGTGTGCGAACGGGGGGGCTGACAGGCCGGTCGTCCCGGTTGGTCCGATCCATCTGGTTCATTTCATCCATAGAGTGACCTCTGCCTGGGGAAGGGCTCGGCGGCAATTCATAAATGCATATGCTGGAGACGCTAAACTTGGAGGGAATGATATAGGAATACTTGAACGAATTCTGGAAGGGGTCGAAGAAGCAGACGATTTGCTTCATCATCTGGTTGGTCTTGTGTTTCTCCTCCACAGGACAAGCCGTGATTAGCAAACCCGTATCATCGTGGTAGGCAATTTTCTCAACGGTCCTATGGAAGGGGATTCTCTCCATGAACGTCTTCTTCATCTCGTTTAGATACGAAATGCACACTTTATATCCATCGAAAAAGATGAAGTAGCAGTTGTTCTGATTTTTTTTTTTAAATGACAGAAAGTTATGAAAAGGGTTCAGATAATTGAAGTCGCTAAACATGTCCACGAGGTGTACATTCCTAATGGAGAGTTTCGAGATGGACAATTTCTTCTTCAGTGTCGAGTAAATAATAATAGGTTTGTCACAGCAGACGAAGAGGAAATTGCATCTCTTCGTTAGGTTACTCATGTTCATATGAATTTGATTTTTTTCCGACTGAACTTTTAAAAAAGTTTTGAACCTTACTGGACTTTTGGTACATGTGGAAATTCTTCTCCTCTTGGTTAAGAGGATTTTTTCACTTTGCACGACGTACTTTTTTAGATACATTTTTTCATCAAAGAGGATGTTGTTAAGATTTTTAAAACACACAGATGCATCTGATGATATTTCTGCATCTACTTGTGCATCGACATCACTATATTTTCCTGAACCCATTTGTTTTTCTCGGACGTAGACATCGTTATATTGTTTTTTTATTTTCCTTTGGAAGATGTCACTGAGGATTTCTTCTTTTTCCTTCATCTGCTTCAGTTCTCTTTTCGTTAATTTCGTTTTGTTCTTCTTCATTTCTTCCAGCAGGTGCTCTTCATTATTTATGTCCGTTTTGTGGGGCGCGCCGCGCGAGCGGGGACGGCGACGTTGGTTTCCATCAGTGGGGGGAGAGTCAGACTCGATATCAGTGGAGTGGCAATCAGACTGCTCATTTGTGAATCGGCAGTCAGACTCGTTATCAGTGGAGTGGCAGTCAGACTGCTCATCAGTGGAGCTCTCCTCCTCTTTGCACACTTTCCTTCCCCCAAGATTTGCATTCCTCGGGTGCAGTTTATCCTTTCCCTTCTTCGTCTCTCTTGTCACTGAGGTGCGATCCCCCGTCCATCCCTCCTCCTTTGTCCCTTTCCTTTCTGGGTCACCCGCACTCATTTTGTCCACTGAGGTGGAAATCCTGGGAACCTTCAGCTTCGCCTCTCCGTGCGAAGATCTCCTTCTTCCATCGTGGGTAGAGGCGGAGGCAGAGTGATCGCTAACCATTCCGTGGTTTAAATCGATGGCCTTCCTCACTGCTGAAGTGGACACATCGTTGCCATCTGCGTTAGAATCAGACGATGCGCTTGGGAGAGTTGGAGTTTTGCTCAATGGTTTGTGCTCCTTCCAGGAGGTGCGCTTCCTCTCCCCCGAGGTGGGCTTACCTGCCGGATGGTTCCGCTTGCCTGCCACATTGTTGCGCGTATCCCCTTGACAGCTACGCACATCATCGCGAAAGATATACTTGCTGCTTCTGCTGCTTCTCCCATCGCAGTAACTGCTTCCACAGTTTGGAGTCTCCCTGGCATGAGGTAGCTTCCTCCTCTGCTTCATTTTCGTGTCTAACATTTCGAAGGTGCGAAAGCTCAACACGTCTTCCTCAGAAGATTCTTCGGATGACATGCCATAAATTTGAAAAAACTGAAAATAGTATTTTGCCTTCTTCCGGTGGAGACTCATTTCTTTGTGATGGCTTTTACCATTTAGTTTTCTCCTGAAGGGCTTGTTCGTCAACCTGGATGGTACGCCTGGACATTTAACGTACTGGCTGTATTGGGTGAACTGGTTCGCGTCGTCAGGAGGGTTGTCCTCATCCTGTTGTGCGATCCGGTCATCTTTTTGTGTGATGCCCTCACGGGGATATATCCATTTTTTACAGTTCGATCTATGTGCAATGGAGTTGCCCTTCCTCTCCGTGTGCGCATCGCCTTGTTGGGGGCCGTTTCCACCCCCCCGCCGAGTGGATTCGCCTGTACCTGAGTCGGCCTCCTCAGCTAGCACCTTCCCCGAGTGGCGCCATTGCAGAATGTCCTCCATGCCGACAAAAGTGTCCGATTCAGGGTAGACATGGTGAAACAAATCATAATCCAACAATATTTCATCCTCCTGGTCCCTGACACATAGGCTATGTAAGTCGGACAAATTGGTAAAGACATTTTTTTCATTGTTGAAGTAGGGAAGTACATTGGAATGCGTTTCGGACATGTACCTGATTAAATCCCTTTTGTATTTCTTTTCCTTTTTCTGCTTCTGCATAGTGTCTGTAATTTTAATTTTGTAACTCTGCGTCGGTTGCTTCTCCTCTCTGTTAATGAGTTCGTCGCGATAAATGCATCGTAAGCTTTCCTCTTTTTTTTTCAAGTAGGACTTGTGAAGCCGGAACAGGTTATCGTGGGTTCGGCGCCTATGTGGTGGTCCCTCTGAGTGGGCGAGATGGTTCTTCGATTGGCCCCTCTTTTTGCTTCCACTTTTGGCTCCCTTGCTGGCTCCATTTTTACCTCCTTTTTTGCCTCCGCCTCTTGACTGATCATCCACATGAGCTACCTCGACCCCCCTCCTATCCGCACAGAGAAGAAAATATTCCACAACCCCGTTGCTGTACCCAACAAAGAGGTACACGTTGTCGTTAAGGTCTAGAACTTGGACGTCTGATATGAAGACGAAGTAGTCCAGCGAGGGGGTGTAGAGGTTGGCCTTGACGAAGATGCCCCTGCCGTTCGGCTTCTCATCGCAGTTCAGCGCCTTGTTCAGGGCGTGGTTTTTCTTCTCATTTTGCTGCTGCCCCTTTTTCTTCTCCTCGAGCGACGCGCCGTCCGCTAGAGACCTCCGAGCCGCAATTCTAATTCGGTCCAGGGCCCCATGGTCTATATTAAACAGGACCACTTCCCTACTGTTCAGCACACATACCATCAAGCTTTTGTAAACCACGAGGGAGCTAATCGTTTCGTTCACCTCGTGGGTGTGTAAAAGCTGAAGGTACTTCTCCTCAACGGAGTAGATTTCGATACCCCTGTCACAATAAACATAGAAGTAGTCATTATATACGCAGAACCTAAAAATGTAGTCCTTCTCTAGCTGGTATACCATCTTTAGAGATAAACAGCAAAGCAGATTGATGTGCCGATTGGTGACTTGCACGAGATAGGGGAAATTCTTTAACACATTAAAGTGTATAGTGTTGCTCCTGAGATCCACGTCAACATCTTTATATTCACAGAGGCAGATTTGGTTCTGCTTGTTGGAGGGTCTTCCACAGGGAAAGAAGTAATCATTCGGGAAGTACTCATTCGTGTGGTTGAACGGTGCGGCATCATCATCATCGTTATCGCCATTATTATCATTATCATCATCGTCCTCCTCCTCCTCATCATAGTGGTGGTACTTCTTCTGACGATATGGAGGTTCCCCGAAATTTGAAGTGGCCCCCTTTGGAACACCACGTCTGTTCCTGTCAGCCCTTTCTCCGGGTGTCTCCCGACACACGCCGACGACCTTGGTGTGAAATCCGTAAGACAAACAAATGATGAAGATGTGAAAATAAATAAAATTAGCATAATTCAAAACTTCAATTTCGTTTTCGTTCTGGAAGTAATACTTATTTAGAAAGCACAAATTGATGTCCTTTATTTCGACACTGTTTTTTTCATTTAAGTAGGCGAATGCTTGGAAGTTCAGGGGGGGCTTCTTCTTTCCTTTTTCTTCATTATGGGTGTGAAATATACCGTTTCGTGGAAACTGCTCCTGGTTCAGATGATCGGGGTTTAGGGATCCATTCTTATCCCCTCGTGACTTCTCATCCCCGTGGATGTGTCTCTTCTGTAACGTGCCCCCTCCGGGACGATCTTCCCCCCCAGGAGTCCCCCTGGGGGAAGTTTTCCTGAGGTGGATAACATACTTGACGACGAAGATGTTGGTAATCTTCCCAAAGTTGAGCTTTGAAATGATGTCTACTTTCATCCCATTCCTAATGATCGATATACATCCGGTTCGTCCATAACTGTTGCAAGTGATAATCTCCTTCTCGTCATTCTTATTTTTCACGACACAGAAATCTAGGATGGGTCCCATGTTTTGTATGACCGATAAAATTTCGATGAAAAATTTTTTTTTTTTTTTTTTTTTTTCCTTCATGGGATTTTTGGTGTGTACAAGTGCGCCTCCCTCTTCTGTGTTAAGACCGGCGCTCTCCAGACACGTTACGCTCGCGTATTCGCTGCGGTTTCGGATCACATTTTCGTCGTAGCTGTGGTGTGGGAGCATATTTCCCTGGTATCTGTGGCTGAATCCGCAACTTTCGTTAGCGCTTTGGGGGAACAGGGTGTGCTCCGAGCACGCATCACCCTTGAGAAGGGCTTCGTGGTGCGATATACCCTCAAGATGGGAAAATCGGGTGTTCGCTCCATTCGCCTCGTCGGCCCCGTTCGTTGCATCCCATCTAGGGAGCTGCCCCCCAAGGGAGCCTCCATTCTCATCATACAAGTTATGATCAACCGCTCCCCCTCCGACATGTCTGTCGCTTAGCAGATAGTCGAAATCACTGTGGGTCGGGAGGGAGGGAGGCTCCACGGGGTTGTAGTCTTCGTACTCACATACAGGATAATTGTGCATGAGCAGCAGATAGCTGTCACTGACTTGGGAGCCCAGAAAGATGATGTCGGGGAAGAGGGAGACGATTACGTTGGACCTGGAGCAGGTGCCTATGAACTGCAGGGTAATGGAGCTGATGCAGCTGTTGATGTAGCTGTTGTTGCAACTGCTGATGCTCCTCCTCACGCGGTCGTTCACGTCGTGGCCTTGGTGGATGCCTTCGCGCATTTCCCCCATTTCGAAGCACATGGAAGGGCCTACCGCCGGGGAGATACCCGCATTACTACAATCATTCTTCATTCTGAGCGAAGACGGATTGGATTCATACAGACAAGTTAAAATAAAGAGGTCCCCATAATCGTCGGATAAAATGAATTTATTCCTATTTAAGTGTTCAATGCACCGAATGGTTCTTAACTCGGAGCTCAGGAAAAAGTTCCTGTCTTTGTCCGTTTCTAAGTTAACATAGCTAATGAACTGGAAGCCCACCAACATGAGCTTATTTCTGGCGAAACAGAGGAGCTTGTTTATGCTTGAGTCGACTACTACGGGTTTGTAGTACATGAGATGGATACACTTCTCTGCATCCTTGGGTTCCCTTGTAGAATTGACTTCGCTGTTTTGTGGGTAGGAAGTACCACTAGTCTGAACATAACCGTATTCACTGAACCCATTTTTTACGCGTGGGTTCATAGATGTACTGGTTTCACTTAAACTGCTGGGACGCTGCTCATCATTTACAGAATATAGACGGATCAGTCTTATGTACCTCTCGTAGGTAGTGGATTCCTTTTTCTTCGCGTCATACAGGACACAGATCGTGGCGCTTACTTTGCTTTTCTGTTTTTTCCTTGCCTTGTGATGACTTCCAAACGTTTCGTTGTTTTTTCTCGATCGGTTATTTCCACGATGTATGTCATCCGAAAAGCTATCCGCAAAAAAACTATCCATAAAGGGGTCCATTTGGGGAGATCCATCCTGAGTCTGATTCTCAGTTTCGCATGTCCATTCACTGAGCCGTTTATTCAACCCAAGATTTGATGTGCCCCATTCTTCGCCTCTCGAGAAACTTCCGTTCACGGACACGTCGTGATCAAGGGACGCCGTCTTATCTGCGTACTGTCTCTTGATTTGTTCTACGGTGGTGTATTGCCCATCGATAACATTGCTCCTACTCTCCTGTTTAATAGTTCCATCCGGGGCATTGCTTCTCCCTTCGGTCTTAATGTCAGTTCTTAAGTCAGTGGTGAAATGATCACCCCTCTTTTTGGTGGTGCTTCGGTGGGGGTCTCCCTTTGCAGTGAGGTTTGGCTCAGCTGCATACTCGTCATGTGTGTCGGTGCTGTGCTTGCTGGTGCTTAGCTGGAAGGGGTTCATTTGATCCTTGCCTTCCCCCGCTCCACCGCTTCTTCCTCCACTGCTTCCCCTCCCCTGTTTGAACTTCAAAAAAATGATGTCTATGACCAGGCCCTCATCCAGCCTCAAGGTGTAGATGTGGCTTAAATTAAAATAGTCGTCATAGTCTATGTGTATATACTTTAAGATACCTTTGTACCCATAGAATAGGAGAGTCCTGTTGCGATCGTCCAACAGGAGAGTAATATCTTCTTCTATGTTCATGCCATTTCTTTCGTGTAAATTAACTTGCGAGATGGTTACAAAATCGTTGAGCTTCACATCGAAATGGAGAAGCAGTAAGTTGTACTTCCTCGTTAGTAAAAAAACATACGATTTTATATTTTCCTTTGTTTCTGAATCAGCTAGCTTTTCTGGGATGTATTCTCTCAACTCTAGGATCTCTGCAAAGACTGCATGCTTGCTGTAGTCACTTGTGTAGCCATCCTTATCTACTGAACACACGTTGAGGTAGTTGCTGCAAGCGTATAGTAAATACTTTTTTCTGTTTCCTTTTATGTTTGTGTAGATCGCCGTTCTGATGGACTGACTCGGGATGATGTTGTTGTAAAAGTTGTACAGGCCCACGTTGTCGAGCCCCCTTTTCATGTCCTCCGTACGTCCATCCGGCGCACTTGAATGCATTGTCACAAAAGGGGGGGGAGGACTTCACTCCGCCGTCGTTTCTTTTCCGTGTTTTTTTTCTACGCACAGGGTTATTTCCTTTTTTTTGTCACTTGTTCTTCAAATAGGTGCTATTACAGCTGGCCCTCCTATGTAGGCACAGGCGTGCGGAGAACCAAGCGCGTAGGAAATGAATCGGCTAGAAAGTGAATCAGATAGGAAGTGAATCGGATAGGAAGTGAATCGGATAGGAAGTGAATCGGATAGGAAGTGAATCGGCTAGGCAAAGAATCGACTAGACAAAAAATCGACTAGAAAAAAAATCGACTAGAAAAAAAATCGTCTAGGCAAAAATTCGAGTGAGAAAAAACCTCCCCCTCCCAGTGTTGTAATCCCTTGCACCACGAACGCTTCCCTTCTTCGCTTACGTCGCGGTTCTGGTGTTTGCCCTTATGGCACCTCTCACCGGGGTGACACGGACGTTAGTAGGTCTATGCGTTCACGTCACCGGAATCCGCGCACATAGCGTTGAAGAGCCACTTACTGGAAATGCAAATAAAAACACACCTGTGCGTCATGAGGGAGGGGACGCACGAATGGATGGAGTTGGTGGGCCGGGCGTATTGCGTTGGCATATGCACTAATGGGGGGGGGGGAAAGGGTACGTAAAAAAGGGGGGCCAAGTGTGAATAATCCGGTGAGCGAGAGATTAATCTGGTTGATGAGAGATTAATCCTGTCGGCGAGAAACTCATCGAGTCGTCGCGAGACTAATAGGATCGACGAGGCAGTGATCGGTCCACGCAGTATCCCCCGGGAAAGTTAAAAACGCGTGAAGTAGAAAGGTGGGGTAGTGTGTAATTTCCCTTTGCGCAAAAATAGATTAATGCAAATATGATGAAGCTTATTTTATTTTTTTTTCCTTTTCGGAGGGGAATACACAAGTATGCAAGTTTACATGAAGCTGGTGTTTTTCAAGATCAGTGCCAAGAATGCTGGTGCAAAATCGACGAACTGCTTAACCGTTGGAGTGTAACTCCTGTCCCATTTGGCATGTAACTTCGTTTCCTGTTGGTGCTATTCACCGTCACAGAAGGGAGAACTGGGGGCTCGATTTGTTGGGCAAGTCTGAGCACTCAAGAAAAAAAAAAAAAGGCACATGGAGTAAAAATGATAAACCAGGGAAACGCAAAAGTGCAAGGCAAAGGCGCAGAAAGAAAATGCAAAAAAAAATGCAAACATGGTAAGTAGGGCAGAGGAACAAAGCAGGTGCAACGCGTTGGTCGCGCAAATATAAACCTAAAAAAGCAAAAGCGTGTTTACAGAATGGATAAGTTTAATGTGCAATTTAATTCTCTACCGCGTTCAGGTGATCGTTCATCTTGGTCTCGGGAAAAAGGAACCAAGGACTGAGTCGGTGGTGAACGCAGGATATATGCCCAGGGTAGGCATAACAGGGCGAGTGCACAAAAAAGGCACAGGTAAATAGGCGTACACCAGGGGGCACCTGTAGGAGTATTCAAAATGGGCATCAATCGGGGTACGCAAAATGACAGCAAATCGGGGTACGCAAAATGACAGCAAATCGGGGTACGCAAAATGACAGCAAATCGGGGTACGCAAAATGATAGCTAATTGGAATATGCAAAATGACCGCAAAACGCAGCAACGTCCCCGCTTGGAAAACATTTTTTCGGCAGTCCCGTTGCATACTCCGTATGATTTCAATCAACGAATGGATCATCACCTCCGATTTTGTGCGTCTGGAATGCGTTGCATCCTTTTCTTAGGTGATGTGACACCTACGAGTGAGAAAAAAAAAAAAAAAATGTCCCATTGTACGTTTAACAAATGTAGAGAGATATACTCCGTAGTTTAGCTTAAAATTTTACGTGATTGAATTTTTAGTGACACGTCTATCGCTCACCCCAATAGGCCTTCCTCGCACAAACAAAAAAGAAGAAAACATGTCCAATCTGCGGCAACTTCGATGGTCATATATAAGTATTGCCCAACATCCCGATTTGCACAAAGGCGCATGTATAAGCTGGAGTATGTTGCTCCTCCCAGAGCTTTCCCTCTTTTGCGCGAAGCAAAGATGTAAAAAAAGCGATTACGTATGGTTGTTACCTTTATTTTCGTATAAAATTTGCTCAATTGGGAGGTACACAATTTTGCGAGCGTAGGTATACCCAGCGTGTAGCCTTTTTTCCTTAGCCTAGCCAGTGCTATGGCGAGGTACTGTCCCCATTGGTGAATTGCAAAGGGGGGTATACTTCATCACAAGAAGAAGTCCATTACGTATATTTTTTTTCGAAATTTTGTACCGTTTTTGAGGCATTTCAAACGGGTTACCCCCCCCTGGGTTACACCTTTTACGCATTTTTAGCAACGCAGGATGGGCTATGAAAGCAAGGCGCGCAACTCATGGGGGATGTACCCCTTGAACGGAATACTCCCAAATTTACAGAATTTGGGCATGTCCCTCTTATGAGCACGTACGTATACAGCCGTACTTGCGCTCATTGGTACTTATTCATACTTAATTATACTTATATGCTTACTAGCCTTTCAGTTAATTTATCTTTAAATGGGGGAAAAAAAAAAGGGGAAAAACCTCTGCAATCATTTCATAAAACGTTTCACGCCGTGTGCACAGGAAATATAGAATGTGCAATTTTTACTCATTCGCACATGTAGGTATACATTCGTAAACACTATACTCCGTGTAGTTAAAACAGAACAAATTGTTTTCTGGCACTTCCAAAGATTTGGTGCTTCTCCACATGCAACACGTTGAATCGTACAGTTTTGGACAAGGGTCTGCAAAATTGGTGGAAAAAAAAAAAAAAGAAAAAAATTAAAACGTGCAAAGTGGAAGCATATGTGCTTCACTCGAAAGTATGTATAAAATCCAAATTTTACACACAAGTTGCCGCAAAATAAAAAAGGAATGCAAAAGGTCTCTGTTCTAAATTAAAGCAGCGTTTTGTACATAAGTAAACTGTTCAGTTCATAGACTACGCAACGCGCCCAATGCGCAAAAAATTGTGTTACCTGCACTGTCCGACGGTGACGATGTCTCCTTCCTTCACGTCGAAACATGGAGAGCAGTGGCATGGGATGTTCTTATGTCTCTTTTCAAATCGGTTGTACTTTTTTACATAGTGTAGGTAATTTCTTCTTATGATAATTGTTCTCTTCATTTTGCTCGAAATTACCATACCCCTGTGTAAAAAAAAAAAAAAATGAACACTCCCATTTCGAGGCGGCAAACGGGTGGTAAAGAGATATCAACTGCCTCTCTCCCTTTTGGCGCGCGTGCAACGACCACGTAAAGACACACCCCAGCCGTTGGGTCCATTTTTTTCGTTTTTCCCCCTTACTTTAATATACGCCCTCTGATGGAAACATTTCCGGTGAAGGGGCACTTTTTGTCCACGTACACGCCCTCTTTGGCCTCCTTCGGGGTGGCGAATCCTAAGCCGACCTTTTTCCAATACCTCGTATAGCTCTTGGAGCCCTTCTTTATTTTCTTGGAGTTGAAAAAACTTGCTCCCTCCTGCTTTTGGTAGGCCCTCTCATGCTAAGCATAAGTAAGAAAAAAAACGGGGGAAAAAAATTATTTTTGTACGGGTGTCGAACATTTTTTCCTATAAAATGCGACAAGCTCAGCATTTGTTCATTTTCGCCTGAAGCGTTCAGGCAAATATGGGGGATTTTTTCTCATTTTTCCAAACAGCCAAAAGGTGTTTCCAAATGTAAAGTCATAGCAAGTGTGCCCATCAAGAATTGTTGAGAAATCCCCATCTCACTTTATTTTCATTTTGGATGCCCACATAAGTCCCCACTCAATGTTGCATACATAATGCTCTGATTAATCTCCTCTGACTTTTAACTTACCTGAACATCCAAAGTTGCTGCCATGTTATCTCAGTAGTTGAAAGAGTTTGGTACGGATGGTTGAAAAAGCTTTTTCTCAGTTTAGTTTACAGGCGATGTATGTTTTAACGCGTTATGCGTTGCGTCAATTTTGCTTGCTCCTTTTTTGCTTCAGGGGGAACACTGTTTTTCTTGAAAGCTTTCGTTGCTGCAATTTGTTTAAGCGAAAAGAAAAAAATCGAATCTTTTTTAAATTTTTGCGATGGGAAAAAAGGCGAAAGAGCGAAAGAAGGGGAAAAAAGAAAAGAAGGAAAGAACGAACGAAAATGAGAATTCCGGTTATCTATAACGCCTATGGTATGCATTACATGCGCCTGCGCATTATCACGCACATGGTTCTTCGCTAACAGGGCGTTCTCACCCCGGCGGAGTAACCGATTTAATAATTTAACACGGTAGGGCCATCCCATTTGCCGCCATGTCACGCGTATCGTGTCATGTCGTGGGCGCTTAATTCACTAGCACCGTAGGGTGAAGGAAAATCCGCATGGCCTCTTTTCCCCGGTCACTGCGCACAAAATGTGGTAGCCCTGGTTTTTTTTTTTTTTTTTTTTTGCTCTGCTTAAAAAGAGGAATAATATGAACCATACTGCTTCGTTCCAAATGAAGAATCATAAAATGGCTAATAAGTTAAAAAGCCGATAAAAGTTTCCTTTCGTTTTAATGTTAATTTTTTTTTTTTGCTAATATGTCCACATTCTGTTTAACACTCCGCTACGAAAAAACGCCGTAACCCCTTAGTCGCCTCTGACGCCTATTGCCGCGTTTGGGTTTTTTTTTTTGGAGGCATACCTTGAAACATTTGGGAAACCATCAGGAGTATTATCATACGCTTGACGAATCAAATGTGTCCCCAGAAAAATAAAAATGATAATAATGTAGTGTAAAGAAGAGTAGAGGAAACTAAATCAGCTGCACAAAACGCAGGCCAAACCATGTACATTTACATACATATAGGCAACGCACTGTGCCCATTGCATAAGCGAAATTGTTGCCTGAAGGTTCCCGCGTCGCAAATACGAGTAGGATGTTTCTCCTATTTGTCACTTATTTTTAAGAAAGCTAAAAAGTGGCACAATACGAAAAGGAAACTCCAGTTTTGTGAGGTGTGTTGTCCTTCTCGATGCCAAATTCAGGGGCTACTTATAAGCAAAAATGTGCTGAAAAAAAAAAAAAAAATTAACCAAACGAAATTTACCAACTTGCCTGGAAATAACAGACGCAGCGATGTTACAATTCCCCCTTTCAATTTTAAATGAACCTTCCTTTCCTCATATTTTTAATTGAAAAGTTTCCAGCTGAGCAAACGAGCTAGCATCTATGTTGGACTCGAAATGATGCCTCGATTGGCCCGCGCGGTATCTTCATGTGTTAGGCTGCTTTTTTATTTTCCCTATAACGTGGTTTTTCCCGCGTTTCTTCTTTTAAAAAAGACTCAAAAAAAAATGGCTGTGCCTTTGGTTAGCATTCCCATCCGAGGCAGCTGCCAAATCAAATAAGTGAGCATATGTTCCTTTATGTATTCCACACTAGAATATTTGCTTATCACCGGTTAGGTGATTCCCCCGGTGAGCATCACCGGGTTGTCCATCATCCCTCCCCCCCCCCACAAAAGGCTCAAAAGGCACAAAATGGTTTCCGTTTAGGAGGCAGAAATCCTCTATAAATAAGCCTTATTCTGTGAGACTACCGGAGGAGGTAAAAAAATGCTGGTAAAAAGGCAAAGCAGTTAGTCCCTAACTGCGCCCAGTGAACATGCAGATAGGCAACTCAGCGTTAATGAATCGCCCCTCCCCCCCCGTTCCCGGGGGTTATTCTTCACCGTCGTTGTAAGCTTTGTTGTGCTGTACGTGACTTCAAAGAGAAATGATAAAAAAGGTGCACCCGGCAGTGTACAAAAAGGTGTAGGACCACATGGTTATCTTTCCTCATGCGCAAGAAAAATGGCGGAACGAAATGCTGAACATTCTAAACATGCACTGGTACGACCCCAAATGTGGGCATTACGCGAACAAAAAATGTGTCATTACAAGTGGGCCTTATAAAGGCGGTAGTTAAAAATAGACAAGCACATCACCCGCAAAAAAAAAAAAAAAAAAAAGAAGAAGAAAAAAAAATCCTTATCTGCATATATTCACCTCATCACATATTCACATCTGGATACCTGCATGTGCAATGCCGGAACGCCTTTTTCTCCCGGTGCGCATTTGCCTTCTCATGGCTGACCCTTTCACTTGGCAGAAATCTTTGATTCCCTCGTTGTGCACCCTTTGTAGGGGAGAAAAGATCATCTTCTTCGCTTTTAAAGAACGAAAGTTATCTCCCATTTGTGCTCTCCATTTTTACCGACCTCTTCCTTTTTTTAGCGCAAACTGGGTCGTATTTGCGCGAACGGGGAACTTACGCGACACTTTTCAGCACGTGCTAACAGCCCCTTTGTTTTTTCCAACGCATCCGAGACCGCCGCGATTTAGAATGCTCACAGGTGTAATTTGTGCTTGGGCAAGTGGGAGTTCCGCCAAACTAGCCAAGTGCGCAAATTTAGACATTTTTTTTTTTCCTTTTTGCCCCTGTGGTTTGTTTTCTCTAGCTACGCCTAAACGTTGCTATGCAGGTTGGGCCATTCCTCTTAAAGCGATGAGATGTATAGCCACTTAAGGCTCCGAAGCAGCATAAGGGATAATTGGCCAATTCGTTCACCGATGTGTGACGGATGTGTCGACCGATGCGTTTGTGCCTTGCTCGGTTTGAGAGCAAATTGGCGGAGAAGTGCACTTGGACGAGAATGTTGGCGAGTTTGCCCCTAACTCAGGCCCATTTGAAAAGACCAATTTGTGCTTGCGCTATTTATTTCCTTCTTGGCCCACTCGCTGGGAATATTTTGCCCCTTTGCCATTGAGAGTTTTCTTTCTTTTTTTTTTTTTTTTTGGCCTGCTGTGTTTCTCCACCTCATTTTTCCTGCCCAATACAACACCCTCCTTTTTTTCTTTTTGTACCTCAATTATGAGAATTCATAACACGTGAGAGTGCTCATTTGTTGTGAATGGCCGTTCGCGTAATGATGATACGGCGACTGCCTGGAGAGGGCCCTTTTCTCCAAGAAGCTTGCTGCTCCGGTTTGGGACTACCCTGGGAGAATAAACACACACACGCCTGACAGGTGGCCACACAAATTCGCAGGCGCACACACCAGTCTCCACTCCCGCGCCATCCGCATGGACGGAAGAGCCAAGCAAAGTACAATGCTGAGGAATTCGTACCAAAATGACAAGGCCAGCTGTGTTAACATAAAAGTCATTGTTCGGTGCAGACCCCTAAATGAAAAGGAGAAAAATGACGTGAACAACGAGGAGGTCGTCAAGATAAAGGACAACGAAGTGATCTTAACTCTGAATAGGAACAACGAGATTTATGAGAAGAAGTACAGCTTCGACTATGCCTGCGACAAGGACGTGGATCAAAGAACGTTGTTTAATAATTATGTCTTCAGAATAGTCGATGAGGTAATGCCCTCATGGAGTGGTGCTGTGTAGCGCTATGTAGTGCTATGTAGTGCTGTGTAGTGGTGACGTGTGGTGCTGTCTCCAGCTGCTCAGGGGAGGAAAACTTCCACTTCCCTACGATCGATATGTTTTTCCCTCCTTGGGTGTCTATCCCAATTTGTTAACCCCCCCTTAGTTTTGTTTTTTGCAAGGGGGAAGGCAGACGTGCACACATGTCGTTCTTGTCCTGTGGTGGGAATTCCTTTGTGCGTGTGCCCTTCACCGCGCTTTCTCTCGTCACCACCATTTCCCCCTTAATTGCCGTTCCCCCCTTTACTTACTTTTCCCCCCTCACTGCGATCCCCCTCTTAGGTCCTCGAAGGGTTCAACTGCACGCTATTCTGCTACGGACAGACGGGAACCGGGAAGACGTACACCATGGAAGGGAAGATCCTGGATCACCTGAAGCACAACGAGAATAAAAAGATTGACCTGAACGACAGCATGAATAGCGACATAAACTACTACTACGAGCTGTGTGACAGTGACGACACGGGGATCATTTTCCGCGTCGCGAAGAGGATCTTCGACATTTTAAATCGCAGAAAGGAGTACAAATCGACGAGGTTGCTAGGGGGGGACGACGAGGAGGAGACTTCGTGGCGCCGCAGTAGTTTCTCAAGCGAGGAAGAGGAAGTCCACACGAGAGTTGCATCCCAGGCGAGGGTTCAATCCCACGAAGACGTTGCATCCAGCGCCCCTGTTCCTTCCCTAGGGGGGCCTGTTCCCCATGGGGCCACCGAGCTGTCCCCGCCGAAGGGCCTCTCCAGACGTGGGTCGGCACGGAGAAGCGAACTATTCGAGTCCCCGCAGGAAAAAAGAGAAGGAAACAGCGCAGCGGATATATATAATGTAGAGAAGAACTCCTACGACTTCGTCATAAAAGTGAGCTACCTAGAAATATATAACGAAGAATTGTGCGACCTCCTCAGCACCTCCAGTGAGTCCAATAAACTCAAGATATATGAAGACACAACAAACAAAAACAAAGGATTAAATGTCGACAAGCTGGAGGAGAAGTGTATAAATTCATTTGAAGAGATTTATTACCTAATCTGTTCGGCTATCAAGAAGAGAAGAACCGCGGAAACGTCATACAATAAAAAGTCAAGCCGAAGCCACTCCATTTTCGCCATCACGCTGATCATGAAGGATCTCAACAGTGATGGAGAGAGCATTACGAAGATTGGGAAGCTCAATTTAGTGGACTTGGCTGGTAGCGAAAACGCATTGAAGAGCTCCTATGGCAATTTAAAAGTTAGACAGCAGGAAAGTTGCAACATAAATCAGTCGTTGCTAACTCTGGGTCGAGTGATTAATGCTTTGATTGAAAACTCGTCGTATATCCCATACAGAGATTCTAAGTTGACCCGTCTGTTACAGGACTCCCTAGGAGGAAAAACAAAAACGTTCATCGTGGCAACCATTTCTCCATCTTCTCTCTGTATTGACGAAACGTTGAGCACACTAGATTATGTCTTTCGAGCGAAGAACATTAAAAACAGACCTGAGATCAACGTGAAGACGACAAAGCAGTTAAAAATAAAAGACTTAAACAACGAAATAGAGAAGTTAAAAAATGCACTAAATTTAAGTCGCGAAAAACGAGGAGTCTATCTCGACAATGAGGAATACAACAATATACAGAACAGGTTGAAGAAGAATAGAGAAATTTTACTACAGAAGGAAAAGATCCTCTTTGAAAAAAGTAAAAAAATTAAAACACTTCTCAACAAGATGGACTACACAGATGATGTGCAGAATCAGATTGTGAACATGATGAAGGACGTCCTTTCAAAGTGTAGGAACATCCAACTGATTCACGACATTTTGGTAAACAAGCTCTCCGAGGAGAAATGCGTCACGAGGTTCCTCCTATCAGAGTTCCACCACACCAAGGGGGAGTACCAACAGCACGTCAATATGCTCTCCCAGACGCAGAAGACAATATCATCCTTATTTCGAGAAAAGATTTCTAACTTGAGAAGGAAGAAGAACCAAGATTACTCCACCCTGAATCAGGTTTGTAGCCTCATCACGACCGTGCTTGGGAAGGCCAAGGGAGACATGGTGCTGGGGAAACAGGGCATCATGAAATCTCTGGACCACTTGGAGCAACTGAACGGAGAGGCGTTCCTGCGGGAGAAACACCTCCTCAATTTTCTCCTCGACAAGGTAGACTCTATGGAGAAGCATGATCGGAATTATTTTCTCCAGTTGGGGGAAATCACGCGAGAGTTCCAAGCCTGCAAGGTGGACCTGGTCGATGTAGCGAACAGGCAAAGCAGTGACCCCCTTTCGACTCAGCAGAGTGGTTGCCCCGCTTCTAATCAACCGTGTGGTTCCCCCGACTCGCCGGATTCATTGGAGAAGACTCCCCAGCCGAAGTGCCCCCAAACAGTGGCCATGCTAACCGCGCTGCGAGATCTAGCGCAGTGCGATGAAGCACGACAGGTACTGAGCGAAGTCGAGAGCTATCACTCCACCCAAGGGAGCACAGTCAAGGAGACCATCCAGAACATGCAAAACGTTAGCCAGTTACTACATCTATATTTAAAGTGTTCGTTTGAGAAGTTAAAAAAAGACATGAAAAAAAAAGTAGAGAGACTGAATGAAGAATGGGAGAAGTTAACCAATTTGGTGAAACAGCTACGAAGTGATTATGAATCCTTCGAGTCCAGCTTAAACAAACGAAAAGAAAAAATCCTGGAGACGTACACAACAAGCATCAGGGAAGATATGAACCTTTTTGAGAGCCGAGTCATGGAGGAAATCAAAACAGTGATCCAAAGAAATGTCAAACAAATGAATGACACAGTCGATAGGAAGCTACATTTATTGACTACCCAGCTACACGACGAATCGAAAAGTAAATTTAAAAAAATGATTACTCACTCGGTAGGTACCCTCGAGGCATTTTTTCAGAATCATGAGAAACGATCTGATAAACATCATCAGGATTGCCTGCAGTCCGCTGACCTGGTGCAGAAAAAAGTAAACTCCTATTATGAGAATCTAGATTGTGTCTTCACAGACGTGCACAGCCAGTTTGCCACTGAGCAAAGGAGAATGGAGCGGAACGTGCAGAACATTACAGACACGTACAGAAACGTTATCCAGGGAAACAACGAAACTATTGCGAAGATAGCAAAGCTGCTTGAAGTCAAGACGTCGAATAATAAGAAAGAAAAAGAGGTGCTTTATAGTGACCTCTCCAGAGAAGTTTTGCGAGAAAGGGACGAACTCGACGATAGGAAGAAGCAGATAAAAGAATTCGCGGTGAGACACATGGAAGAGGTTAACTTGTGTAATGGAAACTATGGGGAACACCTTAACAAATGTGACTCGTACGCCGGCGAACTGCTACAACGATTTCGCGAAAATGAAGCTGACCACAATGAAGCGGACCAAAATGATGAGTTCGCGGCGCTTCCCAGTTGGGATACCCCCTTGAAGTGTGAAGGGAAGGACATTGACGCGGAAATTGAAAGGGTCCGCTCCCACGCCAGTGAAACCTTCGCCCACTTGGGTGATGCAACATCGGGTGAGGCCAATATGCCTGGCGTAGATCCCCTCGGTAATGCCTCCGAGACGACAGACCTACCGCCTAACTTTCGCCACCCCTATGCCGATCTGCACTACGGCCAGGTGAGGGAAGAGGTCCTCAAACAAATCGAAGATGTCTCCCTCCAGAAAAATATAAACTTTAAGTGCCTGTTTGATAAAATCGATGAAAATTTAAGCCTTATTCTTAATGAAAACAACTTTGGGAGACATCGAGGTGGGAGCATGGAGTTGTCCAGGGGAGACAGCATTGGGGGTGGGGGCATCATCATACCACCTCCTGCCTCTCGTCTTACAGCCCTTCCAGTAGTACCACCATCCCTTTCCGTTTCTTCCCCTCATGTGAATGACGTCCTCCCTACAACCGGCCATGGGAACTCCACTTCGTCCGCAGCCTCTGGGAACGTCATGCGGAAAGGGACACCCCATGAACAGAGTCAGAAAAAAGCAAGTGGCTTCTTCCCCACAGCTGATGCAGAAGCAGATTTGGACAATGGAAGCTCGAAGATGTTGTCAGATTGCAACAGGAAGGAGAAGAAAACCATTGAAGCTGTGCAGGGGCGGAAACTGTACCTCACGCCCAACGAATTGAGGAATCCCACTACGAAAATAAAGCCTCTGGGGAATAGCGTGGGGTCTAGAAAGACTTCTCCAGCCCCCAAGAGACTGAAGGAGGACGTTCACAAAGGCAGGGGAATCAAGTTTCTTCGCAAGTCGCAGGATTAGCGGTAGTGTCACACTTGGCGTGAATTAAAAAGAGATTTATCAGAGGCGTCCCGCTCATCCCGCGTGCCTACCTCACTTGTTTATGTATATATCTACCTTTTAAAAAAAAAAAAAAAATTTTTTTTTTTTTTTATTTAGCGCTCCTTTTTTTAATGGCTGAGAAGAGGAAACTTCCATTTGGTCGGTTCGATGGAAGTCTTCTCTCCCTCGAGGGGTCACCCCCATTTGATCGCACGGGGACCTCCTTCATGTTGAATCGTCAAGATGGAAGAGTGCGTGCATTTCGCTATTCCTGTGTATAGTTTTCACACTTTCATGCCGCTGTGACGTACATCCACCTGTCGCTTGTTAAGAACGGAGGTGGCCTTGCTTCATACGTCCCGCGTCTTCCTGTGGTTCACGTTGTTTTTTCTGTGTTAGTAGCCACGTACATTTTCGTACAGTGGTTCTGCCCCAACCCCTCCCCTCATTTGGTGGAACCGTCCAAAATGTGTGGTGGCTTGGAATTTTGGCAAATTGGATGGACAGCCCATTTGGTGCAGCTTCCATCATTCCCTTTTTTTTTTTTTTTTTTTTTTTTTTTTTAGTTTTTTAAAATTTTTAAGCTTAAAACGTTTGGCGTAAACATGACGTTACTGTGGCGCTCCTTTGCCGTTATTCTCTACTGTGTTTTTTTTTTTTTTTTTTGTGATTTTTTTGGATGACCACACTATACCCTCCGTGCGGGGATTCTTCCGCATTCGAGCGAAGGTGCGGTTAACGGGTTTGTGCCACCTATGGTTGGTGCTAATTTGTGGAGCCCCTCCTCGAACGCATCGAACTCCTTGAATGCCTAGAGCGCCTCTAACTGCTCGCTCCATATTACACACTCTGGTGAGCACTGCTGTCTATGTTTTTAAACGTGCGCTACTATCCGTCCACCGTTTGTAAACAGAGGAGTGGGTTGTTCTCCGGAGAAAGGAGTCCCAAGCAACGGAGGCATCCACGAACTGGCCGTGCTGAATGCGTAACGTGGACATGGCGTAGCGACAACTTTGTGTAGAAGGGATCATTTTCATTTCTGCTGATATGCCCATTTGGGGAGGTGACTTTGTGTCCCTCCCGTTCCGCCTCTCTTGGCCCATCAAATGGTAAGGAACTTCTCCGTCCAACAATCTCCTTCTTGAGTCATTCTTGACTCTTTCTCAACTGTTCAGGGGGGGGGGGGGCAACAACAAACAGAATGTGGTGAGAAGCAACACGAAGGGGCCTCATAAAAAAGTACACATCAAAAAAAGGAAAACGCAGGAGGGAGAGAGGGTGAAAAATTTTGCCATTCTTGCTAACACATGATAGGATTTATTTTTTTTTTTTTGTTCTTTCTGAATTTATTACAAATAAGTTTTTCTCAGGAAAGGAAAATATATGCATACCAAATAGCAGTGATAGAAATGCCCCCAAACTACGCCAAAGTGCGAGGAAAAAAAAAAAAAAAAAAAAAACGCACACTGCAAAAGTGAACATTCGGAACACATGGCGTCGCCTCCGCACTCCCTCAGCTGCTTCATACCTCAAGTGGCGTTCGTCCGGCCCTGAGATGGAGGAAAATAGCGCAAACTGGCTGGAATGGTAACAAGTGGCACAGGATGACACCGCTGCGCAAGAGGAGGCGGAGAACAGATAACTTCCCTTGACGCAAGGAGATAACACTTTATGTAACCTTCTTCCCCCCTTGACGCCAACGGAAAGTGACGCACTCTGCCAACACGGTGAAGGAGCCTAGAAAGGAGGAATTCCAGAGATAGGGAAAGAGAGAGAGGGCTGACCCGCGCGCCGCAGCCAAGCGGATAATCATAACCCAAGGAGTCGCACCCACGTGTATGCCAGCACATGTCAACACACGTGCACAAAGAAGCAAACAAGCACACGCACGGGCGTACGAACGCTTAAACAGATGAACGCACGTACGGACGCGCACACACACGAATAAACATGCTTGTGCGTAGCGTTCGTACACACACGCACTGACGCGCGGAGTTATCTGCACACACACTTATCTGCGCGTGCGCGGGAGGCCAAAGGGGGAGGAAGACCAGTTGCAATGCTATAACCCACGCCTAACTCGGAGTCGAAATCGTTCTGCCAAAGAGCAGCGCACCTGCCGAGAGAACGCTCTCCGCTCGGTAGCCAGCACGTCAAGGGAAAGAAGCGATTAAGGCGAGCCGAACTGGGCTATCTATAACAGTAGCTTAAGCAACACGAGTAGCCGAAGCAACTACAGCATCCGCAGCAACCGAAGCCAGTCCGTGCGAACGGAGAAGCGAGGCAGGCCCACAGGGAGAGGGAACGGCGGAAGAGGTGGCAGCGTTCCATTCGGACCAGCTGGAGACAGGAACATACGCGCAAGGCAGCAGGAGAATGAATGCGAACACAGCACGTGCGAGGGGCACACCGAGGCGCGCAACAACAGAAGAAGCAACCTGAGGCGGCTGCTGGCGAGCGCAGAGGGGAGAGGCCGACGGATGAGGACAAGACAGGTGGGTGTTAGACACGTGAATATTAGACAGGAAGGCGTGCCCCCGGCGGCGTGACCGAGGAACATGCCCCGACACGCGGCCGAGGTCCCACCGGAACAACGCACGAGTGATTGACGCGCCCAGGGAGGGGCGACACAGAGGTCAGAGAAAGTCGCAAAGGAAAAGCAGAAAGTAGAGCAAAAAAATTGCGCCAAAAATTGGCGCAAAAATTGGGCAAAAAAAATTGGCAAAAATAGTCGTAACTTTTTAGGGCAAAAGGTGTGCCTAAAATTCGGCAGACACGAGAATCCTCTGCTTGTTAAAAATGTCAGATGTGTTTTCCATATTTAAAAAAAAACGAATAAAAAAAGCAAAACTGCGCAAAGCGTCCGTAAAAAAAGGCAAGGGGAAGATTTTCATGAGCGACAAATCCCGTCGGAAGGCGTACGCGACGAGCCGAGCGGTTAGCAACAACCACGGCGCATTCCTGTACAAGGACAGTGGTGAATATCGGAAGGCATCAGGAGGGGGAGCAGCAGTGGGAGAAGTAATCGGAGAAGCAGTCGGTGAAGTAGCAGTAGAAGGCGGCGCTGGAGTAAGCAATAACGGCGGAAGCTTCGGCGGAGTGGTAAAGGAGCCCCCATTCAGTAAGCTAGCAGCAATTGAATTATTAAGCAACGAATCGAATGTTGTCGTAGAAAACTTCCCCAAGCTACCAGTCAAAAACATAGAGTCATGTGAAGAAGTATACAATATCTTCTATATAAGGGATCAATATCTGATTGGGAATAAAACTATACAGATAAATAACGACCACTTGATTCTTCTCGAAACGACATTGGACAAATTGGACGCAGCGATATCGGAATTGGACACAGAAGAGAGCTACTCCACGAAGAAGATATTAACAAGTGTGTACGAGAAGATCTGTAATCTATACAGAAGTTTTAAGAGCATAAAATCTTTGCCTCCCCAATTGTCCAATGCGTATAATTGCTTCCAGAGTAATGTCATCTTTGTGAAGGGGAAGCAATTTAAAAAAAACTACGTCTTCGATAATTTGATAAATATCTATACGTACCTACAGAACAGTGAACTTCAGCAGGATAATATCGAGACGATTAACCAGGCTATTTACATTAATGATAAGAATGTATCTGCTCCTTCTTTTATCAATAAAAGCATTCTGACTTCTAACGGACATGTGGAAGAGCATATCGAATATCTGCCGATGAAATTTAATCCGCACTTCATAGAATTGAATAAGATTTCAATTTATTACCTTTTTGAAGAATCCATTAATCATATCATATGGCAGAAGGCGCTGGACGAATTAGTGGTGGTAAAAGCCTTGGCAGATATTCCCTACTTGGACTTATCAGAGGTGGAAGGGTTCGACTTCAAAAAGATGAAATCAGGACAAAGGCAATGGTATCCTGTTTACATTGCCAAAGAATTAAGTGAAGAAGGACTTGCCACCGTCGAGTTTCCTTTTTGGTTTTATATCGATAATTTGAAAAATATCTACAAGAAGGAGTTTGAAGACATGCATGAGCTGACGGACCTACCCAGTCCCTTTTTCTTCGAGATATCTTCCATGTTTCTCGAAAACAACGCGTTTAAGAACTCCACGCCGATCGAGACCATAGGCCAGCGCACGCCCTACAAGTACATCCTCAAGGTGGCAGGTAAGGTGGAGTGATCAGCGGTGGAATGGTGAAGCGGAGGCACGGCGCTATGACCATTTGGCGGAGTCGCCATGGGCTTTCGAGAAGGGCAGTCCCGAGGGGCACTCCCGATTGTTATTCCTGATGGGCAGTCCCGATGGGTTCTCTCGAAGGACTCTCCTGCGGTGCCTTCCTCCCCCTTTCTCATTTTCCTCCTGGACGCTCACTCCTCCCCCCTTGCGCAGGCCTCATCCAGGATATACGACAGAAGCGCATTCACAAGATTATGAACAAATTTAAGAACTGCGACGTCTTGTCCGAAATTATGATCATAAATAACATCCAGATCTACGAAACGTATTGCGTGAATTACTTGGCTTCTGTTTTTTTCCAGAGCAAAGGGTCCAGAAGCTCCGTGTCGGATGACTTTGACGTGCGCAACTATCTCTTCGATCCCTTTGTTTTTAGTGCCTGAAGGGGCGGCGGGGAAGACAGCGGGGGAGACAGCGGGGGAGACAGCGGTTAGAACAACCGTCGGAAGAATGCTCAACCAATGCACGCAGGTGTAGGAACAGTTTGAAGAAGCCGGGGAAAGTTGCCCCCACAGCGGGATCTCTTGTAGGCACCACAGTTTGGCAGGCCCCACCGGCTACGTTATTTCTCAGTCCCCACCTCTGATGCCCCCCTGTTTTAGTGAACGAATACGTTCGTCCAACGGGGCACGTCATAGCAGAGAAGAGTAGAGAAGAGCCTACGCACTACGATGTTCACAGGGGAGACAGCCCGGGTTGCAACCTCGTCTCGCAGTCTCGTCTGGCGCATCGTTCCTACTTCCCATCTCGTCTCACCTCATCTCACCTATTCTTTTTTTTTTTTTTTTTTTGTATGCCCCTTGTTTAATGGCACATGTTAATACACAGGGATGGTTCTGCTGCGCACTTCGCTTCGCCGCTCCCCGAGTACTGTGTGCCATTATTTGTTTATATTTCCTTTTTTATAGTGTAATTAGTCTTTTTTTCTTTTTTTCCACCCTTTAACTTTGATTAATGTAGTCTATTCCAGTCCAGTCCTGCGCCTGTGTGCAGGAGGGCAAATGCATGCGCACGGACATGAATATGTGCGTGTGTACTTGCACAATTTTAATGATAACCTTTTTAAACCCCCCTTTTTAATTGCTTTAACATTTTAAGTTAGAATGTCTGGCATTCCTGATCGGCGGGGGAAGGGCGCGTCCGGTCCTTTGAGCATCAATGATCAAGTGGTCGCAAAGTTGGGTCAAAAGGGAGAAACGTCCCCCAATTGGTGACGATAATTCGGATGGCTTGTCCTACCTATCAGAGTAGCTTTCACCCCTCATGACCTCCATCCACGGGTGTAAAACGGGAGGATCTACTCACATGAGGGCATCAATGTGTTGACTTTCGTCTGGGTCCACCGAAGTTCAACGTTTCTACGAAGTCGTAACTCTGCTCACTTGTGTGTTACACTTTGTCTGCCTACATCAGTTTAGCCGATTAATTCTTGCGCTTGTACGGATCTTCTCATAAAGGGGGGAAGAGAAATAAGAACTCAATCTTTGTCTTCCCCCATCGTGGTGGCACTTTGTTTTCATATGAGCCACCTTTTGAGACGGAAAAAAAAGAAAAAAAAGAAAAAAAACGTCCCTTTATTTGCCCTCCAAACGAATTCTCTTTAAGAAGACCATTTCAAAGCGATTTTCTAGCGACGCAAATAAAACAAAGTGATCCTCTGTTGAAGCGGTAGCACATTCCTCGGGGGAGCTGTAGCAGTGAAACCTCCAGAGGAAGAAACACAACCGAACGAATGCATACGGTGAGGAAAACGAAGAATAATTCATGCAGATCTCTGTCTGGGAAAGTTTAATAATTGCTTGTCTTTCCACCAATGCTGCGATGTCTATGGTCTTTTTCCAGCTGGAAGAAAAAGCCAAATGAATTCTCCAGTTTTTTATTCCTATTTTTTATTATTTTTTTTTTTTACTTTATTTTTCTTTCTTTTTGTATACTCCCATTTGGGGACTCCCTTCGGAGTTTGGGCTGACAAGAAGGGGAGGGGGGAAGAAGAAAAACGCTGGAAAACGTTGCCCTTCGTTCGTCCCCTAACTACCCAAGGGGAGATATGCACACTGGAGGGAGGCGTCCAACACCACACGCTGGGAGAACCCCTTAAGGTGTTGCAATGCGAGGTTGAATCGTTCTTCCCAGGCTATTACGTGTTGCCCTTCTATGCTTCTTTTTTTTTTCTTTCTTTCCCAACCTAAGGGCAACGGAGGGGATCCTGCCATAGTTGAACTTTGCACGCAGGGAAGAAGTGGAAGGCGGGGAATGAAGCGACGGAATGAGGACTTAAACGAGGAATGAAAAGGCAGGCAGAAATAAACACTCCTTCGCAGCCTTGCTTCACTCTCTGCAGGTACATGTCTCTATTTCGCCGAACGAGTCTCCACCCACGCGAGAGAACGCGGCAGGTGCGAAGTGTGGCAGGTGTGACAAGTGTGGCAAGTCTGCCAAATTTGCGAAGCAGCGAAGCGTGCGCGGAGATCACAGCATAATGTACACTCAGTCTGTTGGGTACATTTTCCAGAAGAACTACCATTCTGCATAAAGGGGTTAATTAGTCAGGGTGTCAAAGAATGGACGGGGGGGAGAGGTGTCCCGCGGGATCCATCAACATTCCGCGGTTACATTTTCCACAGCTCACAAAGATTGGGGGAAAAAAAAAAGAAAAAGGAAAAGAAAAAAAAGAAAAAGGGAAAGATAAAAAAAGAAAAAGGAGAAGGAAAAAAAAGGAAAAAGAGGAAAAGAAAAATTTGTAGCGAAATCAAGCAAAGCAGAATTCTCCGCCCCCCTACGGAAGGAGAAAAATAATTTCCTTTCTTTTGCGCCCCGGCATTTGTCGAAACGTGCAAGAAGAGGCTAAGCAAAAGCTCCGCAAAAGAAAAAAAAAGGAAAAAAAGGAAAAAAAGGAAAAAAAAGGAAAAAAAGGAAGCAAAAGGAATAAAAAGAAAAAGGGAAAAAATTCCTTTTCGCGTTTTCACTTAACATTATGGGGATAAGTACGAACGCGTAAAGAAGGTGTTCCTTTTTTCGGGAGAATAAGTTTGTAAGTCAGGCGCACCAGTGCGGCCGCTTCACTGCAAAATGTTTTCGTCATCTAGTGATTTCGAATCGGTAGCCGCGAGTTGAGCGAACCGGTGCGAATTGGTGAGAACTGCCCCTCGCCGCAACTGGCGTGATTGGCGACATTGACAAGATTAACGCCATTGACGCGATTGAGCTGCTCCCCGCCCAACACCTGAATGAAGTAGCAGCCGAAGCCCGCAGTGAAGAACTCGGTCGGAATTTTACTTCGGGTGAGGCGCCATACGGAAAAGGCTGGGCGAGTGTTTGGGTCTTCGCCCAGTTTGCTTTTCCCAGCTGCGTATAGCGGCAGTGATTCGCAGCAACGATCCGCGGCAGCGGTTTGTCGCTGCTATTCCCATTTTCCAGCTTCATCACGGTGCAAGCCCCTCCCGCTGCTTCGCTGCTCCCCTACTCCCTTCCCCCCATGGGCGACTGACGAAGACCCCTCGGACTGAGGCGCGCAGGAGCTTAGCTCGTCCGTGGCGCCGCGGTCCTCAGACGGCCTCGGGAGAATGGACGGCGTGGTGGTCAGAAGGCGACGCCAAATTTGTGAACCTCATTTTGAATTTCTTTTTTTTTTTTCTTTTTTTTTTGTGTGCAATCCTGGATGTTTCCGTTCACCCTTCAGACATTTTCTCCTCGTCTCTCCCCGCCCCGCCCCATTTGTTAAAAGATGATTTTTAACGCCAAGAAGGGCAAGGAGAAGGCGCGAGATGGAGAAGATGGCGGAGGCGGCCACGCGGCTCCAAGCGATGGAAGTCAGAACGGGATTATAAACGACCTGGAGTATGAGAGTCTGTTCCCGTCGAACGAGCCCTACGAGGGCGATCCCAGCTGCGGTCCGAGCTATGGGGAAAACGGCGGCTCCACGTACGGAACAGAGTACACACATGGCTACAGCCAAAGTCAGACGCAGATTCATGGCCACGCGCAGAGTTACGGCCTGGTGCACAGTCACAGCGAGGCGAACATCATCGATTCGCTCTGCATCAACGAAATTAAGAGCGCAGAGGAGGACGAGCTGTTTGACGACTCGAAGCATCAGGATAAAGATGAATTGATAACAAAGCTCAGGAGCAAGCTGCAGATTAAAATAAAAGACTACAATTGGGTTATGGACACGCTGATAAGGACGAAGGAAGAGTGTGCACAAAGGAATGAGGAGGTGAAAGAACTGCAGAAGAGGAACAATCAGGTGGAAAAGGAGTGCAAAAATTTGAAAAATATCATCGAAAGGAAGAACCTAGAAAGTGACATGCACTACGGAGGGAAAGGAATCATTTTGGGAACCACAGACGGAGGTGCAACAGGAGGACCATCCACTTATGCACGTTACAAAAGCGAATACGACGAGGTTAAGATTAAATTAGCCAAGATTGAAGAAAGGTACAAAGAAGTGAATCGAAAAAATGAAAAACTAAGCGAAGAATGTAACAATATGATGAAGGAGAAACTTAAAGCCGAGACAGAATTTAACAAACAAATGGATGAAATAAAAAGAGAAAACAGAAATCTGAAAGAAACAAACGAACAGCTCAAAGTGGAGAGGGAAAAACTACTAAACAAGTATCTTCAAAGTGAAAAAGACAATTTTAAAGGCATTAAAGAAAACAAAGCACAATTGGAGTCCCTTCGAGAATTGATACAAAAAGAGGAGACGATGAGAAAAAATGCCGTTGAGAGTTTGAACAAAGCAAAGGAGATTCTGAGCAAATCCTTGGCCACATCAGAAGGTAGCATGAAAAAGTTATTGGAGGTGGAAAAAGATAGAGATGAATTAAAAGAGCAAAATGATCAGTTGAAAAAGCAGGTCCAAAAGTATCGAATCAAAGTAGACAATCTGAAAGAGGCTTTGACACAGTTCGAAAGTATGTATAAAAGAATTGTGGAGAAAAATAATCTCATGTTTTCTTTTACGCATGAATTTTTAAATGCAAAAAATTGCAACGTGATGATTCTTCGATCGACTAATGATATCAGACATGTGTGCGAGAAGCATCAAATTGATTCCACTCTCTTTGAAAATATCAATTGCTTCTCTGCTCTGTATACCTATGAAGTCATTTTTAATACCCCTCTGCCTGACTCGGACGATTCGGCAGAGGAGCAGGATGGAAAAAAACGCGATCATGATAAGTACATAAAGATAAAAAAGAAAAAGTTTAAGAGCCTGAATTATCTACTTAACGAAGCACAGGTGAAAATCATTGCTCTGTCGAGGTCAAATGAAAAAATGGAGAAGGGCTATGTCAACGTGAGGAACAACCGAATGAAGGACGACATGAGTCGCTTTGTGAAGAAAAACTACCACCTGGACCCTCTTACTCTTCAAGGGGAAAAGACACACGTGGAAAACCTCCTTCATGAGAAACTAGAATATATCAGAGAGGTAGAAAGTAAAGTTAAGGAGAGGGACACCCTCGTGCAGAAGCTCAAGGATGCCAACTTTAGGATCAAGTTGGAGAAAGAGACCCTGCTGAAGGTTATATCTTCCATTTCGAACCTCTCCTCCTTTGTCCACGTCGATCGTAACGATAAGAATTGCTCCATTGAGAGCCTTGTCCAGGCTGCCGTTAACGACTGCGCCGGTAGACACTTTAAGGGTGGCTGCCTTGTGGACGACCTCAATGGGAAGACTCCCTCCAACGTGAGCAACAATTCGCTGCTCCAGGGTGGAGAGCCTGCCGCTACGCCTAGCGGGGCGCTCAACCTGGTTGGCTTCTGCGCCGATGAGGACGCGTGCAAGGCGGGCCGCGCGCACGCCCTGGCGGAGAAGGAGGAGGGCTTCCGTCAAATTCTGGATAATCTCGAGAAAGCCATAGTCACCATCGAGAACAAGCAGATGAGTTACTTCCGACGCAGCCATTTGCTCAGTTACTTTGACGATTACGTCATCACACTGGAGATCTTTGGCCGGATCTCCGAATACAACGAGGAGTTCCGCGTGGAGCACCTACTGGAGGATGCCCAAGTTGGGGGCCTCTCCCAGATCAGACATGTGGACCTCGCGACCCTCTCCGCGGAGTTACACAAATGGAAGAAGAAGCACTCGGAAGAGGAGCTGCTGCACCATTTGGAAGAATCCAAGCTCATTGAAAAGTACAGGCAGTTCTATCACCACCACTTCATTCATATAAATACGATCTTCAACACAATCGTCAGTTACAATCTCCATGATATGGAGGAAAAGTACAAACTTGTCTATGAGCGATATTTTAATCTCTTCAATCTCAACTTCAGCAATGTGGAAATATCCTTCGATTTGCTGCTGAACCGATTCGAAAGGATAATAAGGCTGGCGAAGAGGTACGAAGAGAAGGTTTTGGAGAATAGAAAAAGGATTACCGAGATGAATGTTAACGAAGCGAATCTCTTCGAACGGGGGAAGAAGCTTGAATATGATTTGGAGATCTTATCGAAAGAGAAGGAGAAGCTTCAAAGGTTGGTGAGCCTAAATGAGGAGGAAATAAAACGGGTAATAAATAGCCACGCTGTTCTGCAGAACGAGTGTAAAGAACACAAGTGCAAACACGATCTTCTAATTGAGAAATATGAGGAGGTGAAGAAGGAGAAGCTACTGATAGAGGAGGAGCTCTCCAGCAGGCAAATACGAAATGTTAAGCTCAGCGAACAGAATGAAGAAATGATTAAGTTATACGAGAATGAGAAGGCATACCTACACTCTCTAATACAGGAGGAGAAAGAGAATAACCAGTTTTTGAGAGAAAAGCTAAACTCTTTCTTTTCCCTAAATGAACAAATAAAATGTGATTACGATAGGAGGTTGAATAATCTCAATGATCTTTGGGTTGAGGAGAAAGAGCACAATAGGAAGAACCTGTCTGATATTAGCAATCTGAAGATGGAAAATGTGAATTTAGTTCAAAGGATTAAAGATCTGGAGAGTAAAAGCTCCTTGATGAAGAAGGAGCTGAACGAGCGCATCAAGCAGGTCAATGTGTTGAGGCACTGCATGGCTGTGTCGGGAGCAGCGGGTGGGGAGGAAGCCGAGGGGGGGCAAGGCCAACAGGACGATAAGGATGACCAAAAGGATAACCATAAGGATGACGATAAGGACTGCAACACGATTAGCGCCTCTCACCAGGGGGTGAACGTAACAGGCGCGTCGCCCTTCGCTTTAGACCGCGGAGGAAGTGCTTATCACCAATCCATCATCGACGAGATAGAGTACAAAGCAGAAAAAGAAGTGAAGATAAGAAAGTTACAGGAGGGGAAAGCCGATCTCGAAAGAGAAATAATGCAGCTGAAAGGGGAGAAAGAAATCCTCATGGGGGTAATCGAAACGTGGAGAAATTTCAGCGCATGCAGTAAGGACGAAATTAGAAGACTGAAGAAAATGTGCAGTGACCAGGTGGAGAAGCATAAGGAGTTCCTTCTGTTAAGCCAATCGAACGAAGACAAATTAAGAAAAATAAATCATCTTCTAGGAATGGAACAGTCGAAGCACGCCAAAGAGTTGGATGAAACCAAGGATAAGCTGAATGATCAGATTGACACGCTGAAAAACAAAGTGGCAGAGAAGGAACTGCAAGTGAACAAACTGAAATGGAATTACGATCAGCTGGAAATCAAAATAAGATCTTTAGAGAGTGAGAAAAAAGATCATCTAGGTATGAAGCAGAAGGAGGAAGAATATATAGCGCTGCTTAAAAATGATAAATCGACCTTGCAGAAGGAACTGAGTGGACTTCTCCAGAAATATCAATCCCAGGTGGAGCAAAATAAGAAGTTACTCAACGAAAGGGAGGTGATCATCACTTCACACAGGGAAGAGATAACCAATCTGAAGGACGTTCTGGAAAATTTAAAAAAAGAAAACTCCCAATTGAATGATATGTTTAGAACGAGAGCAAATCTAAACGACAATCAGATTCTTAAGACGAGGTTAGAACAGATGATGGACGTTAATAAAGACCTGCAGGAAGAACTGCACGAGAAGTGTGCCCTACGGGACAAAGTCAATCTTGAGAACAGTGAACTGAAGCAGAAATTACAAATCGAGAAGGGGAAACTGCTCCAGCAGCAGAAGTACATCGCGGAGTTGCAGACAAATCTGACGGATAAGAACAGTCTAGGGAATATGAATGATGAGTTTATTGTTAGTCTGAAAGCGAATTTGCAGAAATCTAGGGTAGAATTGTATAACCTAGCAAAGGAAATCGAGAAGGTCCAACTGAATGAAGAGCAGAACATGGTCAAGATAAAGCTGCTGGAGAGCCAACTGTCTAGGAGAGAATCTGAGAAAAAGAAGATGGAGCAGCAGTTGGAGGAGCAGACCAATGAACATACCATTCATTTAAACAAAATTAGAACTGACTTAGACGTCGTAAATGAACAAAACAGACTTCTTCGTCTCGCCAAAGAGGAAAACGAAAGGAAGATTGAACAACTGGAGAAGGAAAACCAATTTTTCCAATCCACCAAGAACAACGACTCGGTGATTGTAGAGAAGGAGAAGCTGCAGAGTCAAGTGACGCAGCACCTCGCCCTGATTAACGCCAAGGAGAAGCAGATCATTGGCCTGAACTTCCAGATTAAGAAGCTCACCAATGAGAACGCTGAGATGAGGGCGCGCGCGGCGGTAGCGCGGGTAGCGGCGGACGGGGGAGTCGCGACGGAAGGGGCAACTTTGGCAGAAGCGAGTACCACCGACATGCCGCTCGAAATACACAAATACATCAGCGAAAACATAGACCTGACGGCGGAGCTCGAGAACAGAAACGAAGTGATCGAGCAGTGTAGGGAGGAGGCGAGGCAGAAGGAGATGGAAATTCAGAAGCTGCACGATGATATCGCCTCTCTATCACGCAGTATGACCAAATTGAAAGAATCCCTCATCGTTATGGAGCAGTACAAGGATAACATGCATAGGCACATAAAGGAGAAAGACGAAATCATCGATGGGTTGAAGAAGAGGAATAGAAACAAACTGGATGACGTACTGCAAGGGTACACAGGCAGCACTTCGAACAGTGGCTTCTCTGCTCTGGAGAATGCTATGAGCGCTTCGTCGGAAGAGATACTAACTACGCTTAGAAATTTGTCTGGAAAGGAAGCACCAGATGCTGAACCATCCATGAAGAATGGCGAGCCGACTTCAATCGGAAGCGAACATATCGTCATCATCAAGTGCAACATACTGAAGCTATTTAAGCTGGGATCCTGCTACCTCTACATAATCAATCGCAATTTGAAGGAAATTCAGATCCTAAAAAATCAAGTCAGTTCTCTCAAGGAGAGCATACAGACGCAGAATGAATTTATCCAAAGCCTCAAGACAAAAAATAAAAACAACGAAGTGATACAAGTAAACAATTTAGACCAAATCGCACAGCTAAAGGATAATATACAGAACAACGAAAGCTCCATCCAGACATTGAAGACGAATCTAAAGAACACAGAACAGATTAACAAACTGCATTCAGTGAATCTAGGAAAATATAAGAACTTCATTGTTCACCTCATCCAACATAACGTAGTCATCTGTAATATCTTTAAAGTAGTCAATTCAAGGAAAAGAGTGGAACCTTCCATATTAAATCAACTGAGGAGCTTGAAAAAGGCCTTCCATCTCTTCATGTACGACTCCATTATGGACGAGCTGCAGGGAGCCGCCCCTTATGGTGACTCCACCATGCCTAAGCAGGAGGGGGGGAAATGGACCAACGTTAATTACGACATCGTTGAGGAGGTCTTTCAGAATGTCCAGAGATTTGCTAATAATTTTAATTCAATGATAGAAAGGGGAGAGTCTGATTTTATGACTTTCCACGCGGAGGGAGATCCAGAGGGGGGCGATGACTTGGTTGACGGTGACTTGATTAGCGTCGACTTGGTTAGTGGCCACCTCGTTAGAGGCGACGCGGTTAATGGTTCCTCCAATGTTGATGCCAGTAGCAGTGAATCCTTGCAAGAAGGCCAACCTGGCAAAGAACATGTTCTCCCTTCCACTAGTGAGAGAAGCCCAATTATAGATTCCGGAAGGAGTCAGAACCCTGTGGAGGATCCAAATGAGCAGCAAAACCCCAACAGTGAGGCTTCCCAAAGAGGGGAGTCTCCAAACATGGTAAACTTTGATGAAACGGCGGTTGATGACGAAGAAGCAAAGGGAAAAGGATCCGATAGAGGATACCTCTCAGGGAAGGGATCACACGAAGAAGTGGAGCCCCCCCAGGGGGGTGCCATCATCCCGTTGGACAAACAAGACGGAAGTCAAGAAACGAACAACGAAACGTTGCAGCGATATGAGGAGAACATCTTGGCGGACAGGCAGTCGTCGTGCACTTCGGCAAACGTCAACCGAAGAGACAGTTCCAGCGGAAGAGGAAGCTCCAGCGGAAACGTCACTGGCTTCATTCGAGGCATCTTCCGAGGCATCATTCGCGAAAAGGACCAGGAGAGTAAGACTGCGCAGGAACCAAGTGAGGCGGCCAGTCTTCCAGGTGAAGCGGCCAATGTTCCGATTGAAGACGACGCAAAATCGTCCCACCCCAGCGCAAACGGATCTGTTGTAAGTATTGAAGAAGACGCTGCTATTGTTACCACTGGCTTGGGAAGCGTAGTGCACAGTTCGGCGTCGTGCGGGGAAGTGAATGGTAATAATGAGCAGGATGGCACAATTCTGTCTCGTCAAGAGAATAAAGAAGAAGTGGAAGATGAAGGGGAAACCAACCCGGAGCTGTGCGTCGGCGAAATGGATGCCTCTCCCATTGTAGTCGATGTGGAAGGCGAAGAAACCCGATCGCATAACTCGCCGAACGAGGAGGGGGCAGCCCATGGTGAAGATCAACTCGCAGGGGTGTCAACGACAACAGAGGAGTTATGCAATAAGGGAGGAGAAATAAACCCTGATGAGAGCCATGGCGCCAGGACGAGTGAACAAGAACAACCGCAAAGTGACGAACTGCATAACGGAAAACTACATAACGGAGAACTGCTGCCTGACCAGCTGCTGCGCGAGCAAGGTGAGCCCCCGGCATGGACTCCCCCGACAACTCGCCTGATAAACGAGCTGAACGCATCCAGCGGTGGCGTGATCAGTCCGTTTAGGTGTCATGCGTCCGAAGACAACTACGACATGGGGGAGAGAAAAGGAATGAAAAAAAGAAAATACAACTCAGACTCAGAAATGGTGAATGCGAATTGGGCTACATCCACGAGGCATTTGAAGAAGCTCAAAAAGACGGCGGAAGGTGTGTCCACTGCGCACAGTCAGGAGGGGGAGCAGCAACCGGAACAACTGCAACAATCGCAAGAATCGGACCAACTGAAACAATCTGAACCACCGCAACAATCGCAGCGGAGTGACGAAGAAGGGGAACACATCAGTCATAGCAGCGGAGAGTCCTTTCACGGGGAGGGGAGCTACATGGGCGATGGTGCGAGTTACCCCTACGATGATGAAGGAAGCGGAGAGGATGACCTGAACGCTGAATTGTACACGCATGGGAAGGAAGAAAACAGATTGTTGGAGTCAATCCAAGGAGTGGGTGACGTAAGGGAGGTACCCAACTACAGAGACACCTACGATAATGCCGACCCGAACCTTCTCCAGAGCAGTCAGTATCATAAAGGAGAGAATAATTTCACCCCCTATGAAGAAGAAAATCACGAAAGGGAGAGCAACCGAAGTTGTTATGTAATTTCATCAGACGAGGAGTGTGAGGGGAATGACGACAATGGAAGGGGGGCGTCCGCGGGGTTACAGCAGCGGGGCTGTGAAGAGGAGGAAGGCGACGAGGAAGAAGAAGACGATGATGAGGATGGTCAGGATGATGAGAATGATGCAATGGGTGAATACCAAAATGAGGGGTACGAACAGGATGAAGAAGAGGAGAGCGAGGACGATGGTGAGAACGATAGTGAGAACGATGGCGAGGACGCTAATGAACAATTCGAGCAGTATGAAGATTACGACGCGGCGGCAGAGGAGGAGGACTCTGATCAGTACGATGGAGGTAACTCCAAGGACGAGATGGGGGAGGATCAGGAGGATGAATATGCCCAATACGATGAGTACAACGCGAGGGATCCGGAAGGAGAAGAAGATGACGAGCAAGACGGACACAGTGTAGGAAGAGAGCCATCAGAAAATGAACCCCTGGATAGCTCCAAAGAAATTACTGACAGTGCAACCAACCCCCCCTATCGTCATCATGGTGAAACTTCCAATGACGAGGGGCCCAACAATGATTCTTCCCCATCTGCACATTCCGACGGGAGCAATGAAGCGGGGGAGGAGCACCCCGTTATGTTCAATCCGTCACATGTACACATGGCACAGACTGACGAGTCATACGAGGAGAATGCCGATGAAGAGGGGGCCATTAGCATACCCTCTTCGCATGAAAACAATGAGGAGGTGTCTGACAAGCAGGGGGCGGACACAGAAGGTGGTGTGGAAGGCGACGCCGAGGAGGGTGAGCAGGACGGCGAAGAGCACTAGAGGAGGGCAAAACCGCCTATCCGCCTTCGCAGCTGGGTTCACCCACGCGAGCTTTTCTCATTCGCATTTTTTAAGTTCCTCTTTACGCGGGAAACAAACCTAGGTGAAGTTTCCCCATTCGTCCACCACTCCCCTTTTGCCTTCAATTTTTTTCACCCACAATGGGAAGCACTTGACCATGCTGCATGATTAAGCCGGAGTGTAAATGTGTGCATATGTTTCGCACCGTGGTTTACTCTCATGTGCTTATCGACGTGGTTAGTTTCCCCGGTTAATTCTTTTTCTTTTTTTTTCTTTTTTTTTTTGACTCACTCTGCTGGCGTGTCTATATGCACATGTACACACACTTCTGCATGTTCGCGTCGGTGTGGAAGAAAACTATGAACCTTATCTTCCCACCTCCACCCCCCTGCGGAATTAATAAAAATCCTTTGTTTTGATAAACCACTCGGTCTACACCGTGTTTTTGTAAAGAGACACCACATGGTGAGGTGTTTCATTTGGCAGCGTCGTTAAATCGGCATGGCTTCATCGGCGATTTAGGTAACTCTCTCATCTGGACGTTCTGTTCAGAAGCCTTTTTTTTTTTTTTTGTGGGGGATTAACTCTGCTCCGCCGCCTTCCCATTTCACCGTAACGTATCGCTGCGACCGACGCAGTGGCACTCCCATGTTTAGTGACAACTTCAAATGATGGCGGCGTAACTCAGCGCAGATAGGTCAACCAGCTTCGAATCGTCATCGCGTCGGAAAAAAAAAAAACGGTGAGTATAATTTGCCGCTACAGGGAAATACCACACCATGGAACTGGAGAAGTGGAACTAAATTGCGCGACGTGTGAAGAGATGTCACCTCCGCCGGGAAGTCGTTTGGTTAGCCAAAGTGAGCATTATAAGTTAGCATTATAAGTTAGTATTATACGTAGGGATCAAACGTGAGGATGACAGGACAGCGTTGTGCCTGTAGGCGCTCCCAAATTGGCCATTTATCTAGGGGCACATTTTTGCGAACTTTCCCTTCCCCATGTTTAAGCGGCGAAGAAAGAAGGAGGAACCCGGGGTGGGAACGGTCAATCATCTTTGAAGTGCTAACGAAGCAGAGGTTCTTTCGTGTAAAATGAAATGTTCCTTTCAATTTGGTGCATGTCGCGTGATGATCACTCTTACCACTTCGTGCACATGGCACGATACGCAAAAAAAAAAAAAAAAAAAAAAGGGACAGATCGAAAAAGATACACAGCCATGAATTCGCGCGAGGAAATGTTCTCCTCTTCCGCTCATTGGACAGTCCCTTGTAAAGATGGACGGGCCAAGAGGCACGCCTCAAAGGCAGGCATAGGGTCGTTACTGGGATAGTTAAGCGCCAAAAGACAGTTTACACTTGGCGGCAAGAATTTTTCTATGCTCACTGGGGGAGTCAGAAGAGATGCGCCTTCCTCCACACATACCATTTGTTGTTCATTTTGTATATTTTGCTCATTTTGTACATTTTGTACATTTTGTTCATTTTGTACATTTTGTTCATTTTATCCATTTTGTTCATTTTGCTCATTTTGTACATTTTGTTCATT